CTCTTGCAAAATGGTCACTGGAAGAATTGGTCATGAGCACAGAATGCTGTCGGGAGCATAGGATACTTCCATGTGAATGGTATGTAAGGCGTAGTTCAGCTCTAAGCCCACAGGCCTCATGGGAGATAAAGTACAAAACAATTTGGGACATGAGAGGTGACCAGATAACTATCGTACAAAGATTAGAAGATGGTATCCCAGAGAGCATATTTAAATTTCTCTGTCTGCAGGCGCCAATATTTTACATTCCAATTCCATACATGAAAAGTGCCCACACTGCTGAACAATGTGACTGCCTTCACCATTTAGAGAAGCCTTGCACCAAACTTCTTGCTGAAATTGTACTTTCACACTAGAGTTTATAAGGTAGGACCACCATTCTTCATTTACTTGTATTCCACACAAGGCTTCCACTACAGGGACATTTTGACCCAAACTCTTGCATAAGCAACAAGAAGGGAAGATACCGTATTTTTCGCTCTATAGGACACACCCAACCATAGGACGCACCTTGTTTTAGAGGGGGAGAACAAGAAAAAAAAATTCTCCCCCTCTCTGCTCAGCGCCCCTTCAGCGAAGCGGCAGGAGAAATGGAGCCCCTTCCATTTCTCCTCCCACTTCGCTGAAGGGGCGCTGCACAGCTCTCCCTCTCTGCTGAAGCCAGGAGAGTCTTGCTCTCCTGGCTTCAGCAAAAGGAACCCGAAGCCTCCGGAGCGCAGCGGGAGCTCCCACTGCACTCCAAAGGCTTCAGGCAGCTATCCCTGAAGCCTGAAGAGCTAGAGGGGTCGGTGCCCCCCGACCCCTCTCGATCTCCAGGCTTCAGCGAAAGCAACGCAAAGCCTCCGGACCATGGTGGGAGCGCTCCCTCTGCACTTCTGAGGCTTCGCGTTGCTATTGCTGAAGCCAAGGAGCCTGCATTCACTCCATAAGATGCACACACTTCCCCTTGATTTTTGGAGGGGGGAAAATGCGTCTTATAGAGTGAAAAATACGGTATATATATGCAGCAGCGTAGCTAGCCGCTCAGGTGCCTGGTGCGGGGGGGGCGTGTCCTGCAGCCGGGGGCGAGGTGATCTGCCCATGGGGGCGGGGCAAGCCTCTCCGACGCTTGGAACCTCTCCACTGCCTCCCCCTCAGCTGTAGCGCGGCCGAGGGAGAGGCAGTAGGCAGACGCAAGTCCCCTGCTGCCATTTCAGGCAGCGTGGAATCTGCAGGCGCCTAAGCCACCACGTCACTCCTAAAAAGTTTCGTGAGCCCATTTTTTTTTATAAACTCATTTTTTCCCACACACCCCAGTGATGACACCTGGGGTGCACTGCACCCCCCGCACCCCCTTCCTCCACCACTATGTATATGGAGCTGCACCTCAAGAATTGGCAGCCTACTGCAGTCTGGGAGATTTAAAAGAGAATTTGTAATGGTTACCTTTTTCTATCTCTTAATCATCAGAGATGCAGGTGCTTCTGGCAAATAACCACGTATGGTTAGAAGAAAGGAAGGTCCTACTACCTTGTCATCCCTAAGTGCCTCCTGACCCGATGCTGCATTAATGTATTCACATGCACACAAAAAATAGGACAGGGGAGTCTCAGAGGATAGGCTTAAAAGAAGAAGAAGAAAGAACACCACCAGTTTGTGCTTCTAAGAATGGATTGCCTTTTGCTGTCCAGACCCCAGAGGACATTCTCACTCACTACTTCACCAGGGATTAACAATGGACAAGTTTACAATGCATGCAACCAGGCTTTATATAAACTTAAGAATGTCCCTGACTGAGATCTCTCTTTTTCCATAGAGTGCTCTGCTCTGCTTTTGGTAAAAGTTTTTATTATTGTTGTTTCATTCTATAATGTATATAAAGCAGAGAGAACAATTAGAGTAACAGACAAAAATTAGACTGCTGCACATGAATTAAAATAACAAAGTCCAAGTAAAGATTATATAAACTTTATCAAATCATCAAACATAGCTCCATATTTGCCAGGCTTGTGGCAAAGAGTTGTCTTGAAAATAATCTCAAATTATGTATTTGTTTCTCCATTATAGCTATATTTCATCACGAGTAGTACCAAACATTCATTGGTCTGTTTTCCATTGAGTTGCAATTACTGTTTGTGCTGCCAAGATAATATATAACCAATTCTTTTGATAACATAGTTACACTGGCATCATCAAAAATTTTCAGTAACATTAATTTTGGGCAACGAAGAACAGTTTCTTTAGTAATAGTTATCCTTTCTGTCAAAATTAAACCCCCAAAACCTTGCGGCATCTAACATTCCCACCATAAATGATATGTACCAAGTTTAGTTAGTACTCGGCTTTGTTGTGCTATGGCCCTATGAGTGCAAGAAAACGTTGTTGATGTGCCTGTGCCCCCAAACCCTTGTTCCAGACAGTGGCAGAGAAAAGCATAGGGATAGGTCATTTAGGTTTGTGGGATCTCCTTTGCTTCTCACCAGAACCCTGAGGTCCACTAACTTGAACCAGGTGCAAAGGAAGAAAAACAAAGGAATCGTCGAACAAGGTACCTCTGGGCACCTATGCAAACCCAGGGACTTGTTTTCATTGCATGAATTCCTATTTTGTCCCAGGAACCTTTTCCTCATCATTCCTGAGGCATAAAAAGCCCTATTCCACTCATGTGCAAGTTGTACAAGCAAGCGAGGACAGGCTTACCAAGCTTTGCCCTGTCCAACTCCTGCTTAGCTCAGAGATCTAACTCAGGAGATCCACCAAAAGATCCTCATCTTCTGCCCACCTCTAATCTGCATCTTCCTTCCTCTCTCAAGCCTCCACTCACCCAGGCTTTCCCTCCTCTCTCTCTCTCTCTTCCTCTTGCATTTCCTTTTCCTAGCTGGCTGTTCCTCCTCAGTGGTAGAGAGGATTACTGGTGCAAAAGAGAGCCAGCCTTCTAGAGATGCTGCGAGATAAGAAGAAATCCGCTTTCTGTAAGTCATCGCAGGCGGGTATTTACACTGAGTAGGAGACCGGGCCACAGCTGTACTAGTTCTGCCATTGTTAAGTGCTGTGACAAGGGAGGGAATCAATTTACAATCAGGATTACACAGTTAATCTGCAGTCTTTGATTTCTTCTGCTCCTAGAAATAAACTGACTAATCTGTGGCGTTTGCCTTTCTTCCCTGCTCCCAGCTGCTCAGATCCACCCTACACATTTATTCACCTCGACTAGAAGCCAGCAGCACTTTTGCAAGCTCCCCTTACCTACATTAATTTGGGATCACTGCATTTTGTTTATGGATGCCTGTTACGGGGAGTTTGGAGGCGTCAGCCATGTTCCCCAGAGGGCTTATTTAAAAGACACCACACACCTCTAATAATAGGTACCCCCTCTCTGCATAACCAACCTCAGTGGGCTGTCAAGAGGATAAAATGATGGTAGTTGTTAGAACCATGTATGCAGCACTCCCTTGAGGAACAGATGGGATATAAATAGAGTAAAGGCACCTGAATCTTGCCTGCCCCAAGCCCAAGTCTTTGGCACCCACTTTCTAAAATGAAACTGTGCATCTGATAGATCTGGGCCACACACCCAGGACCCATTAGAGCAGAGAGTTCTTAAGCATGCTGTCTCAGAACTAAATCCCACTGAAAGAGGACTGGAACCTTATTCTCAACCTGAAAAATGAGACCCTGCTTTTAATCTTGCTTCGGTGCCTGCCTTTCTCGTTTATCCCACCCTCTCTCTCCTCTTCTTTCCCTCCCTGCCCCCTTATTCCTTTTAAATTAACCTCAACCTTAAAAATAAGAACATGATGGTGCTAGTGCAACCCACCTGACGCAGGACATGGCCTGTGTACACACCATACATTTAAAGCATATTTCCCTGACCCTCAAGAATCCTGGGAACTTGTAGTTTACCCCTCACACAGCAGCAGTTCTAAGCACCCTTAACAACTACAGCTCCCAGGATTCTCTGGGTGTAAAGAAGTGCTTTCTGGTGTGTATCCAACCAGGGCCCACTTGTGGCTAAAACAACTTGGCATTGGGAGTCCAGTGGGCTACACAGCTTTGCTGGGAACTACCTACCCTTTCAAGGTGCCAGACAGAGATTTTGAGAGGAGAGATATTTGACCAGTCACTAGCTGGTTCTTGGCAGTACAGTGGTACCTCTGGTTACGTACTTAATTCGTTCTGGAGGTCTGTTCTTAACCTGAAACTGTTCTTAACCTGAAGCACCACTTTAGCTAATGGGGCCTCCCGTTGCCGCCGGAGCACGATTTCTGTTCTCATCCTGGGGCAAAGTTCTTAACCCGAGCTACTATTTCTGGGTTAGTGGAGTCCGTAACCTGAAGCGTATGTAACCCAAGGTACCACTGTATCTTCTCACCATTTGGATGTTTTTGTTGATTTCATTTGCATACGTTGAACACCATCATAATTTTTTGAAAATAAAAACGCATATTAAAGATACATAAATGAAGCACGCTTTTAAATCAAGAGGTTACAGCAACATAACAACAGCCCCAAAGCCCATCTAATCCGTCGAAACACAACATTTCCTCCAAAGAATCCTGAGAAACGTAGCTAACTCATCAAGGAGCTACAATTCCTAGTCCCTTTAAACTACAGTTCCCCAGGATTCTTTGGGAGAAACAATGCGTTTTCTACAGATTTCACGAACACGCAGCCCGGCAGGGTTCTCACGGTGGCCAAGCTCAAGCAGATGCCCTTGGCAAGCGCGCAAAGCAGCCCCTGACCTCAGCAGCTCTCTCCCCATACCTCCGACCCCTCAGGTAGGACACACCACCGCCGCCCCCTACACCTGCGCTAAGTCCCGCTCGCATACTTTCTGGAGCTCCCCGAGCTCCCCAAAGATTCCCGCGCGGAGTCAGAGCGCGGCCCCTGCTGCGCCAGGCAGCTCGCCTCCAACCAGCGTCCCTTCGCCAGAAAGAGGCGGGCGGGCAGCGCCGAGAAGACCCCGCCTCCCGTCGCCTCCCCGCCAAAAAAATCAGGGCTGAGGGAAGCGCGCGGGCGGACTTGAGGGGGCGGAGGGCGCCGAGAGAGCTGGAAGTTGGGGCTGGCGGGAAGCGAAGGAAGGGGAAACGGCTCGCCAAGCGCCAAAACCCCTTACCTCAGCGAGCCCGAGCGCGGAGGGAAGCCCGGACTCTCCGAAGCAGCAGCAGGTGAGCGAGAAGGGGCGCGCGTCCTCTCCGAGCGGCCGCTCCGTCCGGGCGCTGTGGGCGAGAGCCCTGGAGGCGCGGTTCCCGCGGAGCTCCGCCGCGGAGCGGGTGGGACACGACTCCCCCCCGGGCGGGACGCGCAGCGCCACAGTTCCTCCTCGACCGTCGGCTTGGTTTCTTTCGAGTGAGGGGTGAGACGTGGGAAGCCGTCAAAGGGGGTCCCGGGTGGGAAAGGCTGCTGGCGTTTCCTCGCGTGCTGATTGCGAATCCCGCGAGGAAGGTTAACGCTTCTGTTGGCGCGTCGCGCAGACGGGAGGTGCCAATAAAATATGAGGGGGGGGGGCGCACAGGTACGCCCCGCTCCACATAACTGATTACAAGACCATATGAGTGGCAGTGCGCATCAACGGGGGGGGGGGAGAGCCTCCATATATATATATATTAAAAAAGAATTGCTGCCCCGGCTGCTTTCCCACTTCATGTCTGCACCATAGGAGCCAACGTCTAGGGACTTGACGGGAGGTGCCAATAAAATATGAGGGGGGGGGGCGCGCGCACAAGTAAGCCCCGCTCCACATAACTGATTACAAGACCATATGAGTGGCAGTGCTCTTTTATATATAAAAACTCTTTTAATTATTTTGCCAACTTTTAACATTTTCAATTTTCTACTCCCTTCCCCCACTTTTTGCGGTTCCTTACATTTATTTTCGTCCTTTCCTGCATATTCCAAATTACCTAAACTTGTTCTTTTATTCGTCTGTTCTGATATATATCATGTATGTTTTTAAAGCTGCAAGTTTTTACAATAATCTTGCCAATGTCTTGAACAGTTTACAGTTTGTAAATATTCAATAAACCACTTCCATTCCTTTCTAAAAAGTTTGTTTTGATTTCTTATTCTTCCGGCAAGTTTTGCCATTTCTTCATACTCCATTAGTTTCTGCATCAAATCTTCTTTCGTCGGGACTTCTTCATCCTTCCACTTTGGGGCAAAGAATATTCTTGCAGCTGTAGTCTCATACATAAATAAGTTTCTATACTGTTTCGGTAGTTCTAATCCTATAATTCCCAAGAGAAAAGCTGCTGGTTGTTTTTTTTATGAATGCTATCTTAAACATCTTTTTCAATTCATTGTATATCATTTCCCAGTAAGCTTTAACCTTATTACAAGACCACCACATGTGAAAAAGGTGCCTTCTTTTTCTGTACCTTTCCAACACTTATTTGACTTTGATTTATACATTTTCCCCAATCTACTGGGTGTTAAATACTATCTATATTGCATTTTCATATAATTTTCTCTTAAACCATAATATGCTGTAAATTTTATATCCGTATTTCATAAACATTCCCATGCTCCCATTTTATATATTATGACCAACATCTATTGCCCACTGTATCATTGATGATTTCATTTGTTCATCCTTTGTCTCCCATTCCAATAACATCTTATACATTTTAGACATCACTTTAACGTTACAGTTTAACAGGACTCTAATTGTGATAGTTGTTCCCCAAACCCCCGCTTCATATCCTTTTGAAATATTTCATTCAAATGATGATATTGTAACCATGTTGTTAGCATTCCTGGTAGTTCCTTAAACACTTTTAATTTAAATTCTCTACCCTGCTCTCTTAATAAATTTCTATAAGTTGCCCAACTTTCCGTCATATTTTTCTTTTTCACCACCATGGCTTCCAAAGGTGAAAGCCAAAGTGGTGTTTTAGTTTCCAATACATTTTTATATTTGTTCCATATTCCATACATTTTTTTCTAATTATATGGTTTGTAAAACCTTTATGTACTTTCACCTTTTCATACCACAAATAAGCATGCCAACCAAAAATATTATCATGGCCTTCCAAATCTAAAATATGCAGATTCTTCAGTAGCGACCATTCCTTTAACCAACGCAGACAAGATGCTTCATAATATAATCTCATATCCGGCAGGGAGAAACCTCCTCTATCTTTCGTGTCTATCAGTATTTTATATTTTATTTTTGATTTTTTCCCTTGCCAGATATATTCAGAAATATATTTTTGCCATTTGTTGAAGCAATTTGTCTTGCCGATCACCAGCAGTGACAGAAACAAAAATAACGTTCTTGGTAATACATTCATCTTTATGGTCAACACTCTGCCCAGCAACGAAAGTTTCATTCTACCCCATATTTGTAAATTTCTTTTAATGTCCTCCCAGGTTTTCAAATAGTTACCTTTATATAGATTTATGTTCTTCGCTGTTAGCCATATACCTAAATACTTAACCTTCTTGTCAGTCTTTAGACCTGATATATTTTGTAAGGTGTTTTTACTCTCATCGTTCATGGTTGTTGTTTTTTACCAGGAGCTTGGTTTTATCTTTGTTAATTTTAAGACCTGCTCTTTCTCCAATTTTAAAAAATCTCTTCTGATACTTTTGGAATTGACGCTGTTGGTTCTTCTACACAGATAGCAGCAACTCAGGATGCGGAGAGGGTGTGTGTGTGTGTGTGTGTTCATGCAAAAGGCATTCATACTCTGGAGCTGCCGATGAGAGCGCATCCTGCTGGTCTTGGGGAGGATTAGGCGACAGAGTCTCTCTGAAGCAAATGCTCAAAGCGAAGAAGGAAGGGAGGGGAGGGGGATGCGACAGGGACACTTCCCTCATAATTCCAAATGAACCCGTTAGGTATCCTGTCCACTCACTAGCATTGCTTAGGGTTGCAAAGTTTATTTCTGCGAGCGCGAGCTTCCGGATTGCTGCTGTTCTCAGGTAGGCTTGAATCCTAGCCGGCAAATGCAGGCTCTGCCATTCTAGTTGATTCTTGGGTGCCTTGCGCAACAAAGTCATTCTTTGTTGCCTTGTCACGTGACAAACCTGCCCACCCCTCCTGAAAACTCGGACTTGGTGCTGTAAAGAAAGTGAGAGGGAAACGCAGCTGAAAACACAGGATTGCGCTTGGCTTTGGCGCCAGGTGATGTGACCTCCCTGCAAATAAATCAAGATGAATGTTCAAAATGAAGAGGTTCTCTGGAGGCACTGGACCTGTTGGTACTTGATGCTAATAGTTTGATTTTAGTTCACAAGAGTGTAGAGTAACTGTGCATTCTGAAAGCAGAATGTGAGTGAGGTCTAAGAGGTGGGGGAAGCCTTTTTTGGGGGCAGAGACTTCTTTTTAAAGGTTTTTTTTTAATGGATACTGGATTAAAACTGTGGGGTGTGGGGACTTTTTCTTGTTTCTCATCAGTCTTATTAAACCAGGAACCCACAAAAACAATGCAATTTCTAAGCAGAAACAACTTTGGGAACTGGCAATTTTGAACAAAGAAGCGGCATGCGGGCAGGCAGAAGAATTTAGCCTGCAACCCTGACTTCACCTACCCGGGAATAATCCTGTTGAATTCTGTATAATTTATTTCTGAGTGGGAATGGTTAGGCTGTTTCTCCCACCCCAAAGCTGCTGTTTGCAGAAATGAGTGGCTATCAGGGGTTTGTTAAACACAATTGCGTAGTTAGGTCTTTAGCTCGCTTGGGAATCTCAAGGAACAGATTTGCTATAAATTCAGACTTGCTCCATTTATATGCACATGCGTGTAAGGAGCTTAAGGCTAAACATTTCTTTTAAGAAAGACAATTAACTTGGTGAAGAGCCCCCGATATAAAGGAAAATGTTACGCCAGAGGTCACCCTAAATCATAAATATTTTTCCTTTCATCATTTTTGTTCATTTGACCTTAATTTATGTACTTCACTTTGCTATTTGCAATTCTGTGCTGTTCTTAACTTGACAGATGTCACCCCTCTTTGACCTGGAATATTTAGATGTTCAGATTTCACCTGTTTTCCTGTTGTTAAAGTTTGCAGTCTATAGGACATAGCCAGGATTTGGGATCTTACGACACCTAGAAATTATGTTCAGATGTTGTTAATCATTTCCCTTTTTAAATTGGACAGGTGCAACCAAAACAACCATCCTTCCCAGGCACACTTTCAATATGGTTACTCTCTTGCAGGTTTAGCAAACCCCTTTACTAAATTTAGCAAACCCTTTTTTTCATGCATTCATGGAAATGTCCAGAGAACCATTTTGAACTTAAAATACTTAACTTGCACCATAAAATTTGCGTTTTAATTACTGCTGGATAACTCAGTATAAATAAATATGTTTAACTGAAATCGGATAGAATATGATTGATAGGTGAAATTTGCTGAAATGTGTGTGTGGAGATAGGATATCTTGTTTCCAAGGGCTTACCCACACTGAAGCTTGACAGATTTTAAGCTGCTTGTGTCTCTCTTGCTTTTGTGGCATCCGCACAATGTCCTTATCCAAGTGATAGGCTACACTTTCTCCCTGATAAATTTGGGGTTTCTTGAGCTACAGATAATCCAATAAGGGAAGAAAATCCAATGTAAAATGTCATGTTACCACCTGACTATGGATGCAGTGGAACACATTGTATCGCTGGGTCATTTATTTATTTTTACATGGGTGGTGACCTATCGCTGGGTTCCTACTATCAACCTGCCTCCCTTCTATTTTGTTTCCATCGACCTACAGGAAGAATATGCAGCCTGCCTTTTTCCACTGGTTATTGCTGAAGGCAAGTTCTGGTGTTTTTATTTTTAAAACAGCTCTCTTGCATGAAACAGCTGTAATAAAAATAAAATAAAACTTGTCATTGGAGGTATAGGAGGCAGAAATTGAAAAAGGGGAAGAAGGAAGTGGCAGCCTTTCATGTGAATGGCTTCAAATCCTTACCTAGCTACGAGAGGTGCACAGTTTTTTAAAAAATACTGCTATTTTGTGCAGTAAAATAAAAATAAGATGTGCACACATACCCACAATGGACGTAAGGTTCCTGGCTTGGACTGTCACACATGCACATTTTTAAATTTTTTTACTGCAAACCAGGTATATTAAAAAAACTTGGATTTCAGAAATGCATCTTTTATAAAACAAAATCCACAAAGACCTGCATGCATGCCCGCATGAGGTTTTGGGTTTGGGGAACTTATGGTGGATGGGGACCTCCTAATTGAGGAGAGGGGACAACAACAGACATAGAGACCTATTTATGCAATAAGACTCTAGTGTAGACACAGGTCGTAGGTCAGGCTTCCTCCAACTCGGCCCTCCAGATGTTTTGAGACTACAGTTCCCATCATCCCTGACCACTTGTCCTGCTAGCTAGGGATCATGGGAGTTGTAGGCCAAAAAAACATCTGGAGGGCCGAGTTTGAAGAAGCCTGTCATAGGTAATGGCTTTTTCTAGTATTGTTCCAGATGCAACACTACTTAAGATACAGATGTTACATATTTCATTGATGACACACCATTTAATTTTAGTAGTGTGTTCAGTATTCATTACATAGAAGCAGAGCCCCTGCTTTCTTAAATGACCAGAAGACATTATTTTTAAAAGCAATGTTCAGTTTTAGTTTTGCAGAATCCTATACTAGTCCATTTTGATTGTGGAAACCTTGCGTTGTTTGTCAGGTTAGAGCAGAGGCAGAGAACCATACAGTGTAAGCCAGCTAAGGGTTTCACATACTACTGTGCAGCAACCATGAATACTTTGTGCACCCCACTATTGTGCTGGTGTTTCCTAATTGACGGGGGGTGGGGGAGAAATCATGGCATTTCCTAAATGTAGATAGCAGCTATGCACTACTAAATACACTTCAAAGCACTAGGAAAATAGTAACACCATCTAAGCAAACCTCAGAAAGTGCAGTTTGTAAGAATGCTCTCCTAAGCCTAAACTGCCTTCAGCACAACCTGCTTTAATGTTCCATTTCCATTTTATTGTAATATGTTGTGTACATGAAATGAAAAATGTGCTGTTAAAGAGGAACAGGAGACAAAACCTTGCCTTAGAAGCACTCATTTATAAAATGTCAAACATTTTACTCCATTCTCATCAGTAATCTGTTCTTAAAGGTAAAGGTACCCCTGCCCGTACGGGCCAGTCTTGACAGACTCTAGGGTTGTGCGCTCATCTCACTCTAGAGGCCGGGAGCCAGCGGTGTCCGCAGACAATTCCGGGTCACGTGGCCAGCGTGACGAAGCTGCTCTAGCGAACCGGCGCCAGAGCAGCACACGGAAACGCCGTTTACCTTCCCGCTATAAAGCGGTACCTATTTATCTACTTGCACTTAGGGGTGCTTTCGAACTGCTAGGTGGGCAGGAGCTGGGACCGAAAGACGGGAGCTCACCCCGCTGCGGGGATTCAAACCGCCGACCATGCGATCGGCAAGTCCTAGGCGCTGAGGTTTTACCCACAGCGCCACCCGCATCCCCAATCTGTTCTTAAGTAGTACAAAAAAATAAAGAACTCTCTGAATTCTCAGTGTTATTTAAGAACAAGATGATTTATTTAGAACAAGAGTGGGAGTTGTTAATTATATGTTTGTGATGTTATTGTTTTACAAATTGCTTTTGTTTCCACTCTCTGTGTTGACTACTAAGCAATTACAATTTAATCAAAGAACTTAAGGGATTGGACTTGAAGCAAGTTTGTTCCACTTCAGTCTCATTGATATTTGTGGGATTTGAAAAGCTAGTTGTGACAAACTTTTCCTATTGATCGCAATGGAAACTAAGTGTTACTAACTCACTCCAGCCCTGACCTAGCTGTCAGCCTGCCCTGCCCCTGCATTGTCCGGGTAATTGGCAAGAATGCCAACATTTGGAAAGTGGTACTGCCCCGCAGGTTGGCCATTCATGAGTTAGGGTCTAATGACATGTAGAGAGCCATAGCTTCCCCATTTGTACTTCACAGGCATAGCAAAAACTCATTGTAGTACAGTCGTACCTTGCATCCCGAATGCCTTGGTACTCGGACGTTTTGGCTCCTGAATGCCGCAAACCCGGAAGTGATTGTTCTGGTTTGCGAACTTTCTTTTGGAACCCAAACGTCCGACAGGGCTTCTGCGGCTTCTGATTGGCTGCAGGAAGAAGCCATGATTTGTTTCTCGAACGTTTTGGAAGTTGAACAGACTTCCGGAACAGATTATTTTCGACTTCCAAGATACAACTGTACTGTGTTTGTGTGTGACTATGCCCTAATAAAAGGGACCCGGGTGGTGCTGTGGGTTAAACCACAGAGCCTAGGACTTGCTGATCAGAAGGTCGGCGGTTCGAATCCCCATGATGGGGTGAGCTCCCGTTGCTCTGTCCCAGCTCCTGCCAACCTAGCAGTTCGAAAGCGCATCAAAGTGCAAGTAGATATATAGGTACCGCTCCGGCGGAAAGGTAAATGGCGTTTCTGTGCGCTGCTCTGGTTCGCCAGAAGCGGCTTAGTCATGCTGGCCACATGACCCAGAAGCTGTACGCCGGCTCCCTCAGCCAATAAAGCGAGATGAGCGCCGCAACCCCAGAGTCGGTCACAAATGGACCTAATGGTCAGGGGTCCCTTTACCTTTACCTTATGCCCTAATAAACCACTGCTGTAGAATCCTAGTAACCCTCAAACTAACATCCAGGAAAAGGGGTGAAAGAGTAATAACATGGGGAAATTACGTAAATTATGTAATGACAGTACATTATGCAATGTCTTTCTTTAAAATTATTGCCTTGATTGCAACGCTTACATGTTTTCCTCTCTTTGTATACAGGATGCCAGAAGTAGCATGAGAGAAGCTTCATAGTAGAGCGTTATGAAAATATATTATGGAGCTGGGATGAAGAAAAGGCATAACCACAGCTCTGCAGTTCTGAAAAAAGTATTATCTTTGGGCTATCATGGACACGTTGAAATGATTCATATCTTCTATTCTGCACAGATAATAGGTTGGGGCAGAGAGGAACAGTGTAGTGTGTTTCTAAGTGAGCAACGCAACATCTACATTAGATTGACAGATTAAATAAAGCCCCCAAACTTGGTAATGGAAAGATGGCGGCCTTCAGAAGCTGGTAGATCTGGAAATAAGGTTCTTCAATATTATCTCACTTACTATGATGTCAGAAATTAATGCCAACTTGACAGTCAACCTCAGCACATCTACAGATGAGCCAAGAACTGGCCTCTCTAGAACAGGTCACACCATTGTGGCAGTTTTTCTTGGGTTCATATTACTTTTCGGCTTCTTGAATAACTTGATCGTCCTCATTCTCTTCTGCAAGTTCAAAACCCTGCGCAACCCTGTGAACATGCTGCTGCTGAACATCAGTGCCAGCGATATGTTGGTGTGCATCTCGGGTACCACATTCAGTTTCGTATCCAACATCTATGGCAAGTGGATTGGAGGGGAGCATGGCTGCCGGTGGTACGGCTTTGTCAATTCCTGTTTCGGTAAGAGTTTGGAAGCTTACGTTTCACTGCTTTGGTAACCCATTCAAAACTGTCAACGTTTCCCTTTTTTAAAGGGAAATTCCCTTATTCTGAATAGGATTCCTCGCAAGAAAAGGGAAAAGTTGGCAGCTAGGAACCCATTTCTACAAGAAGATGATTCGTAAATAAATCCTGGGTGGTATTCAACCAAGTATTACTCAGAACAGACCCATTGAAATGAATGGACCCAATTCAGTCATGTTCATTAATTTCAGTAGTAAAACTTAGATGAATACAAACCATTATTCTCTCCTAGGCTGATTAGATGTTGGTAGCTCAATCCACATTTTTATTCCAAGCTCTGAATCACACATCTTTATTGGGCATAATTGTCCTGAGCATAATCTTAGGGCTGAATTATGTGTTCCATAGCACAGGTGGGCTGGGGAAAGATTATTCCCATTCTGGGGTTTCAGATAGTATTGCTTTTTTTGGTGCTGCTGGGGTTGCAAAGAAGGTTTCATGGACACATGAAGATATAAGCACTTTCATTCTGCTTACTGCTTGGCATTGGCAAATAATCACACACACACAATTTTGTTTCGTCCTGAAATATGTTGGCTTGGTGACTTGGTATTGAACCAATGAAGCAGGTGTCTGGTTGCCAACTAGCCAATGGCAGGATGGTTTTTCTCTCGCTGATTATCACACACCTATCATGTGGTGAAGCAATGGTTTCTCCACAGCTTTAGCAGCCACATAAGGAAGATCCACACTTTGAAAGAATATGACTGTGTGGTAGTAATAAGATTGCATGGGCTGCAAGAGTGCATTGTCTATGCCCAACATCTGCACATGATGCACATAGATTTTTGCTACACACATGCAGATATTCTGTGAAAGGGCTCTGTCTGCATACTGACATATGTTTGTAAGACAGGGCCAGGGTCACCCTCCCATGGAGGACCTTTGTGTGCATATATCAGTAGACACATGGAGTCCATCAGTAGTGGGGGACTGGCAGTTTTGCATGTTGGCGCATGCAGGATGGTCTACCCTGCATAGTCCCCTCATGCGTTATTCCAACAGCAATCTCCCCAACAGCAACAGCTTTATTGCTAAGATCAATCTATAATAGCAGCATAACTGACTGCCTTTGTACAGGTACAGCAACAGCTATGGTTAGAACAGCAAGATAATAGATCCTTATTATAGTCTCCCTCCCCTGCTGTTCAGGAAGTGGCAAGGAGCCTATTCAGAAGAAATTATGGGTTCCCTTCTGACTTATGAACTGATTTTGTCCTGCTAGTCACGGCTGCTTCCATAATCTTCCATTAAGTTAACAGTCCTTCTCACACCAAAAGGGAAGACTGCTATGGAGACAGATGCTTGCTTCATTGGTTAGGAGGCAGGTTTCCCGGTCAACCTTCTGGCCCAGTGCCCTTGCACAATAAAGCAATTAATAAAACACAAAAGATTCACCTCATCTGACTTTGGTTGGAAGCAGAATTCACCAGGTCAGAGATATCCTGTAAAATGTGTGAACAGGGTGGTTAAGTTCTTTTACAGAAGTCACTGAAGAGTATGTATCGCGTTCCCACCCGCTTTGCACATATAACTCATGAATGAACAAAGAAAATGAAGAATGTTGAATTGCCTCTCTTCCATTCTTGGTATCCCTCCTCTTTCAACAATGGTGGTGACCTGGTGGCCCCCTCAGATGTTGCTGGACCCTAGCTCCCACTAGCCCTTGTCAGCATGGCTAATGGCCAGGGATGATGAGGACTGCAATCCAGCTACACTGGGAAGGCCATCCTGTCTTAATGTGTAATCTAAAGTCGACCTCTGGGAGCACATGCCCATTAGACTTTCTTTAATCCACTGCCATCAAACAATAACCTCTTGCAATTTGGTCTGTACTAATTTGTACTTGCTATCTAGAAATGTAGGCATTTTATGCCTGGTTCCTCTTTTCTGCCCACTTCCACTGATGCTAGGAAAGACACTCAACACACCTGTCTTTGTAGATCAAAGCATGACACACTTGTCAATTCAGCTTCAAGAGGAAGAATGTAATTTGAGAAAATTCTCAGCCACGTAATTCCAAATTACCTGGCATTCTTCTGCCTGGTATTCTTCATCTTGAACAAACTATATCATACCTGTCAGATGAATGAAAGTGTGGTTCATACTGAATGTTATAGGGTGTTTGTTTTCTTTGTGGGCATAAATTATTGTGAGAGAAGAGAGAGATCTGTGAAAGAAGCAGTTGCTACTAGTGAGGTTTAACTCCTCCCCTACTACCTTGAGCTGTGATATGATGCCCATTTACCTAGGAGGATCAAACCCTATTGAAATGAATGAGGCTTACTTTTCAGCAAACAGAAATAGGACTGTTGTTGCATAGTATATAGATAGGTTCTATTCCTATGGCTTCCATACTTGCCCTCTCTCTGCATGCTGTTTTTAACATTCCTGTCACATAAGTACAGGGGTGAAGGACAATAGCACAGTGGCAGGTCATGTTATTTGCATGCAGAAGTGTTCAGGTACATTCTACAGTCTCGGACACTTCTAGGTAGGGTTAGGAAACACTCCTGTCTGAAACCCTGCATTGCTGCTTTTACATGTGCAAATGACAGAGGCTTATTAGCGGGTCCACACCTCTTAACTACCCCCAGCACACACTTGGGTCTGGCTGTTTCCCAGTTCTAATTAAATCCTATTAAGCCCAAGCATTTAGCACTCACAGATCTATAACAGTATCTTCACTTGGAAGCAAAGTTCCTCGGCTTTCAGTGGGGCTTTTCTCTCTCTTAGTAAAGGTGCTTGGGATTGCAACCCCAGTTGTAAAGCTGCATGGGGATTCATACCCAGCTGCTTTGTATGTCACTCCCACCTAACTCTTTTGCACTTATGTAACAAAACAAAAGACCAAATGAATGGGAGCCCTTTTTCCTGTCCTCCTGCTAGGTTGCTTGATCACACTCTCCTGCTCTCTGTGTGGCCTACAAGCAGTACTTTTTCTTTCGTGGAAAAGAAAAGAAAAGGAGATGCCAGTATTCTTATACAGTGGTACCTTGGAAGTCGAACGGAATCCATTCCGGAAGTCCGTTCGACTTCCAAAACATTCAGGAAGCTACGGAAGCCGCGTTGGACATTCGGGTTCCAAAGAACATTCGCAAACTGGAACGCTGACTTCTGGGTTCACGGTGTCCGGGAGCCAAAACGTTCGACTCGCAAGGTGTTTGGGATCCAAGGTACGACTGTATTTATATTAAGTGTCATGCGTTCTAGAACAAAATGGCTGCTATGGGCAGCAAAGAAGAAGAAGAAGAAAGCGCTGGTATTCTGTATTGGGTTACATAAATCTTATGTAGCCCGAGAAGGTGTGGCTGCTGTAACAGTTATTTGAAGTTGTGGATGGTCCCTTTAATCAGGGGTGTCATGTTCCACTTTGCTGCTTGTGGTGGGACAGGAAGTGCTACCCTGCCACTGCTCTGCTGCCGCACTGCCTCCACAACTCTGCCCTCACCCCTGCACAGTGGCGGTATTAAGTGGCGACAACAGCAGGTTCTGGAGAGATCCACAAAGCCTTGTACTGTATTCATTAATGTCAAAAAGAAATAAGACAATATGGAATTATTGTTTCTCAGCCTTCAATATTGGCCTGAATTGTAAAACCGAAATAGTTCCCCCCCTTGCTATTTATTTATTATCCATTGGGAAATGTCACTGTTGGCTGAAATCTATAATTTGTGTCCCTATGAAATACACAGTCCTAAGTAGCCTTGAGTCAGCATTCATGATAGCATTTCTGGACAGCTGAACCTTTAAAAAAATTGTATCTTAGTTTTAGTATGTTTGGCCTTATATAAATGAAAAATCCTTAAAATGGTACAGAAGAACACAGCATCCCGTGATAAATAAAAGGGGGCGTAACTATAGAGAAGTTGCTTGGCTATTTTTGGAGGGGGTTTTAATAAACGGAAAACGGATCCAAACCTAGGCATTGTTGGTTCTGTGCAGAATAATTGAAAGGAATCTACTTGGATGTTTGCATTTACTGTATATTCTGCAGAATCTCCTTCGGATAAGACATCTGTTACAATTAATGTTCTAAAGCAAATCTCAACTTTTAACAAGTAGCAGACCTTCTGTAGTTATTAAGGCAATTTGTAAGAACATGAAGACCATAATTACCAATTGAATGATCGCAAAATTAATTCTAGATAAATAAGTTTCAAGGACAAACACACTCTTTAGCTGTAACCAGGGCTTTGACCTTCAGTTGGATAGTTTTAATTTTAGAGTCTTTGGATCTGGCCTATTTAACCAGGCATTGTGATTAATAACACTTTCATAACTGGAGTTGATGAAGAGCCTTGTTCCTATCCCTTTCAGCTCCAGATATACGTTCCTTTAAAAAGTAGGTAACCTTGATTTCGGTGGAATCAATCTGCCCTTTTAGTGTGTTGTCACCTTAAAGTCTAAATTTGCCTTAGTTTTAAAATAAAAATCCAAGTACTTTATCAGAGTCCTATCAAGAATGCAGAAGTAATTCAGGAATTTAAAAAAAGGACAAAACGGGAGGGACGAACCAGAATAAATGAAAAACACAATAAGCGTTTAGAACTGATGGTATATGTTTATGAGAGACATATGCTGGTTTTATAGTCATGTCCCCTTTCTTGCTATTGGGTGTGTGTGTGTGAATTTTGCCCCCTTTATCCTATAAAAATGTTTGAGCTCAGGCGTTTAATGGGGAAAGTCAGGAAAGGAATCTTTGACCTTCTAAATATAAGGCACGTCCATGAGTATTACCGTATTTTTCCGTGAATAAGACTAGGTTTTTTAACCAAAAAATTAGGTTTAAAATTGGGCCTCTTCTTATACATGGGTAGTGCTGAGGGTTTGTTTTTTTCCTTAATTTGGAGTCCCCCAAAATAGGGGGTGTCTTATACATGGGGGCGTCTTATAGACAGAAAAGTATGGTAAGTTCTGGCCCTCTTGCAAAGCTGTGGTCTTCTCTGTAATAGCTGAAATCTTTGGAATGCTCTCCCCATGGAGGCACATTAGTGTTAACTTTTTTCCTTTTTTACAAAAAATCTGGCACCAGGTAAAAACATTTTTATTCTCTGGGACATAAGGATAACTACCGGTAGAATCATAGAATCATAGAATCATAGAGTTGGAAGAGACCACAAGGGCCATCGAGTCCAACCCCCTGCCAAGCAGGAAACACCATCAGAGCACTCCTGACATATGGTTGTCAAGCCTCTGCTTAAAGACCTCCAAAGAAGGAGACTCCACCACACTCGTATTGGTACTAAGTTTGGGCTTCAGTGTGCATGCTTTGTAATTGTTGTGTTGATATTGTGTTGTGTTGATATTGTCCATTATTTCACAGGCATGTTGGGGATGTAGGGAAATGTCACTTGAGGTTATTGATGTCATGGACTCCTGACTGGATAGTAGCTGGTGTCACTGATGACAAATAATCACCTTGCACACAAACAACCCAGTGGCAGTGCTGAAATTACTTCCACGGACAGTCTTAACCTCTGGTGTGTACTGGATAAGTGCATGTAACACCACACTGACAAGCCACTGAAATCCCCTTCAAAATCTCTCTATATAATAAAAATGAAAGAATGTCGTCATGCAACTCCCTTGAAGTGGGGCTAATCCCTGGAGTCTAATCCATGAAGTCAGGGTGAGGCAGGGAAGCAAGAAAGGAGAAACACTGAGGAGGGGAAAGTGGTTTGATTAAAACGACAGCAGAGGTTTGAGCAAAGTAGAGATGAAGAGACATTGAAGTTTTGTTTTCAAAAGAGTTTTAACAAGTTTTAACTTTCTCCCCTGCTTTACTCAAACTTCTGCCATCATTTTAAAATGGCCACTTCCCCCTTTCTATGTTTACGTAGACTTATTTTGATCTTTCAAAGACCTTCAGCTCACAATTAAGCTATTAGTATTCTACCATGTGCATTTTGAGATACATTACACTTAGTTGAAATCAAAGGTTAGCAATTAGTAGCATTTAAGAAGCTTTCATTTCCCAGGTAATTTAAGTCACTTGTTGGCAAGGTGACTGTTCTTGTCCTTCTCCTGTCACTTACATGTGTCCAGTTATCAGCGTAACCTAAAAGATCTTTTATGCCTGGCAGGTTTTCTCATTAAAAAGGGGGTGTGGGGGAAGGGGGGAAAACACTTATTTAAGATGGGTGAAGCTGGTGGGAGTTTGCTCACATATGTTTATACTTCAGTAACTTATTAATGAAATAAACCGTAAAAGCCTTACCCTCCACAGGGAAGTTTTATGGGGAAAGCATAACTTTTAAAAATTTAAAACGATAGCTTCAAATGTAATGCTTGAACTCCCAATATTTAACAAACTAGATTATAAACAATGACAGGGCTTTGTCCTCAAGCATGTTTAGAAACCCTTAAGGCCTCTAGTTTGTTGCCATCTATTATCATATACCCAGGAGGTAGAATGAGTTCAAAAGTTTACTCCAGGATTCTAAATGGAGTGTGTTGGGGTGTGTTGCTGATGAATTTGTGCATGGAAAAGGAGCAGAAAATGATTGGTGCTCTTTAGACAATACGCATTTCAAAAAGGAACTTCCTACTCTTTATGCCCAGGTCTAGCCACAGCACTTAACTCTGCCATAGGTTCTGATCTTTCACATCTAAATATTTTCCTAAGAACCAATTTGCAGGCCAGTGAACCAGTGCTGACAGTACAGTAGAAACTTGTTTTGCTAACGGTAGAATCGTGTCCGGCTCAGTTGTTTCAGGTGGAACTGAGGTTGCCCATGGTCTTAAAACTGTGGGTATGGTGCATCCAAAATACTATTCAAAGGGTTAATGCTGTAGCCTAGAATCTTGTGATGTCATATATATACTGAGGTAGTATATGTCTGTGTGCGTGAGTTTTAATTGTGAGAACAGCAAGTGCTTAGTGTTATGCTGCTGCCTGCCTCAGAGCGAGTCTGTAAATATCAGTCCAGTCTCAGATGCAAATTCATGGAAATATGTTTCAGTAACATAAGTGTCACCTGCCTCTCTTGTACATTCAGTCTGACAAGAGCAAGTGGAGCAATGAAAAGTCATATGTCATTGTGGCGATCACACAGGGTCCCCGGACGCTTGACGGTCTATTGATCCCTGTGCCACCACTGTGATTGCTTTCCTGCTGCCACCAACCCGTTTCTCTCAGGTACACACAGAGTCCAGACAGTTGTTAACATTAAATCAAATAAGCAAGTTTATTTTATAAGCCTTAACAAGTTTATGGTTTCAGATAATTTTTCTTGTCAGTTTCTTAATCTTAGTTTCTATACCGGCCTATACCTTTCCTAATAACTGCTAACTGATTATCCCAGCTGTCTATCTGACTCCTCCTATCAGTTTCTCTCACTCTCTCACATCAAAACTTGACCAACCCACAGACTTATCCTCTCTCTTCCTTCTCCAACTCCCAACTGACCTCCAGACAACTCTAACTCTAACTCCTCCCCTTGGGTTCCCACTGGCCAATCACTTCACACCCATTTAACGCTTTCCTTATGACCCAGCATGATGTCACCTAGGAGGGCAAACGCCACAGTCATCTTAAACTTTAAACGCAAGTGTTGCGTGGTTTTTGTAGGAGAAAAGAGAACCATTAAAAAAGGGTCAAATGACCCAGGGCAACCTCTGCACAACTTTGCAAAGTATAATTACCACAGATGTGTGTGTGTGTGTGTGTGGAGTCCATGGAGTTTCGGGTGTCAGCTGGCTGTGATGATTTTACTTGCTAATTTGCTAATGTAGCATCACTCTCATTTGCTCCAATATGGATTCCTCATGCTGTTTAGGAAACAGCAGTGCAGTGTAGACAAAGCCCTTACCTGCCATTGCTGGAAGTTAAACTGAAGGGGAGCAAACAGCCTGCCTTTTGCTTCCATTCAGCCTCTGATGTAAAAGCAAAAAAGGAATTGAAATCATAGTTCACATACTCTGTAGTGTACTCCAAGGCAAGAGGTGGAGAACCACTTTCGACCAGAGGACCAGATCCCCACGTGGAGAGTCATTCTGTGGCAAACTTTAATAGGTGCATGGCTGCGGGCCCCTGTCAAGCACATCATATGAATGAATGAATGAATCTTTATTTGCGTCAGCCATAGCGATAAAACAACAATACGATATATAAAGAATAGAAATAAAAAGTGAATTATATAAAATACAGTGGTACCTCTGGTTGCGAACGGGATCCATTCCGGAGGCCCGTTCGCAACATGAAAAGAACACAACCCGCAGCGGCGCATCTGCGCATGCACGGTTGTCATTCGCCACTTCTGCGCATGCGCGTGACGTCATTTTGCGCTTCTGCGCGAGCGGCGAGACCCAGAAGTAACCCTTTCCGGTACTTCCAGGTCGCCGCAGGACGTAACCTGAAAGAACGGAACATGAAGCGGACGTAACATGAGGTATGACTACATTTTAGGGTTTTGAATCGATAGTCAAATAGTGAATCTTATTCTAATTGCCCCAGCTTGCAACCTTTGCTGTCACCTGCTCATCTTGATCTGCCAAGAGAAAGGACACTATGGCAGTGGCTGGATGACCCGGAATGGAGATTAAGAGGGGTGATGACCTTATTCCTCAAGCCTTTACAAAGATTGCACATCATATGTCATCAGGCATTGCCCATCAAAGGAAGATTCTTGCTTTGCAATTGTTGGATTATAACTCCCGTCTTCCCTGGCCATTGCCTATGTTGACTGGAGCCAATGGGAGTTGAACTCTTAACAACACCCAGAGGGTTACAGTTTCTGCATCCTCATAGAGTCTGCATTTAGTTACTGCACTGAGATGGTGGTAATAATAATAATATTAATAATAATATTAGACTAGCCTCTCTTCTAGGTGTATTGTTGCACCTGGGATTGTTCTGAGGACTGCTGGGATGCAGAAATATTTAGTGGTGGTTCTTCCATTTTTGAAAATATAAAATCCAGCTGTTATCAGGATCTGTCTCCATCACTTGGAAGTAGTCACTATTGAATCGAAGCCACATTCTTTTTTTCTCTGTAAGCACAATCCTCTAAATTTTTTGGCATACCTAGTGAAATACTTTTTCTTTTGATAAGAATTTTTCCCTTTTCTCCCCACCCCCAGAAGTTAACTAAGTGGACGTGTCTTGGTTGTTTACATTGGCATTTTCCCAAACATCAAAGGGGACAAATATTATGTAGAGGTGGCAATGCCTTTGTAATTGGGGCATCATTAAACGATTTCCAGGTCAATAAACAACAGCATTTATTGATTTGCAGACAACACCACAATTACGCACTTGTATAATCCATAGCAAACCCTGCTAGTTTCCAAATGCTTCTTGTCTGCCTGTTATAAAAAAAACACTTCTCCCACTCACCCATGTACACATCAGCTGTGTGTAAATGTCAGTGTCGCTGTCATTATATATGCATTTCAGTGCAAGCAAACTTTGTTTCAATTTAGTGGATTAATAATTAGCTTCTGGTAAATTTGTAGCCCGTTTTGGCCATTTGGTATGCATAGGTATTGAATGTGTGAAGTGGCTTCCAAAAAATGTGCTGGCTCACCCTGTTCTCTAGGTGCCAACACATGCAGTTACGCTCATTCTTATGGTGGGAGCCCCATGTCCATATCTTTCAGTCTATCCCTGTGTCCAGGACACAGACAAAGCATGAACTTGGCAGCCCACATGATAACATCTGTTGCTGGAACACAGTGGGAACTGTTTGAATTCTCTGCCATGTAAAAATAAAAGGAGCATTCCTATACACACATGTCAAAGAAGGGGAAACAGCGCATAACATGTTCCTTAACAGTAGTTCACAGCTTTCTTAATTCAAATATTTGATCCTTCACTGCAATCTGCAGGGGACAGCCTTGCAAATGATCGATCATTTGGAGCTTCTGATTGTGGACAGCACCCTTCACAGTCCGGCTCTCCCTCTCTCAAACTGGAAAAGTTGCAGGTCCCATTGCTACATCTGTTGCTCCTCCCAAGCATCTTTTGTGCCCCATTTTGGCAACTGAACAGCTTGCTGCTACCCCTTTGTTGGATTTGTCCCAGAAACCTCCCATTGCTGACCCCAGTCTTCCATTATAAGATAAAGGGAGGTGAGGCCATCTTGCCAAACACTTTCTGAGTTTATTTGCAGACATATTTGCTCTATATGCCAAACTTCAGAAGGTTCAGAAGTGTCTAGATGCTAGCCTAAGTCAGAATGTTCTCGGGCCAAGGCTTGGTTTGGATAATAATAATAATAATAATAATAATAATAATATATTATTTGTACCCTGCCCATCTGGCTGGGTTTCCCCAGCCACTCTGGGCGGCTTCCAACAAAGACCAAAAATACACTAAGATTAACCACTATGGCAGTCCCTTTTTCTTTGCAGAAACCCCATCTTACAGATATCGAATCACAGGCTTGGAGAGGAACCCAATGATGACATCTAGACAAGCCCCCCTCCTTTCATGACTCATGGAAGTGAAACCCAGTAATAAGATACAAAGATGACAATGTTTCATATACTTTTCTGCCATTAAGAAAATAGACTTCTAACCTGAAGAATATAGACTAAAACTCAAGCTGTTCCACTCATGTCTGTAGGAGGAAACCATCTGGGTTGGGCGGATTGTATGATTACTTCCCACACTAGCACAAGCCATCCCACAGGAAAGGAAGATATAGGCATAGAACCCACATCTTCTGTAGTCTGTATCCTCCAGAGAATATCAGTCACACTGAAATGGTTGACTCAGGGCCATGGTCATCAGAGGATAGCATAGTCATCTGCTTGCTTAGGCCCGCATTCTTGCTCCCAAAAGCTTCCTGGCACCACCTCATGATTGCCAGCTGCCCACTTCTGTCATTTTTCTTCCTAACCCCCAGGGGATGAGTGAGCAAATGATGACCATGAAAAGCTGAGTGCAGCTTCCATTGGTTCTTTCTCACTTGCCTGCCAGAACTCTCACCGGCAGACCAGCTGGCAGGGATATTGTCCTGTGTCTTGATGAAAACTTGGGAAATTGCTTTAAAGCAGTTACCATCATGACTTTACAAAAAATCTATTCAGATACAGTTGTCTTTACCAAAGGGAATGTATTTCCATTGAGACAGAGGCAGGAGTTTTGAATATTTTCTTTGAATATTTCTGAGATTGCCAAAAGCTTGAAAAGCAGATCTATACTATACTATACTATACTATACTATACTATACTATACTATTTGGTTCCAGCATCTGTATGTCCTTTGGTGACAAGGAAGTAACAATAAAGATCAATTGAGACCAGGAGGTTAAGTTCCCTAATCAGCTTGGGGTGAATTTTGCAAAATTATTCTCAGTGGAGGGAGACATCGCTATCATAAATGTCAAGTTTCAAGTTCAGTCATGCCTTTTGTGTGTGTCTGTAGAAGGGAAAATGGAAAATAAAATGTGTTACTTGACCTTGTCTGCCTTGCCAGCTTCTTCCTATTGACCCTGGGAGGGGGAATTATTGGTTTGTTTTTGTTCTTATTATGTATTTTTGTGTTTTCTATATTGTAATTTTATGCTATGAACCTCCCTGAGATCTATGGATGAAAGGCGGTATATAAATTTAACTAATAATAATAATAATAATAATAATAATAATAATTCCCCTTGACATTCTAATCATGCAGAAAATGGTATTTCGCTTTCTGCCCTTTAAGTCTTTACGTCATATGAAATAACAAAAAGTGATTCTTTTAATTATTTTTGTCCCCACTTCTTTCTCGTTGCAGGCATTGTGTCTTTGATCTCGTTGGCCATTCTGTCTTACGAACGTTACAGCACCCTCACCAGTAAACGTGGCTCTGACTACCAAAAGGCTCTGTTAGGAGTTGGGGGCTCCTGGCTCTATTCTCTGGTCTGGACTGTGCCCCCTCTCATTGGCTGGAGCAGCTACGGGCTCGAGCGGGCAGGCACCAGCTGTTCCGTCCGATGGACCTCTGAAACACCAGAGTCAGTGTCGTACATCATCTGCCTCTTCATATTCTGCTTAGTCATCCCTGTAATAGTGATGATATACTGCTACGCCCGCCTCTTTTATGATGTCAAACAGGTAAGTGTGTCACAGGCGTTATATGTTATCTCTGAGGAAGGTTGCGTTTCAGATACGTGCCCTCTAATATACATTCAAAAAATGAATTGAAGGCTTTCAAAGATGGTAGATTTCTCTCATTTCATATTCGAAGGCCCTAATCCTCTGCACACTTACTTGAGAGTAAGTCCCCTATACTTAGTGGCATCTCTGTTTGTTTATTACAGTTCTATCCTATCCTCCTTTGAGAGCAATCGTCTCCTATCTAGGAAGCTTTCAGGGCCATAGCTACTTTCCCTCAGTAGCAGAGCTGCATGTCTTCATAAATTGTTTTCTAGGAACATAGGGCAAAAAGATTAATGCATTGTAGGGTTTGGGCAAGATGACCCTTGTCCCTTCCAACTCTACAATTCTGTGATTCTACAAAGCTGTTTTACATCAGGTGAGCCTCTTGGTCCATCCACCTCAGTATTGTCTACGTTGACTGACAGTTACTACAGTATCCAAGGTATAGACACAGAATATTCCCAGCCTTCCCTGGAGGTTCCAGGGATTGCCTCCATCTGCAGCCAAAGCAGATCCTTTATCTCCTGCTCCTTTTGGTTTTGTTTGTTTCTTTAAAATATTTATATGCTGGCCTTGAAGGTAAACTCATGCAGTTTGGTTCTGAGTGCAGATGAAGAAAAGACTTGGCTCCAGGAGAACACCTAGGCTGTTCCTCTGATCAGACAGGGTAACAATAGCATCATCTATGACAGGTAAACTCACCAAGTCCAGACCATCAAACCTTCCCATCAATGAATAGGGGTTATCTGTCTTGGACACTGAGGAACTGACTGAAAATGGTTTAGGTTGAATAATGAATTGAACTGGTAATTATCCATTGCTCTCCATTAATAAGATGGTTTTACCTAATTTGTAAATGGATGAACCAACTTCAGCATCATTAAGGGTTGTCTGCAGGATTGATTAGCTTTAATGAACCAGGCGCCTTTTGATTGTCCTCATGGATCTGACGAGTTGACAGTATTTGTGATTAATTTGTTATTTAGGATTGCACCGCTAATTACTACAGTGTCTACTGAGAAGTAAGTCCTTCAGTTCAATGGAACCAAACGGAGTTAGGATTGCAGCCTAATTCATTCTACCTTGATTAATGAGATTTATGATGTTGTTGAACTCCAACTCCCATCAACTCCAGCCAACAAACCCAGTGAGGAGGGATGATGGATGCTGTAGTCAAGCAATGTCTGGAGGGGCACCATGGCAGCTATTCCTGCATTTTATAATTTCTGCAAAAACATGTACAGCAGTTAAACTTTGCTTATGCTCTGCTCTTTCCCAGGCTCCACCACATGTTAGGTGTTGGCTGGATATTGTGATGTTGCTTTAGAATTAGAACTTGGAGAACTCTCACGCAAAGGACAAAATTTGGAAGAGTTATGCATGTATTGATTGTCTGGAGAAGTCTTCAGTTTTTACTTATTCTTCAGTGTGGTAGACATCTCCTGGCTTTCAGTGATGTTTTTCTCATTTGAAGCCCCGAGAGTCCAATTTTAGTCAGATTCTAAGTACTTGAGTAAGCAGGGTTGGCCTTTGCATGAGATTTTTGAAATTAGGGCTATGAGTAATGCTAGATGATATATTTGATTTCAGGAGCTAACTCCTGGAGGATTCCTGTCAGAGCAAAAGCTATTACCTGAATACCTTCAAGAATTAAATATTTGCCCAGTAGGAACCTACAATATTCACAAAGCGCTCTAACATTTCAAAGACAAGATTGTAGGACATTAGGATCTACTATAATCAGACTGATTATTCCGGATTGTTTATTGCTAAGTCATATGGTGATTATTTCAGGGGAAATAATAAACTTCGTTAAACTGCCTTTAAAAAGGGCAAAACTAGAATTAAAACATGTGTATAGCCTTCATAATGGATGTGTGTATTTTGTACACAACTATTTGCACCATGTTCCATATGGCGATAGCCAAACGAACAGATTTCAGTGGAGCTACTTAGTACGTCTTAATTTGAAATCACTCACAGTATCTTGTGAGAATGTGGCACAGAATTCTTAACAACAGAGTTTAATTGTTAATTAAGGCTGTACTCCCAACCTGATTTACTGGGGAGTAAGCCCTGCTGAATTTAACAGGATTAGGATTTACTTATGAGTAGGCATGGTTAGGATTGTGGCGTTAGCCATTTCAAAATTCCATATTCATTCAAAAAACCACTTTTTACTTCTGTTAGAAGTCTCTTGTGTATACTGTGCACTTAAAAAAAATCTGGATGTGTACAACAATAAGAAAATCCATTTCTTATTGTATACTGTATTTGGTTGCGTGCAAAGAGAATTGTCTTCTCTAGGGGTTGTTTGCTACTAAAGGAAAGGGGACTTTCTGACTGGTGCCACTCTTCACAGTGGAATGCACAAATAACACACTAATGTTCCATGTACTAGGGAATGACATCTCTTCTGGCTTTATACTTCTGTCTGTGTACTATATGCCATTGACCCAAGCCATAAACTCCTGGTGATGCTTCCAGTATGATACTTCCTTGTACCTGTTAGCAAGAATTTAGGTAAAGAGCGAACAGGGCAGAACAATAATTCCACAGGAAAATTACCCACAGAATAGTAAGGAAAGAAATTTGTTTGAACTTTCTAACGTTTGAGTGGCAGCAATATTCGAACTTGCGCTTAAATGCAGATGAGGATTCTTCACCTCAAAGCCCTTGCTCCCTTAACTTCTCAATGTTTCGTGTCCTCTTAGGACCCCTTACCTGTTACCACACACAAATTGCTTGTTAATATAAGCACATTTCCTTTAAATGGAAATATTCTCTTTTGGAGATACAGGTGAAACTCGGAAAATTAGAATATCGTGGAAAAGTTCATTTATTTCAGTAATTCAACTTAAAAGGTGAAACTAATATATGAGATAGACTCATGACACGCAAAGCAAGATATGTCAAGCCTTTATTTGTTGTAATTGTGATGATCATGGCATACAGCTGATGAAAACCCCAAATTAACAATCTCAAAAAATTAGAATATTAAATGAAATCAGCAAAACAAGGATTGCAAATAGACCAGTATTGGACCTCTGAGAAGTAGAAGCATGCATATGTAGTCACTGCTTGGTTTGGCCCCCTTTTGCATCAATTACTGCCTCAATGCGGTGTGGCATGGATGCTATCAGCCTGTGGCACTGCTGAGGTGTTATGGAAGACCAGGAAGCTTCAATAGCAGCCTTCAGCTCTTCTGCATTGCTCGGTCTCATGTCTCTCATCTGTCTCTTGGCAATGCCCCATAGATTCTCTATGGGGTTCAGGTCAGGCGAGTTTGCTGGCCAATCAAGCACAGTAATCTCATGGGCATTGAACCAGGTTTTGGTACTTTTGGCAGTGTGGGCAGGTGCCAAATTCCTGCTGGAAAATGAAGTCAGCATCCCCATAAAGCTCGTCTGCGGAAGGAAGCATGAAGTTCTCCAAAATCTCCTGGCAGATGGCCGTGTTGACCCTGGACTTAATGGTGTTGGTCCATTGTTGTTGAGTCCAGGGTCAACACAGCCGTCTACCAGGAGATTTTGGGGCAGTTCATGCTTCCTTCCGCAGACGAGCTTTATGGGGATGCTGACTTCATTTTCCAGTTTCACCTTTTAAGTTGAATTACTGAGATAAATGAACTTTCCCACGATATTCTAATTTTCTGAGTTTCACCTGTAGTCTAACAGCTGCTGTACGGTGAGATGGGGGGAAAGCTGGTGGTTAATGTCTCATGCTGGCTATGTTTTTACCTGGAATATTTCATCTCCGCTTTCTAAAGCTATTGTGATAGTACCTGCCGCTGCAGGTCTCAGAGGCTGTCTGAGCTGAATCCTGATGGCTTCCTTGTGTTCCTCACTTTTATCTCCCTTAGAGACCTGTTGCAGTTGTTTCACCTGTCAAAAAGAATCTAGGGATGTCTTGCTGGAGGCACATGCTTAGGCGCATCAGAGAAAGCCTCTATTTCCTTAGAGGGAGTAGCTGAATACAGACACAGAAGGAAGCACCGTAGGATTGCATCTGTTTAAAGGAGCTTGTATAATCTCACTTGGCAACCAGTTGTTGCTGGGATGGGAGACCCGGAAGGAACTTCGTTGTTTCTTGAGCGTTGGTTGGATGAATGCGTTGTGACAGGATCCCCAACCCTGGGACATCCTGATAGTTTATGTCTCTCTGGGGATAAATGCATCTATTTTGGTTTGTGGGTAAATGGATTTTTTTTTATATTTTGCTTCAGGGCAAATGCAGAATTCTGGGTGGGCCCAGAGGGAATTGTGCCTCTCTAATGAACTCTTCTTGCAAGCTATATTTGTAAGGGGGCCCAGCTATGCTACTTGTAACTTGCCCGCTTTCGCTGTGAGCACTCGAACACTGAATTCAGGCCAAGTTTGAAGACTTGCTTACTCTGTGCCTCTCACTCTATAGTGCCCTATAGTGCCTCAGGCACATACAAGAACCTTACATATATAACAGACTTGGGTGCCAAGTTAGAATGGCTGTGTCGCTAAAATAAGACTGCTCAGAAACAAGAGGGAACATACTTGCAGTAAACCCTAGGGTATACAGTGTTGTCAGAACCCTAGGGTTTACAGAAGTATTAAAATATTTGGGGGTGATTTCATGAGGAAACCCGCTCCCCAATCCAGTGATGATTGGAGGTTTTTAATGTCTGTTGTTTTATTGTATTTTAATATTTTGTTGGAAGCCGCCCAGAGTGGCTGGGGAAACCCAGCAAGATGGGCGGGGTATAAATAATAAATAATAAACAATAAATTATTATTATTAGTAGTAGTACTCAGTGGCCATGGAATGCTGAGTTTCTTTGGGTGAGGAAGGCACAAATAATCAAGAGACAGAGGGAAAGTGGGACTAGAATATCCTGAAAGGGGAAATGGCTAGATAGAACATTGAACAAGAGTACATTCTGCAACATTTTATTGCAGTCTCCACTTGTTCATGCTTTTCTTAACAAGGCTCAGGCCAATTCTGAAAGTCACACACTGACAACAGTTCTTGTAAGTAAGCTGGTTCTGTGATGTTCCAAAATGCTTTGTCTTCTGATGGATGCTGGTAAACACGACCCCAGAAGGCCCAACATGAGGAGTGTCGGTGTGATGTGAAAGTGCTTGCCTTGCGATAATTATGAGTCAACAGTGTGAGCCCATTCAGGGTGACTGGTCTTGGCCTCTCCCCTCCCCAGTAGCTGCTTTCACCTTCTCAGAATCCACAGATGGTGGAACAGATAGTCAGAAACAGTTGCTTTATACATCTCAAGTTCAATCCCCAACATCACCCAGTAGGTCTGGGAGAGACTCCCTGTCTGATACCCTGGAGAGTTGCTGCAGTCAGTGTAGACCAGGCATGTCCAAACTCGGCCCTCCAGATGTTTTGGGACTACAATTCCCATCATCCCTGACCACTTGTCCTGTTAGCTAGGGATCATGGGAGTTGTAGTCCCAAAACATCTGGAGGGCCAAGTTTGGCCATGTCTGGTGTAGGCAGTACAGAAACAGATGGAACAGTGAGTCTGCCTAGGTGTTAGGCAGCTTTTTAAGGTAAATATTAATATATGGTTTGGGGTGTGGGCATTCAGGCGGCAGTTTCCTGTTTGCAGTATGAAATGTTAACATCCATTGTACTGGGCAAATTAACATACCGTATTTTTTGCTCTATAAGACTCACTTTTTCCCTCCTAAAAAGTAAGGGGAAATGTGTGTGCATCTTATGGAGCAAATGCAGGCTGCGCAGCTATCCCAGAAGCCAGAACAGCAAGAGGGATTGCTGCTTTCACTGCGCAGCGATTCCTCTTGCTGTTCTGGCTTCTGAGATTCAGAATATTTTTTTTCTTGTTTTCCTCCTCCAAAAACTAGGTGTGTCTTATGGTCTGGTGCGTCTTATAGAGCGAAAAATACGGTACTTGCTTGAGTTGGAACCAGTTTTTTTTTAAAAAAAGAAAATAGGTGCCAGTGTGCAGTGCCTCTACTTAGACATTTCATCTTATTTATTAAAGACATTCCAAAGAGTAACCTCTACGATTCAGGTCAGGGATAGTCCATTTCGGTACATCAGGATTGTTGTTCAGGCACTGATCTGTGAGCACTGCGCACACTTGTCAGGCTCTAGAATGTTGCTACCAATTGACAATATCGACTTAGAAGTTATATAACACTAATTAGGAGCTGTATGAGGTAGTAGTACAATATATTTACACGCGATGATTGATTGGTTCTTCAGCAGCTGTTTTCAAGGACGTTTACCTACAGAACTCCAAGAGAGGGACAATATTTACAACTTCTAAAGAATATTTTATTTTCCTTTCCAATTAAATTGAGCAATCAACACACACACATAACCATTTAGTAGTGCCCTGGGGATCTATTGGGGAGCCAAGTCTGACCATCCATTGTTCAGATTCTAAAGCGTTCCAAGGCGAAGAGCAGCCAATTCAAAGGAATTCCATGCCAAAGGGTGCTCCAAAACAGAAAATGATGCTGCAGTCCTACGCACAATTGCTTAGGAGTAATCCCCATTTAATTCAATGGGATTAGCTTCCAAGCAGGCATGCTTAAGATTTGCCCTGTAAGCTTATTAATTAAAAACAATCTGGAGTACCGGGTATTTTGCGGATGCCGCGTGACACCCAATTTTACTTTAACTTTGGATTTGTTTCAGGGGTGAGGCAGTAGGGGTGCTTAAAACCAGTGTCTGGGAGCAGTTAACGGCCAATAAACTGCAAGAAAAGCCAGCCTGAGGCACCTGTCTTGTTCTGCATAATGATAAGGCTGGTCCTGCTTGAAAGAACAAGGGCCTGACTCTGTTATGTATTCAGTGTCTGTATTTGCCTGAGCTTGAGTCTGGACTAAGGATTCTGAGCCCCTGCGTTCTGATTCGATTCATGATATCCAATCACAGAACATTTCCGGATTTGGGCCTCTGCCATTGGCCCTTAAACTCTTGAGTCATGATTCGCAGCTTGGAAGTTTAGACAACCAATCACGTTGGGAGTGGGAGTGGCCCAGGCCTTCAGAAATGTATATAAGCAGTTGCTTTGCCCCTGTTGTTTAGTTCTGTTTGTTCAATAAAGGTTCTTGCTGTTATCACTGTGTCTTGCCTTGTGGCAACCCATCTACACTTCACTGACCCTTTAAATTGACTTGCTATACTTTGGATATTTTGGACTGCTTACTAATAAGACTCGATGTAATTTTTACCAGGTTGGAAAAATACGGAAGACTTCTGCCCGTAAAAGAGAATTCCACGTCCTCTTCATGGTGATCACGACCATCATCTGTTACCTGATTTGCTGGATGCCCTATGGAGTTATAGCTCTCCTTGCGACATTCGGCAGGCCAGGCTTGGTGTCCCCAGTTGCAAGCGTCATACCATCTATTCTGGCAAAGAGCAGCACCGTCTGCAATCCAATCATCTACATACTTATGAACAAACAGGTGAGCATTACAGTTAAAGCGAGCTGTCTTATGTAAACGGAAAATGACTTCTGTGCTCCCAAAGTCATATTCCTTTGTTTGAGGACTACTTAGACTAAGAGTTATTAGCATCTGAAGCAGAAAATCCAAAATGGAGGACTTTCCCCCCCAAGGCAAGGTAAATAATTTCCACCTTTGCTGGTGCTCAACAATTTGCTGTTTTATTCTGTGGCTGCCTCGCTCTACCTAATGGGATCGACTTTTGAGTAGTTATGCATAGGATTGCACAGTTAATAGATTAAAACTCACAGGACAACCAAGATTACTTTAGTTGGGCGATAAGCTCAATAGTTATTTTGGCTAGTAATTAATAGCAGTTTGGGGGTAGAGTTTTGGGGGTGGAATGAGGGCGTGGGCTGGCCCCCTTGTGCTAAAATTATAGTTTTAACAGCCATGGGGTTTTTAACTTGCGTGGGTATTGTTTTATTTTGGAGGTGTTTTTAAATATTATATCTTAATATGTATTTTGTATTTGTGATCTGGGATACTGTTTAGGGGCTTTTGTTGGGGAATGTATTTACAGTGGAACCTCAGTTTTCGAGCATCTTGGTAGCCAAACAGTTTGGAATCCGAACACCGAAAACCCGGAAGTAATTGTTTCCATTTTCAAATATGCCTTGGAAGTCAAATGGCTTCCAAGGCGCGTTTTTCATTTTTTTCCATTGACTTTGTAGCCAGCCCATTGATCCTCGGTTTTCGAATGTTTCGAGAGTCGAACGGTCTTCCGGAACAGATTCCGGAACAGATTCTGGGAAGTTTTTAATCTGTGATATTTTAGTGTATTTTTGGTTTCTATGGAAGCCGCCCAGAGTGGCTGGGGAAACCCAGCCAGATGGGCGGGGTACAAATAATAAATTATTATTATTATTATTATTATTATTATTATTACGTTCAAAAACTGAGGTTCCACTGTATTAGTTTGTATACATTAGTATTTTTAACTGTTTTAGTTGTTTTCATAATGTATTTTGTACTTTCAACATTGTAACTTTTATGTTGTGAACCGCCCTGAGACCTAATAACGATTCATTGCCTTTAGAATAGGCAACTGATGAATTTCTTTAAAGGTAGATGATAGAGAACATTTGTTTTGTTTTGTTATTGCTTTCCTAGATTAATTGGCACAAAAGTGTTAGGGATGGAATTTTACGGTGGGACCGTATCTTGGCAAGCACGTGTCATGGGCGAGAATGGCAGTCTCAGTATCATCCTGTTCCTCACTGGTAGGGTTCTGTTCCTCACTGGTAGGGAGATGGGTGAGGCGGTGGGAGGTCTGTGCAGTGCAAACCTCCCCTTTTCCTGCTCCAGAGCTACTGACGGAGTTTCTAAGATAACTCCCACAGGCCAAAGCTGCGGCTTCTCCCACTAATATATTAAGATATCGCAACACTGTCAGAGTTGTGCGTCAGGCTTGTAATGTATGCTGTGCTCATCTTTCTGAATCACCTCTTCACACCACGGGGGTTTCCACAATAGGAAATTCATCTTTGTCATCATAAGTGCTTGTAATGACTTTCGGAAACTTGGAAAAGTGCCTCTTCGTAGACCCATGCTTGTTGTTTTCCCTGAACATCTTGAAAGTCTCTTGTGTCATTCTCCCTGCCCGAGAGCAAAAGCATTGAATTCACCATTTGCAGATTAGGGATACATTGTGATTTTAAATAATATAGCTTCAGAAAATTAGGTACATGTCAGCATGTCACATGCTTAAATAGGCAAGATCTAACTTGCCAGTGGAAAGGTGTCATCCTTGAATGGTGCCCTCTTGTGACTCTTTGTAGAAATATTCTTTGGTTCTCGTGGGAATGCCTCTTAAAAGCATTTCCATGTTTGGATCTAGGATCCTTGAGGAAACCTAAGATTCCTCCAAGTGAGTTTCTTTCTAGATCTATTCCCGTATTTGTGGTGAGACTGGGCTCACCCAGCAATGTTACAGTACAACAGACCATGTCCTCAGTTCCAGCCCAGTGCTGAGACCTTGAACCCACACCTGTGAACTCTTGCCTCAGTACAATGGCTCATATGAGTGCGCTGTTAGCTATTTCTATATTACTGTTCCTATAGAATTCAGTTAAGTTATATTTAAATCTAACAAACATCATTTTGTGGGGCATTGTTTTGTTCATTACATTATGTATTTTTGTGTTTTTATGCTATGAATTCTCAGATGAAGGGCATTCTACAAACTGAATAAATAATAAGAATTTTAAAAATATTCACCTCACTTCCGGTTCTAAAATGTTAGGATTTCAACACAGCATGTTAGGATTTTACAAACATTAGAGCATATTTTTACTCAAGACATCTTACTGCTAATGTAAAAAGGATATAAAATAACAATAGCAACCTGTAGTCTTATTCAAGATGGCAAGATGTAGAGAAATTATCCAATCATCATAATTCTTTTTAAAAATGTGAACAGTTCGCTGAAAAGATGTGGCAGTTCTGAGGAGAACGGTGGTAGAAACCTGCTGAAATGTACTATATTCTCCTCATTTCCTCTCTCCCTTTCATTTGGCTTGCAAGTATATTTTGAAAATATACTTTGAAAAATACCAACAAGAGCTGTTGGTAAGAATAATTCTTCTGTCAGAGTCAGATAATCAAGGAAAAGAATGTTTCACTACCTCATATATTATTTAAAGCAGTAGCCACTGTGATCTCATCTCTTTTTCATTATTATGTAATATTTACATATCTTTGGAGTCTGCACAATAAGTTCACACTAACGAGCTGAGACAACCTTCCACCAAGAGGAATACAATAAAAAAACTAGTAAGGGCTAGACGGGGAAAGGAAGAGTGAGAGATACAACGAAAAAGGTTGCATAATTCATCCTTTCATATTCATCATCTTCACCATCATCTTCACCCATTTTGGATGTAAGATCCCCTCCCTTTAGAATGCTACCTTGGTTCTCAAACTCCTTGGTACTCAAACAACTTGGAATCCAAACACTGCAAACCCGGAAGTAAGTTTTCCTCTTTTCGGAAGCTGAATGTGCTCTGTTTTGAGTGTTATGCTTCCGATCTGAGTGCCACATCTCCGATTTGAGTGTTACGCTGAGATCTGTCTGTATTTGCTATTTATTTTGTGTTTTTGTGGCTGTTTTTTGTTTTTGTGACTGCATGGAACCCAGTTTAGCTACTGATTGATTGATTGTGTGACCACAGTACATTGTTTATTGCTTTCATTTTATGGATCAATGGTCTCGCTAGATAGTAAAATTCATGTTAAATTACAGTTTTAGGGGTTGTTTTTAAAAGTCTGGAATGGAGTAATCCGTTTTGCATAACTTTCCATGAGAAAGCACGCCTTGGTTTTGGAACGCTTTGGTTTTGGAACGGACTTCTGGAACGGATTAAGTTTGAGAACCAAGATACCACTGTGTATATAAGGGTGCAATATGTATTTCTGTACAACTACAGAGGAAAAAGACATTTTCTCCAGGCATTCAGGCCACTAACTGCAAGGTGTAGGACTCTCATTCTGGATTGGGATATCTGGAAGCCATTTGGATCCATTTAGTGGTGGGAAAGACCATTTGAATTGGTTCCCACTTCCTGTGGAGGAGAAGGGTCACAGAGAAGTCTAGTTGCACCAGGAAGTGATCTGACCATGGCACTTCTTGTGTTCTACTGGAACTTTGTCTCAGGTCACCCATGTCTGCAGAGGTAAACACCAAATCTAAGGCATGTCTACGACTATGATGAGTAGGGCCAGATTTAAGAAACAGTGAAAATACAATTTGAAAAACCACACGGCACAGCACAGCACGTTACAATTGCTACAACCAGACAAAAAAGAATGATAATAATTTAAGTTGTGCGTCAAGATCCTCAGCAATTTTCAAGTGATCTATTGGAGGAAAAACATTTGGCAACCACTGGCCTGGATTGAAAGGATGATTGATTCATAATGAGCTATAATAGAAGTTTCAATTAATCTGACCGTGACAATTTTTATAAAACTACCAAGGCTGTAAAATGTGATGGCTTTAATAGTCTGTGGAATTAATTTTTTAAAAGTTTGGCATTTCATATTTAAATGCTGCTATTCTCAATTGATGCCTGTCATTGTAATTTAAAATTATATTCTGTATTTTTAATGTTATTTTTCGTCTTGTATATAGTGTGACAGCCTGTGGCTAAGTCACTATTTAATAACCCAATTAGCTGCTTCCCACAGCCTACAGGCTTTATGACTCTTTTCTAGCACACTTATAATTTTATTCCTTTTCCATCTCCAAGACGTGTAAAACTGATTCCGAAAGCACAGTAATTGACATTAAAACACACAGATGTGTGTAATAGTTATGCAAGAACACACACAGGATGGCTGTACTTTTTACATCCTTCCTACACAAACTGTTCTTTCAACATTATCATTCAAGGAGATTTACATTCTAACCCCTCAAGATCAATCCCAAGGTAATGGCAGGACTAAAAGTGTGTGAAGTCTTAAAAAACTTTTAGGAGTCTTTGCCTGTTTATCTTCCAAATTTGTGCTGACGTGAGAACAGGCTACCTTTCCCCCATGCAAACATTACCTCTGAAGCAGCTTAATATCATTCCCAAAACAACAATAAATAGTCCTGCATACTCCTTCCCCACCCACAACTCAGGGAAATCCATCATCAAAAGAGAAGAACAAGGAAAACATTGCTTTGTGTATACTAACTCATATTTATAGATTCAGAATTAGAAATTACTGTTACAATTTAAATAGGAATACCACACTCTGATCATAGTGAAGAAAACTGTGGCCAGGTGACGTGTCCCTGCTCAGTGTGCTATACTGATGCTACAAATAAACATATTATAATAATAAATGTTCATGGGGAACAGTTCTCAAGGTCCCTGCCCTCCTCTATTTCTCTCCCACCCTCTCTCTTACACACGGAATCGTAGAATTAGAGTGTTGGAATGAACCTTACTTTCTCTTATAGAAACAGTATTCTAAACTTGTTTATCAAACGCTGCCATTAATAAATGCATTTCCAATTGAAGCTGGATGTTGAAATGATGACTTGAAGATTGGCCTATGGGCATATGTCATTCTGTATCCATCAATCATAATTCGCTTGGCTAAATAATTCTGACATAGTATTGTTGGATAAGGAGCTAGGTGAAGTGTTCTCTTTCAAGCTGTATGTTAGAAGTCCATGGGTCTGCCAACAATTACTTAGGGACATTTTTCAAAGAAACTTTGCCTTAGTTAGGAGGACCTTCCGCCCTGGAGTAGGCTACTTTTTCTTAGAGCACAGAAATTAAGTTTAAAGTGAGCTTGTCACAATGTTTGATCTGCTTGATCGTATTTCTATGGCACTTTTGTTTCAAACAAATCTCAAAGCAGCTTACAAACAATAAATAATACAAAACGATAAAACGTAACAGAGTGTCACAAATACAGCATAATGTCTGTTGCATGCGTAATGAAAACATTAGGAATCCACTTTAATATCAAATTAACTGCTGGTATAATGGCTATAAATGTATCTGGAGGTTTGCAAGCCAGCCTGAGTGTGCCTACGCATCAAAGGTCAAGATATGGAAACAAACACATTTATTTATTTTATAGCTCACTTCTGAAGCTATCCTTGATTATATAGAAAAATGTCTAGGATGTCACCAGAGGGCCCTAGCACTCATATCTAGCTCCAGTTTGGGAGCAGATCCAGTTTTAACCATCAGGCAGCTGCCTAGGGTAGCAGAATTAGAAGGGCAGTAGACTTTGAAAGGCGGCAAATGATGACCGTGTTGGTGGAAGGAAGAGCCAGCAGCTGCCATTCCCAGTAGTCTTCATTGTGAGTTGAGGACCCGCCACCTGCTTTGAGATAAATAAGACACAGGGACACATGTATTTAGGGTACTGGGCTAAAGAAGGCCACAGCGTTATTGGTTACAGCATGTGAGTGGCATTGGCTTAGGCATTGGATCAAACAATCTATACATGACTCCACCCCGTGCAGCGGGGAGTCATCCTAAGGTTAACAACCAGTGGGAGGAGCTTGTTGATGCAAATACACCTGGAAGCTTCCCCTGATGTCACCGGGGGTCGTGCCATGGCCCTAGCCACCAGCAGGGCATTGGACAGGATCCACGACCGCTGGATTCCTTTAGCGGAATACCCAAACAAGGGGATTATTGGGAATGTGGGACCGCTGTATCCACATTATCCTTAGGGGGAGAAACCTCCCAAGTGAGTTTTGTTGGGGAATAGAGAGAGAGCACAGAGCTCTCCTCAGAGCTTCCCCGTCTTGGGAGGCCCTTTTGAGGTCCCAAATATCAGAGTGAATGCCTCCTTCCCATCAGACTAGCTCAAGTGCTCAGATTTGGGCCCTTTTGGTAGTGTCTCTACCCTCAGAGGCTTGGGGGAGGGTGGCGGTCCAAGAGAGGGCATTCCATGGCAACCCCTAAGCTGTGGAACTCCATCTCCACAGAGGTGTATCTGGCTTCTGAAGGAAGGTGCTGAAGAGGCACCTCTTTGGACACTTTGGGTATATACTGTTAGGACCAGCCTTATTTTTTATGGTTACAAGTTGTTCCGTTATTGTTAACGTTGTGTTTTAATGATGGGACCTTCGGGTGAAGGGCAGGCAACAAATCAATAAAGTGTTGGCTAAATTGTTGGAAGCAGAAGTGTGGAAACATTTGGCTTAGGTGCAGTCCAGACACACCGTTCATAGATTGTCTCTTAAAAGCGGTGAATGGAGAACCTGTGAACTTCCAGATGTTCTTGGACTTCCAACTCCCGTTTTTGCCAGCCAGCATTAATGGTGGGTCAGGGATGGTGGGTGGGATTGTCCCAAGAGCATCTTGAGGGCTACAGGGTTCCCACCACTATCTTAAACACATGGCGTTGACTTAAAATTGTGCATTCATGAATTACTGCTTCTGACATTCATACATAGACGGAATTATAAGTTCACAAACAGAAATGATAAATCAGCAGTTGACTAATAGTGACTTGTTGGGCATCAGATTTGTTGATGAAACCCATATGTAAGTGTGCACAGTCTGCAAAGCTGGACTATTAGGACCTTGTACAATCATAAAGTTGACTATGGATTCAGCTTAGGTATTCTAATTGGGTTCAGCTTAGGTATTCTTAATGTTTGATGACAAACGAATGGATTGAAGACCTTTTGCAGAGCCATTCAGATCTCAGAAAAAGTGACTGGGGCTACAGGTTGTATGACTGGCATTTAAAAAGCTTGTGCCCCTTCAAATTAACCTTTGTACTACAGCTCCTACTGCAAAGAGTACTGTAGAACAACCAGTCAGTTGCATGTACTCAGAAATAAAATGTAGACATTTACATTTAGCGCAACATGAAAAGTAGAAGCTATGGCCTTTATCTTTTTAAAGACCATGTAAAAATTATTGGGGGGGGGGAATGGCTTTCCTTGTAATTTTAAGCATGTGTGTGTTATCCATTCTGAATAGCTTGGCGGAATAATCATGTCCATGTATTATTTAAGGCCATGGAAGTAGAGATTATAAGATGTTAAGAGCTTTGAAGGCAGTGTGAGTGAGATGATGCTCATTATCCAATAAGCCTAGATCATTTAGGTCTATACTGAGGAAAATGGTGTTCCTTTACCCATTTGGAATTTACTTCTACTCCAGATAGGTCTTTTTGAGAAGCACAAGATCTGATACACTTTATCCATTCCTTTTGAGCACACCAGGTAGCTGTAAAGTCTTGTGATGCCAACAGTGTTAGGAAACCGTTTTGTCCATGCACCTGTGATAACAAGATGCCAGCACTTTCCATCTTATTCCACAGCTGGGTTCCCTGTGTCAGGAACTTCTGCCACTCCCCGAGCATGCAAATTCTTTTCTACACAGCACAAAGGAATCACATGTTATTTGTGGGTATATGGTACCTTGGTTGTTGAAGTGTTGTTGTTTTTTAATTATTAGGAATTTAAACAGAACATATTATCTTAAAACATATCATCCTTAATTTTCCCCCCTATTTCCCCACCCTCCCATAAAACAACCCCCCTCCCCGCCCCCCAACTTCCCTCAGTTCCAATCTCTGGTTTCTCTATAAATGCTATTCTCTGCATTTATTGGAACTCCTTAATTTATCTAACTGGTTACTATCAATAAAAAGTTTGTGAGTGTTTATTCAAAGCCTGCCAAGGAGTCCAATTCACTTTGTTGCATCTTTAGATACTTTGTAAAAGGTTCCCATTCATCTTTAAAGTCACAGTTATCCTTGTCCCGTAGTTTATGTGTCAATTTTGCCAATTCTGCATAGTGCATCAGTTTCTCTTGCCATAATTCTTTAGTCGGGATTTCCTCTCTCCTTGGTTGTTGAACTTAATCCGTTCTGGGAGTCCGTTCGACTCCTGTAACTGTTCAAAAACCAAGGCACAGCTTCCAATTGGATGCAGGAGCTTCCTGCACTCAATCAGAAGCTGCGTCGGATGTTCAGCTTCTGAAAAACGTTTGCAAACTGGAAGCTCACTTCTGGGTTTGCAGTGTTTGGCAGCCGATTTGTTCAGGAGCCAAGCCGTTTGACAACCAAAGTACCACTGTATAGGGCTGTCTCGCTCCTCGGGAGACCTCTAACAGGTTTAAGCGAGGCAGGGGAGCTGCTTCTTTATTTACTTGGACAAGCAACTGTGAAGTAGCCACAGGGCTGTATTCAAAATCTTCCTTCACATATCTCAGCACTCGTCGGGGGTTTGTTTCTCCTTTATTGTTGTATGGTAGAATGACATCAGGGATGCGGGTGGCACTGTGGGTTAAACCACAGAGCCTAGGACTTGCTGATCAGAAGGTCGGCAGTTCGAATCCCCACAATGGGGTGAGCTCCCATTGCTCAGTCCCTACTCCTGTCTATCTCGCTGTTCGAAAGCATGTCAAAGTGCAAGTAGGTAAATAGGTACCGCTCTGGCGGGAAGGTAAACGGCGTTTCCGTGTGCTGCTCTCGACTAAGCCAGAAGTGGCTTAGTTATGCTGGCCACATGACCCGGAAGCTGTATGCCGGCTCCCTCGGCCAATAAAACAAGATGAGCGCTGCAACCCCAGAGTCGGCCACGACTGGACCTAATGGTCAGGGGTCCCTCTACCTTTACTTAGAATGACATCATAAGGACAGGGACCATTCATCACAGGAAGAATGGGCCACTTGATCAATGTGTGTACGAGGGAAAGCATATCTAACATTTGGGGCTTTTTACTGGTTTTGTGAAGAGAGCGAGCTGTTTCTGAAGAAGCCTTTCATGCTTAACCGTAACGCCTAGCGACTGAATGACAGTGAATAGCTTTAAAGTAATTGTTTTTCCTTTGGGAACGTATGACAAGGATAAAGTTTTTGTGTAAACTTTTCTTGGTACATCATGCTACTCCTGAGCATTTTGAATGTCCGTCTCTCGTATCTGCCTTCTGCCTGCAGTCAAGCCGAAACCTTAAAATGACAGCACCAGACCTAAAAGGTATCAGATATAGAGCAGCATTGAATTGTTTGGGCTGAAGGTGCAATACGTGTTGTCTCTGGTTCAGTGACCAGCACCTCCTTTTAAAAAGGAAATATATTTCTTTGAAACCTTGTTCAGCCAAGCAAGTATGGAATGTAGATGGATTAACTCAGGATCAGGCAGTTCCACAGCTATGTGCTTTGAGGAACAGTGCAGCAAACCACTTTATAAACATTCAATTGACCGCATGCACCCAGCAGTGCTTCTGTTCACGGTCCCCAAGCTTCCCCTTACCACAACGATTCACAAGCTGTTCCACACAATGGATTGTACTACACAGTTTGTAAGGGACAGAGACACTGGACTCAGCTACACTCAGTCAATTATATCGCTATAATTATATTGTTATCACTAGATTTAGAGCAGCCAAAATCTCCTATGGGATTTTACGCTATGAGCTCTGTAACATTTTTTTTAATGTGTCCAGATCCAGCCATTGTATCTTTGGGTGTTCCACCATACTTTTTTTTTTTTAAAGCACCATCCGGCACATAAAACAAAGCATGTCTTAAAGATTTAAGGCTAGCTTGTGGAAGCCTCCTTAAACAGAGCTTCCTTTGCGAGGTCTGTGCATTAGTAGTTTTTTTAAAATTCAGTATGCCTTAGCAGTTATAGATCATTTTGCTCACACTTGCCTTTCCCGCCGTTCTGTAACTTGCGGCAGGAGGGAATCAAATTAGGTCTCAGGGATAGGTCACTTCTCACAAGGCTATTCAGCAAAAGTAGCTTGGAGACTAATACCTAGCTTATTTTTGGAATGTATATGTATTTATTATGGGACGTGGGTGGCGCTGTGGGTTAAACCACAGAGCCTAGGACTTGCCGATCAGAAGGTTGGCGGTTTGAATCCCCGCGACGGGGTGAGCTCCCATTGCTCGGTCCCTGCTCCTGCCAACCTAGCAGTTCGAAAGCATGTCGAAGTGCAAGTAGATAAATAGGTACCGCTCCGGCGGGAAGGTAAACGCCATTTCTGTGCGCTGCTCTGGTTCGCCAGAAGCGGCTTAGTCATGCTGGCCACATGACCCGGAAGCTGCATGCTGGCTCCTTCGGCCAATAAAGCGAGATGAGCGCCGCAACCCCAGAGTCGGTCACGACTGGACCTAATGGTCAGGGGTCCCTTTACCTATGTATTTATTGTACTTAATAGCCCACCTAGTTCTCCAAGGAGCTCAAGGTGACGTACATGGTTCCCCCCCCCCATTTAATCCCCACGATAACCCTGTGAGGTAGGTTAGGCTAAGAGGCAATAACTGGGCAAAGGTCACCCAGTGAGTTTCATGGGATTTGTCTCCCAGGTCCTAGTCCAACACTCTAACCATTACACCACACTGCCTTTATATACCAGGTGCTACATGTGCAGTTCGTTCCTTAATGGCAACGTTTGTTTTGTAACATACACATTTTAATCCCCTCATGTTAAATAATGAGAAGCTGATGCATCCAATCAAATAAAAAAACAAACAAACTTTATTTACAAGAAAAATCTGTACACTGTGCATACATAAAAATATATAAAACCAAAATAGAAAATACAAAAGTGTTAAAATGTATACAAACACTGTTTTTAAAAATGCGACTCCTGGAAAATCTCAAGCTTTCGTTTCTTGAAGAGTGCACATTCACTTAAAAAATTATCATACAAAATAATTCTCAAGGCTATTTAAAAAGTACACAGTCTTCTATTTGAGTAGCTCGGCGACTACAGCTTTAGAAAATGAGATGATATGTGTGAATATAAGGCATGTACACAGCTGGTCATGTAACAACAGAGGTTCGAATTATGTTGCCATGTTACAGAGTGGAAATCTGCGATATAAAAATGTGTTTTATTTTTATTTAATTAATTCAATTCATACACCACCTTTCATCACAAAGCTCTCAGGGCGGTTATTTAAATAAACCTTCAATAGACATGAGGTACTTATATAAACAGTTAATCCAGATGTTCTCTCTGCACAGAAAGCTGCAGTTTTATGGCTGCAAATGTCTCTATATGAGATTTTAAAATTCATTGAAATGTCCCTGTAATTTCACGACATTTTCAGTATTCTATCTTCAAATTGCAAAGTATAAGGGAGGGAAAGAAGTTGGTTACTTTTTAAAAATAAATAAATAAATACAATCATCACCATTTATTTTTATATCCCATCCTTCCTTCCATAGGTGCACTTGATCATTACTCAACTTTTGCATGCCATGTAAGCAGCTGAACTTTCAAAAAATTTAAGAAGAAAATGTGGAAAGCCCAGTCATAACCTTATCTGTCTTCAATTTCAGCACATGTAAAACTACCCTAGTATAGTTTGTGTGAGAGATAGAACGAAGGGGAACTTGTTAAGAAAATTATGGATTGCAATCTGTCCAAGACAGGGCACTCTGAAATTAATGAAGTCAGAGTTCAATTTAGGGATAGAAAAACCTTGTTGAACAAAATCAAAAGAAGAACTCCTAGCTAGATTTTTTTCCCAAGTACTAAGAATTATTTAGGGCAATATTTTCAAAAACCTCCATTTATATTTAATGATCCACTTTAGAAAGGGTGATTTTTAACAAGTGTGGAGCATTTTGCAGCTTTCATTACTAACACTTCAAATATTTTTGCTTGATGAGCGTAACACCCATAAATGTTTCCTCTGACTTAGGGATGAGAGCTCACACCGCCACAGGGCCTACTCGACGGCAATAGGGTGTCACAATTTAAGTATTTTGTCTGGCGTGGGGGGTGGGCAGAGCTGTTGTGGCCATACCCTAACCAAGCCTACTCAGAAGTAAGCCCTAGTGAATTCAATAGGGCTTACTCCAAGATAAGTGGGGTTAGGATTGCTATTTACGCAATTCAGTGGAAACTAGGCACTTCCCATCTCCCAACCAGCCGTGCGATTGCCACAAGGCTAATTGACGGAACTATCCTATAACTACTTGAAAGTAAGCCTCACTGAGTTTAATGGGGCTTACTCCCAGGTGCCATGTGAGGGTTGCAGTCTTATATGCACCTGTAGGGAGCAGGATCCATTTGAAGACAGTGGAACTTACCTTCCTTTGAGCAAAAGAATATGTGCGGGGGGGGGGGGGGAATTGGCCTGCAAAATAATCTGGATTCTGTGCAGAGAAAAGCTGGATACTGTGATTTGTGTGTCAGCTAATTAAACAAGGGTGCATGATTTTCTTAATTTCCATATTTTTAATCTGATTCTGCAAGGAAGAAAACTGGGTACTTGAAGCCTTGCCCTAGGCTCCTATAATATTTTTTAAAGCACTGCCTCTGACTTCTATGAGTTTGGAGGTGGCAATACTCAACACTGTTGGGGTATTTTTGCCAGCCACATAGGCTACAAAGCACCTCTTTTTTTAAAAAAATAAAATGGTAAAAGTCGCTGGAAGCTGGATTTTGTGCCCAGTGCCACATTCAGTGCTTTTGAACTCAACAAGAGTAACTCTGGTAGGAAGCGGAGGGGGAAAACTGAGAAGGTGAAGCAAGTACCTGGCTATGCCTCCAAGTCACACATGGAAGAAACAACAAAAGATGAACGTTTTGTTTTTGCTAGCAAAACAAAGATTGGCTCAACAGCTTATAGATCAATTTCCCTGTAACAAACATGAGAACACCTCCAAGTGACCTTCTGAAGGCGTTATGCATAAAAAATTAAGAGAGCACCACATTAAAAAATTCACAGTGGAAAGTGTAGATCATGACAGATAATAATAACAACAGAAAACAAGTATGCTTTACCCAAGGTGTTGAGTGCAACTTTTCAACTGTACAGCCATCAGTGCAGAGAAAGTGTGAAGCTTTCAACATATTTATGCCAATCAAAACTAACTTCTCCCAGCAACCCTTGCTTTTTGTTTTTTTAAACTGGTAAAAAGAAGAAGCAAAGGCTTAAACAGACTTCATACTTTTTTAAAGTGAGATTTCTCACTGACTTCAAGTAGGAGTTGCAGACATTTACTGAACATTTATAATTCTGATATAGATTAAAAATGCACTGTTATATATATATCTATCTATATATATATATAATAAGGTGGCCTAAAAACATACAAAATTCTATTTAACATCTAATACACATTCATTTACTGTCTTAAACTGAACAGTCTGAACTTTCAATCAGCTATCACTTGCTAATGCTTTCTTTATTTCTTTCACTTGCAACTTTTAAAAAACAAAATCGGAAGTTCCCCTCCTGTTTCTTCCTCTTCCCCTCTCATCTCCCTTCAACACTGAAGTAAAATGCATTATTCTTCATCTGTGGAATTTTGCAAAGTGAACACTTATCAGAAGATGAACCGATAATAATATTTTTAAAGTTTCCAATTCGAACCCTGCTGAAGTCAGTGGAATAAACAACTACAGTTTCAATTGCGAAGGTGGTTGAGTTAGGAGAACTTAAATGGCGAGAGGGAAAACCAGACTTCGTTGGAAGGTTGACTCAGGATCTGTGGTGGCATCCCTGGGTTTGTACCAGACCTCAGTTTGGAGACAAGCAGTGCTTCTAAGTTACATTTAAGAAGATACCACATGGCCACCACTAATTTAAGGTTCTTGAAGGAATGTCCAAGCAACTGAACCCTTAGATAAAACTGGCACTATTAAGAAAAGTATCCAGTATAGGGGGGCCAACTTGAATAAAATATTGGGGACCCTAGGCAAGCCCCACCCCACATAATGGATCACATGGCATGGCACACACACACCATATGAATGGCAATGCCCATCAACTTTGGGTGGGGCCCAGCCCCCTCCGATATTTTATGGGGTGTGGCGAAGGGACCTCGGCTCCTAGGAATTGACTCCTATGATCCAGTATTTGGTGTGTGTTGCTGTGTTAGCAATATTGAGATTAGCTCCCACTGAAACAAATAGGATGTTAAGTTAAGCCATGGTTAAATTATGTTGAACCCAACACAATTATTTGTTTAAACTGAATTATGCCTCAGGCAGGTGGTTATTGTTAAGAATACAGCAGAAACATATGCATACAAGCACGGATGCAAATTCTCTCTCTCTCAACCCAGCTGGGTAAATTTTTTTTTAAAGAGCCTAACCAATGAGATATGTGCACTATATTTTCCTTTACTGGGATACTTCTGATTGAGCAAACACAACAGGGATGAGGAACATGTGTATCTCTATATGTTGTTGGACGGTAGCTCCCATCAGCCCCACCCAACATGGCCAACAGGAAGGAATGAAGGAAGCTGCACTCCCAACGTCTGGAGGGCTATCCTTGCATGACAACAAGGTGAAAGATTATAGAACATCTCTGCCGGTAGTCAGCAGTCTTTTGCAAGAGAAAGGAGAGTTTACATTTGACAGGAGTCTTATGTAGGTGACCTGATCCATCCTCCTTTGAATTAAATTATGGAACTCATCACTTAAAAAAAAAAAAAATTGTTGGGGGAAAAATAAGATGTGGAAGATGAACACCACCTTCGGAAACAAGATTAGACAGGCAGATAAGTGACATACAGGCAGGTTGACACAGCAGCCCAATGGATGCTTTGTGTTTGGAGATATTGTCAACGTCAAGAGGCTGGGGACAAGCGACAGAGGAAGCCCACTGCCTTTATGCCTTTCTTGCAAACCTCTGTAGAGGCATCTAATTGACCACTGCTGGAACCAGAGTGCAAGATGAGATAGGCCTTCAAGCTTGATCCAGCTAAATCGTCTTTACATTCTTAAGACCTAGAAGTAGAATCCTATTGCTAGAAACTTGGGGGTGGGGGTGAAAGGGAATGTTGCAAATGCAGAAGCATTGCTTGAATATTTCTGGGCCAGAATTTTGACTCTCCGCTCTTAACAACAAGAACCTACAGGGTTTGGCATCTCACTTCCGCACTGCATCTTTGGCCCACAAGGCAACCTGATGAATTCCCTCTTCTCTTCTTACTACTTTCTGACAACCCCAAAGCTCCTCTCTTCAGTTCACTCGCTTTCCCCTGATTTGGCTTGCCAATAAATACTGCAGTGGTAGTGAACATTCGTAAGTCTACAATCCCTGCTGCCCTCTGCCCCAACCTTTCTTCCTGACACTTTTCCCTGAATAGCGCTGCAACTGGGCTCTGGGGCAGCGAAAGAAAACTAAAATGGAAAAGGCTGCTGAAGATCTCAAGTCTAACATCCTATCAGGGACTGGGAAGGGGAAGAAGAATGGTGGAGACCGCCTCCCCATCCTGAACCTTCCAGGAAGGAGGAAGAGGAAGATAGTTTAGATTTTCATCGGGGGGGTTGTGGGAGGTCACAGCTCAGAGGCAGATGAGGGGAAAAGCTGAGAAATAATGGGGGAGCTGGTTGACATATCACTAGAAAGCATTCCAGACCCACCATCTCCCAGAACCCAGCGAGCCTTAAAAGTAGGAGAGCAAAGACCTCAAAGACAGAGGGCACTTAGTGACACCTGTAGAGGAGATGATGATAATGAGGAATGACGAAGTGGAAGAGATAGGGGTGTGTGAAGATTCACTTGGGACAACACCATTATCCAAGAGGCTGGGTTCTATAGCCTCTCTCTGTAAAGTTTGGAATAAAAAAGGACTGTAAGACATTTTTCCTTATCTTTATACTTTCCTGGGCAACCACTGCCGGGAGCCACTGACAGCATCCTGACACATCCACAAAGCATTAGAAAGCAACTGCTTTCTAAAGAGAAGCTGTGTTGTTTGCTTGTGGGTTGTAATTGTCACACAACAACCTACTCCCTTGATGGCTCATCCGCAGGTAAGACTTTTCATCCTGACTACAGTAGCTGTCATGAGGGTGTTTGGAGGGAGTTGTCATGGCATGATGAATGAGAATCAGCCTGCAGGCCTGCGTACTTGAATGTGTGGCAATTCAGTCCCACATAAAAGGTCAGAAAATATCTTTGTTCTAATATGGACACTGGTGCCAGCACGTTGGCACGGAAGCAAATTTCAATATGCTATTTTCTGAAACAGCCAGGTGGTGGTCTTCTACTCAACCTTTCCTATGCATGCTACCAATTTATGTATTTGACCAAATATGTCTTAACACATGTTAAAAGAGTACAGCTCTTTTAAGGTTAGTGTTCCAAGCTCGGCCACCAGAACAGTTTAAATAAAACAAAAACATGGCTCATTGTATTCAGTAAACATCTGGCACTTTTTATAAGAGGGAAGAGAGGAAAATCTTAAAAGATGCTGTGAAAAATATAGCTGAAGTTTGCTTTTATTTAATTGTAAGGACTGCTTCACTAGGTTAGGCTTTGTGTTTAATCTGCCTTGTCTAAAGGACTGCAATCGGGCACATGTGGTATAACTGCTTGATGATTTCTGGCATATATCCTCACAGTATTTTACCTTCACCATAGTTTGCATCTCTCAAAAAGCAAGCCTTTTTTTTAAAAAAAAAAAAAACCAAAACAAACCCCAAAACCTATTTCCAAAGCAATAATAAATACTCAGGCCTCAGAAGCAAGGACTTCCCCCAAGCCTGCTACTTAATTACAGTTTATAGACTCAAGACTAGATTGGTCTAGGATCCGGTTTTTTTCAAGTATTTCTTTGTTGTTTATTAGTACGACAGCAGCACCTTATTGCACTTTGTTCTAGAAATATCCTTTCTTAGTGTTGTATGGGAATCACTTCCATCCAGGGCATTTCACTGACCTGAACCCTGGCAAAATCACTTTTCCTTTCCGGTACAGATCTTCCTGGAAGCCTCTGTTCATCCTCTGCACCAGCAGTTTCTCATAAAGCAGCGGGTGGTAAGCCCCCAAGGTACAAGCCGCATCATAGTAGAGTTCATGGTAGTGGCAGAGATCGGTCTGCCGGACTGAAGGAATGTATTCGTATACATGGACTTCGCTGCACATGGACATCATGATGAGAATCCCTGAAAAGAGAGAAAACGTTTAGGGTATTTAAAAATGCCAGAATAAGTTTCCAAACTTAGGTTTCTTTTTAATCATTGTGCATGCAAAAATCAAGTCAAGTTCTTGTTTGCTAAATTGCAGATCATCTCTAGCATGCGGTGGTGCTGAATCAATATATTTTCTTTGGACAAAGGGCTGTTGAGTGGGTTCTGCCTGCCACCTGGTGACTAAGAACAGGAAATGCACCAGTAGTATCAAGAAAACAGGAGTTAATTCATTGCCATTGACCTCAGCCAAATTCCTGTTCCCTTTCTCATAGCTCCTCTGTTCTTGTGAGTTTTTCTGCTGCCCCTGTGAATTACTTCCAGTCTTGATTTTTCTCTCCTCCTGTTTTTTTTTTTTAAAAATGGTGAAGGGGTAGAGAGAGCTGTTGTTTCTCCTTTCAAGCTGCCTCTTTCCCTTGTTTTCCCCCTTTAATTTGCTACTGCTTTCCCTCCCTCCTGCTGTAGAGTTGGAAGCCTCAAGAGTCATCAAGCAGGAATCCCAGCTTGTGAATTAGGGAATACATTTGGGTGCTACTGTGCCACATGTTTTGATAGCCTTTCTTAGGGCTTCTGCCTCAATGGACAAAGATGTTCCTGGCCAGCCCTACTTACTCTTTGGTTGGGCAAGCCCTGAGCTCCCAGTCCCACCACCCACCAGTTTCTGCTAAACTTCACAAGTCTTCCAGGGAGCCAGATAAGCCCCCTCCCCCATGGCCCTCCTTAACCCCCAGTCTTCTCTTAAGACCCGCATGTGAGGGGAGCTCCAAACTAAAGAAGCAGAAAGCAGCAGCCGTGGCTTTTCCTGAGGTTCAGGACCTGCCTCTCTTGCCTGCAACACCACTGTGGTCCTCTGGCATTGCACACCGTGAGGCATGACAACCAAGCCATTCAGTGACTTGTATGACATCCTGTCTGCTGCAGGGCCAATTTGCCCAAGATGAGGAGCAGCTCTCAGAGGGTGATTTGCAGGTTAGAGCCAATGTGGCAATATGCTAACCAATGCTATCGTGTTGGCTGTATTATGTTTAATTTGGCCTTCCTTCCTATTGAAGTCAAGGAGGCTCCATTCTGCCCAGTGGGGTCAGCATTAGGCCTGGGCAATATATTGGCCCGAATATAAGCCGCACCGTTTTTTCCAAATTCCGACCGTGAAAAGTGCAGCTTATATTCACGACCTTACAAAAAGAATCCAGTATGCAGCCATGAGTGTGGGGTAAACAGCGGCAGGAGCGCTGCGCAGCGACGCCCGCCCCACACGTAGCCCCCCATCCTCTCCCCCAAGGCCAGGAAGGGAGAAAGCGAGGAAGGGAGTGGCATATTCAGGTATTGTCTTTTTTCTTTCTCCTCCAATACTTTTAAATGTGCGGCTTATATTCCGATGCGGCTTATATTTGGGCCAATACAGTACATCACCCGGGACCAATCTGAGGACCATCGTGCTCTGGCCCTCAAACTGAGGGAGGAACGAGCTGTGATGTGCCGTAGCTGATGCAGCACGTTCTTCAAAGGCTCCAAAGTGAAAAGGTTTGGGAAAGGCTGGATTGCAATGTAAACAGCAGAATCTGAATCTTCACGTAACTTTTTAAATGCATGAATCTTTATCCTAATTCGTAACCTGAAAATTGCAGCTTAGCAAAATGAAACTGGTTGGGTTTTTTGTTTTTTTGTTTTCCAGTTCTACAAATGCTTTCTGATGCTTTTCCACTGCCAACCTGCTTCAGCGGCTGACGGAGAAACCACCTGCCAGTCAAAGGTCACAGTCATCCAACTGAACCGGAAAGCAGAAGGTGGAACCGCTAGGCAAGCGCTTCCCCAAATGGACGAGAAAATGGACCGCCTTCTGAGCCCAGAGTCAAGCCCAGAGCCTGTTTCAGACAGCCCGCCACAGATGTCCAAGGAAAATTCATTCTTGTGAACGAGTGCAAGCTGTTGCCTAATCCATCTATATCATATATGTTACAGTTTTATTGCCAGCTTGCTTTGTTTACCCCTAAGGAATCCGCTGTGCATTAAGCAGGAACAAAACGTGTTGCTATTAACTGTTTCTAACTCTGAATCAAGTAGGAATTATGTGATTATAGCACCCAAAAAAAAAGAAAGAAAAAAAGACTGGTGCTCTAGATGTGCAAGGGAATAATGTATTATTGCTGCTTGAAGTTAACGGTAGATGCCTCAATGCTCATTCTGTTGGGGTTAGCTCCCTCCGCCTCAGCTTCACAAAATTCTCATTCTAGATCTTTGTAACCTGATAAGCACTGACTGCTAGAATAGTTTTCAAATGTGTACTAAGTCACAGTATTAACTGGTTTTTTAAAGAGTAGTAAATATGCGCTAGCTCACACATCTGCTGGTTCATACTGAGGCTGGTAATAAGCTTTAAATATTCCGATTCACTTTCACAACACAAAATGTAGATCTCCCTTCTCAAGCAAGCACAGTGATTTAGTATCAGTCAGATTTGGAGGGGGCAGGGTTATAAAGAACATCATCATTGTTATTAAATGATGATGGGACAGCAACTTCATTTTAGCCAATATATGCGCACCAAGAGATAGCTCAGTCGGTTGAGCATGAGACTCTTAATCACAGGGTTATGGGTTTGAGCCCCATGTTGGGCAAGAGATTCCTGCATGGGGGGACTAGACGACCCCCACAGTCTCTTCGAAATCTACATGTGAAGAGGCCACATGTACAAATAACCTACATATTTATGGTTTTAACTTTTAAAAAAACATATTGGCCCCAGGTTAGAAATCTACAGCTGTAACAGGAAACTTCATTTTAATTACTGTTCAAGTTATCCCTACCAGTATGTGCTTGCTACTGCTTTTGTAAAGCACACTCCCATGCCTAAGATGTCAACACGGACAACACTATCCTCAACCCTTGCTCACCGTTAGGTACCTGATGTGAATCTGTTTCCCACTTCCCCCTGCCTAATATGTATTTCTTAAAGGTGAAATAATGAAGGCACAAATGCAGACAATTCCAACAAGTGGGAGGCATCTAAAGAAACCGGTGAGGCTGCATAAGGAGCTTGAAGATGAGGTGAGATTTAAGGAGGGCATGTATTAAGAAATGAAAGAAAGGGAAATCACGAAGGAAGAGTATACACATGTAGCCAACAGTTGCAGGGGGAATGTCCGGGGTGGGGCAAAGCTCAGAAAGAAGCTCAGGCTTGGGGAAAAAGTTAAAAATAATTATAAAGATTTCTTCGGCTGTGTTTGAAGCAAGAGGAGGAACAAGCAAGTACAGTGGTACCTCTGGTTAAGAACTTAATTCGTTCCGGAGGTCCGTTCTTAACCTGAAACTGTTCTTAACCTGAGGTACCACTTTAGCTAATGGGGCCTCCTGCTGCCGCAAGATTTCTGTTCTCATCCTGAAGCAAAATTCTTAACCTGAGGTACTACTTGCGGATTAGCGGAGTCTGTAACCTGAAGCATTTGTAGCCCGAAGCGTTTGTAACCCGAGGTATCACTGTAGTAGGTTCTCTGCAGTGCCCAACCCGGCAATAGCAGAATGAATGATGCAAGAAGGAAGCTGCATCCCAAAATAGAAAAAGAGGTTGTAAGGGAACACCTAGTTACTTTAAATGAATTCAAATCTCCAGGGCCCAATGAGCTACACCCAAGGAGCTTGTGAATGTAATCTCAGAGCCTTCGTCTATAATCTTTGAGATTTCTTTGAGAACAGGTGAGGTCCCTACAGACTGAAGGTGGACAAATGTAGTCCCCATCTTCAAAAAGGGCAAAAGAAGAGGATTCAAGGAACTACTGAGTGGTCAAGTTGGGCATGTTCTATAGAATCATAAAACTGTAGAGTTGGAAATGACCACAAAGCCAATCTAGCCCAACCCCTTGCAATGCAGAAATCTTTTGCCCAATGTGGGGCGTGAACCTGTGACCCTGAGATTTAAGAGTCTCATGCTCTACTGAACTATCCCAGCAGTTTAGCCTGGAAAAGAGAAGACCGAGAGGAGATTATGATAACCATCTCCAAGTATCTTTGGGCTGTCACATGGAAAGCAGAGCAAGCTTGTTTTCTCATGCTGGGGAAGAGAAGGACCCGAAGTTCAAGTTACAAGAAAGGAGATTCTGACTCAACACCAGGAAAAACTTTCTAACTACAAGAACTGTTCAACAGTGGAACGGACTCCCTTGAAAGCTGGTGGACTTTCCTTCCATTGTAGACTCTCATACATGGCAATGACAATCCATGCACCATTACACAGAATTATCTTCTACATCAGTGTAGGATTTGTCAGCCAAAAACAGTGCAATGTTCAGCTACCTATGTCACAAGCTTTTATCGCACAGCTATGTATTTAGGAATTTTAAACAATGGTTTGAAATTAGCTCAATAGCAGAAGATCAAACTCTTGGGATTTTGGGGTTTGTGTTGAAGTTCTTTTATCAGAATTAAATAAATGTTTAAGTTCGTTGTATGAATAGTAAATATAAATGGATATTAACGATTCTAAAAAAAAAAGGAAGAAATTTAATTTGTCCTTGGCAATTTTAATTACTCAAGAGCTTTTCAACTTCCAGCATGTATCTTTGTGCAATGCAATTACACTATGTAATTAGCAAGATAATTAAAAAGTCATTTCCAGAAGATTGGAAGTACACAAGAATGTAATTTCATTTACCTTATTGTACCAACTGTTTAGTATGAAAGAAATAATATATTTTGAAAAGTGATTGGGATTCAGCTCAGCTTCTAGTTTAGCAGAAACTCGATTTTGAGAACATTTTGAATGCTGCATATTCCAGAAACTAAGCACTAACAATTCCTGCAACTTTCATTCAAAACTATGTAGTAGCCATAAAACTTCAAAATACATATGTACAAATGATCACAGCAATATTTGCAAAACCGTAAGTGTTCTGATTCCCACGTGGCAAACTGACCAGAGAAGTTCCACAACATGGAATCCTTTCACATTCTCTTCATTGGAGGAAAACTAATCTTTATGCACACCCATTGACATGAATCATAGCTGCTTTTTCCATTGAAATTAAAAAAACAACAACCTGTAGACCTACATCTGTAAACGTTGGCAATATAATCACAAAAATTACCTATCGTTTCAAAATATATACTGGTTCCCAGTCCAAGACTGGCATGTTTTATTTATAAGTTAAAAAAAGAAGTAAAAATAAGACCACACTAATTTGCCATTTTGCAGCAGATCTTTTGTGCAAAAATGATGTTCTAAACATGCTATCACAGACTTGTAGAGTTGAAATGGGCCCCGAGGGTAGTCTAGTTCAGTCCAGTCCCCTGCAATGCAGGAATCCCAACTAAATCATCCATGACAGATGGCCATCCAACCTCTGCTTTAAAACTTCCAAGGAAGAAGAGTGCACTACTTCTTGTAGTCTGTTCCACTGTTGAACAGCTCCTACTCTTGGCAAGTTCTTCCTGAGGTTTAGTTGTAACCTTGTAACTTGGATCCATTGGTTCCAGTAGTTTACACCTGGGTTTTCTTTTCCCCCTTGTTTTGAAGATGGGGACAACATTTGCCTGCCTCCAGTCTTCAGGGACCTCACCTGTTCTCCAAGAATTCTCAGAGATTATAGAAAGAGGCTCTGAGCTTACATTAGCAAGTGTCTTCAGCACCCTTGGGTGCAGCTCATCAAGCCCTGAAGATTCGAATTCATTTAAAGTGGCTAGGTGTTCCCTTACCACCTCTTTTGCTATGTTAGGCTGCAGCTCCCTCCTTGAATTGTTCTGTTATCACCAGGTTGGGCACTGCTTTCCTTTTGGGTGAAGACAGAGGCAAAGTAGGTGTTGAGCAATTCTGCCTTCTCCCTGTCACCCAATAGCATTACTCTGTCTTCTCCATACTGCCCCCTTATCTGAGCCAGGGGTTCTTCATGCACACAGTGAAACATCCTTGGAGCATATAGCTCATTCCCTAATTCCTAGAAGAGAAAGTAGCCCTGAAAGTTTTCAGATCTTGATATTTTCTAAGCTTATTTGAGAAGAGCGTTTTTGTGGGTGCGTATGTGTGTGCACGCACACACACTAATAAAAGTTTGTTAGCATCATCTGTATCTTGGTTCCCACCACTGATTCAAACACTATTCCATCTAAGTCCATTACGTGCACAAACGTTTACATTATGCCACCTGACTACAGCTATGTTTTAGGCATGGCTTGTGATTCTCAAGCCTACACCTGCTTCTGGTGCTTAAATCTATTTTCATATCTATGTGGGGTTTTCTCTCTGTGTGCTTGTGTGTGTACACACAGCAGTCTTACATAGCTATTTCATAATAGTATTGCTTGTTCCATCATGTCAGTTCTTGCACAAACAGGGAGCAGATATAGTGCTACCAAGAAGCTCTGTTGTATTTTTGTTATGTCATGTTACCTCTGGAACCCTTTAACAGGAATTCAATAAAATATTTTGTGGTTAGTTCACACATATTTTGCTTTCCTAAAGCCAAATTGCTTCCCAATCCTTCTTAGTCATAACACTTCTAGCAGGTGTTGGGGCAAGCATTATGTTAATTTCTGAGCACTGAGATTGGGTCTGATAAGCTACTAGCAGGTTATAAATCAAGCAGAGATGTTAATATGTCAGGCTTGGCGGAAATGCCTGCCTGGCAGATGTTTGTGCAGATGTGAGAAGGATCCTGAGTGGCCTTTGGAGAAATGTCATTGCAGTACAGATGCAGATTCTCCTATTTTCAAACTGAGTTCATCTTTACTTTAAAATGCATGCTGCAGTGATAACTTACGGCAAAGCTAGAAAACTGAAAGAGTGAAAGCATTGAAACATTCGTTAGTTAGAGGCCTACCAACAGATGGATTGACTAGCAGAAGAAGAAGAAGAAGGAGAAGAGTTTGGATTTGATATCCCGCCTTTCACTCCCTTTAAGGAGTCTCAAAGTGGCTAACATTCTCCTTTCCCTTCCTCCCCCACAACAAACACTCTGTGAGGTGAGTGGGGCTGAGAGACTTCAAAGAAGTGTGACTGGCCCAAGGTCACCCAGCAGCTGCATGTGGAGGAGCGGAGACGCGAACCCAGTTCCCCAGATAACGAGACTACCGCTCTTAACCACTACACCACACTGGCTCTCACTAGCACACAATCAAGTGACATGAAAGCCAGCTCACACATGTATGTTCACCACTTACTTGATCGTAATATCAAGTCAATGTGAGGGTATTTGTGTGATAATGAGTTGCACATATAAAGTAGCTTTCTTTACCAATTAGCTGTCACAGAGAGACCATCTCTCTCTCTCTCTCTTGTATCGGCTGCCAAAACCAATACTTCTAAAAGTTATTAGAGATCAAAAGGTGAACACGCAAACAGAATTTAGTCCTAAATTCCAAATAGTCAGAGGAAAAAGCAGCTGCCAAAGCTTATTTTGAGTTTGCACTTCCATTAGCAACCATTTAACATAAGGCTCAAACACAGATGGGATGGGAAGGATGGGAAAACATCGACCTATTTCAAACACATTTCACACACACAAAAAACCACTTTGTTTTTGTAAACTACCTTAAAAGCTTTGTGCTACAGGGTAGCATACAAATGCCAGAAATAAAAATACAATAAGATGTACACTTGAGCAAATCTGGACCAATGACCATGGGAGTAAAATGGAGAAGGGAACAGGGTATGGACTGTGTTGCTGCAAAATGAGTTGTCCTCATCAGTGCTTAAAAAAAATTAGATGGGGAAGCGTAAGCGTTTTGGAGTGTTTCACACAGTAAGACTTTGCGAATGAGCTCCATGTCTTTATGAGAGCGCCTCTGTGCGGTATGTAACTTGGGCATCTGGTGATACATTAGTCCTCCTCTGGCTCTACACACTTCACACACTCTGGGCATGTGGACAAACAAGTAAAGAGTACACAGAGGCATATGGTTCTTCATTCCTACTTGTCACCTCCTAGCCATCTGAAAAGCTTCTCCTCAAAACCTACCCCTCTTTTATAATAAGAGATGTGGCCAGCTCCCACAATCCCAATGTTTCCGGCATTGGCAGCTATGACCTGCTTTCACTTTTCCAGGATGTGGGTATTAGCATTTCTGGTCCTGACTAGAGATAAGCACAGTGTCGATTTAGCGTCACATGCCTTGCAATTCAAACTGAGTTTTGCTATCTAGACCACGGATGTGAATGAGCAATTAGGACATGGGCTGAACTTTTATTTTTATTTCATCCACAAGAAACAATGAGCCTTTTAGCTCATTTGAAAATAGGTCAGTTTTAACATCCTTCCGTGTGTGTGTGTGTGTGTGTGTGTGTGTGTGTGTGTTATTGAAAATAAAGGTCTGCCGCATTATGACAAGTCCTCATTTATTTCATTCATTTATGCCGAAATTTGCCACCAAGGATATTCGTTCATAAATGTAAGGTTTTAGTATTGCAAATAACCCAGCAGGATCTTCTCTAATTTACATCCCTTGGCATTCACAACATCAGTTATTCCAGTCCGCCAGCATTAGCTTGAGTCAGCAATCTTCTGTGAGATTTGGTGATGTATAGTCACACTGAAAAATTCATCCCAGAAACATTTATGCTGACTGATAGCATCAGATGCTGATGTATGACTCTGCCCTCGACACTCATCTCTCAAATAAACAGTTATACAATTTCCACTTTCAAGCGCATTACATGGTTATCTGGTTATTGATGTGGTGTATGTTTCATATTCAGTGGTGACACAAGCATCAAATGTTTGCTTTCAGTTTTTACCTTTATTTTTCGTTAAGTGTGATTCCTGCGTCTATCTCCCTTTTATACTCAACTCTCCATCCAGCTAGGGATCTGCATCAGGGGCAGATACAACTGTTGTACGCTCGCTTCTCCTATCCAATACAGCTGCCGCAGTTAAGATATTCCAAATATTACCACTCAGCTGTGTCGGATGAGGCACTGGGGGAACAGCTAGGTTTAGTTCCTCTGTGCTTAACAGCGTTATCTGATTGGAGCTACTTGTGCACTGCTCTACCATGTAGATTTGGATCAGGGCCAGAGAGTTGTAAAAAGAATCTGCAGTTCAGAGCCAAGAGCTAGGAAAAGCAGGTGTAAAAGCCATTATGTGTTCTTATCATAGGTTTGCTTTTTGTTCCTCTGAATATGGCTTGTATATTCAAAGTGTCCTGTTGGGCTTTCGTTGCACCTATCACTGTGGTGTCCCTGATGTCAGATGAGGTCACAAGTCACAATTTCACCTTGCTGTGCCAACACATTCCATTCATACCCCCAATTAAACACAACTGAACCCAAGCAAGTCCTAGCCATACATGCACGATTTAGGATAATGCACAGTTCCTTCTGATCAGTGTTTCACATTCTGAACACATGAGACATTTTCAAGGCATTGGTACAGTACAGGTCATAAAATGAAGACTGTTTTGTAACTCCAGCTCCACAAAGAACCTGCTGCTGGAATATTGGTTATACTAGTAGACTTTGACTTGGTTAATGCCTTCTGTGTCTACTGCTTATATAAATTTTGGAGTATACTTTAGTAATAAATGGTTTTAGACAAAGCTTTGTTTCTCCCAAGTCCTACAGATACACAATCCTGGAAAGTTCATAAGACATGTGTGTTTAATAGTATATATGGTACATTCCTCATTCCTACTTATTTATTAAACAGCATGCCTTCTTCCATCCATCTCCAAATTAAATTTCATTACCACCACAGTCAAGCGCACATCCTAACCTTCAGCATATACTCTACAGATGCAGCTAATGAAGAAATCTACCAATAAACACACCTACCAATGAAACCTGAAGAAGGAGGGTTGGGTTGTATCTTTTCCTTGGTGTTCTCCTGAATGATATCCCAGAGCTGCCATATAAATTTGGGGTGGAGAATGTAAAATGGCTGTTTAGGATTCCTCCTGCGATGCAGTGCATAGGGAGTAAACAAGTTGTAGTCTGGCTGCTTAAACCACTGGTGGGAGAAAACAAAAAACAAACAAAAAACCAGACATTTTCTAGGGAGTGCTAAACACATACCAACCTGCATCTAAAGCATCACATTTGTCAGCTCCCTGTGGATATAAAAACACACCTTCAAGGCATAGAAGGAAGTGGATATGGATTTCTGCAACTCTTACTAGCATGTGTTGGGGTGCCCTGATGTCGCAGACAGTTTAGATAGAGCAGCAGAACTGATACAGTTTTCAATGCCTGCCAATCAATCCCAACAAATATCAATTGACTTTTAGATGACAAAAAATTGGGCTTTGCCACTAACGTAGGTGCAGCCAATCTGCATTCCTCCAGATGTTGCTGAACTCCAACTCCCATCAGCCCTTGTTAGAATATCCAGGAGCTGGAGATGATGGGAATTGCAGTTCAAGAACACCCCCAAGCCCCCAAGTTACCAACCTCTTCTCTGGGAAGAATTAGAGCTCAGCAGACAAAACTCCAAATCTTATGTGAAGCTTTCCCATGGTAAACAAGCTGGGATAACCATCAGGCAGCTCTTGGAATGAGAACGTTCTGCTATATGGTGAAACCTAGCCAATGTGTGTCCCTGTATGCGACGGCAGGTAAAAGGGAGTTAACTCTCTAGGGTGGGTTTAAACCAGTTGTGGGCAGGACTGTACCATGCTTAGTCCATGCTCTGGGTACAGGTCTTTCTGCTGGATGTCACAAGAGCTATGCTGGGCACATTGGATTGTGCAAATTAATTGAAACAAAGCATGTTTTCTATCTTACTCGTAATCCTGTACTCAAAACAAACACGAAAAGTCAGTTGATCATTATGGTGTCGGAAGCTTGCAGCCAACAGAAGGAATGATGTGCTCGCCACAATATATTGTGTTTCTACGAAAGAGAGCTATTCCAGAGCTGGAAAAGAGGTATCCTGACGGTACTGGGATATTGCAGGAGGACCTAGCCCCCTGTCACACATTGAAAGTGGTGAAGAAATTCATGCCAGAACTGCAAATACAGGTACATGATTGGCCAGGGAATTCCCTGGACGTAAATCCCATTGAGAATTTGTGGGCCATATGCAAACGTCGCCTCCGTGCTGTAGACTGTATGACTATGGAGAAGTCCAATCAGGCGCTGATTCAAGTGTGGTACAAGGATCTAAAAATCCACAGTGACTGTTCAAAACTAGTAGACTCCATGCCAAACCGTGTTCAAATGCTGCTTAAAAATAACAGAGGTCATATCCGTTACTAATGTACGTATATGTGAGTTTTGTACATGTAGATGTGAGTTTTGTCCAATAAACTACATTGTTTGTTTCAATTAATTTGCACAAGGGTGTAGTAGGCTTGCAGGCAGTGGGATGATACGTACAGGAATTGTGCTACAGCATTTTACTCCCAGCTAGGACAGGACCCCCCCTTTGCTTTCCATAATTCTATATGCAGACCCCACACCCCACCCACACAAGAAGGGAAAAAAAGCCCAAGTGCAACACAGTTACTCCAGATTTCTTTGCATGTTTACAACTCCCGCAAGTTGTTTGCATTATTTAAACTCCTGCAAACTTAAATTTTCATAAGGTATGCCGGTGGCAGCACTTGAGCTACAGAAATGAATTTTGGCAGAGAGAAGAGAAGGAAAATAATCACAGGTGGCCAGGCACTTAGATCAGGATGACTGAGTTAACAAGCACCAGGTGATGTGGGGACAGGGAGGTGGGAGGACTTGAAGGTGCTACAAGGAAGGAAGGTTGTGCAAGGCCATAGTAACAGGAAAAACGTGCAGACACTGGTCACGTAGCTCAAGTGGTAGATCATCTGTTTTGCATGCCAAAGGCCACCAACACCTCAATTAGGCCAAGGAATGTCTCCTGCCTGAAACCCTGGACAGATGCTGCTGGTCAGTACATGCAATGCTGAGTTAGATAGACCAATGATCTGACTTGGTATAATAATAATAATTTTTATTAATTACCGTATTTTTCGCTCTATAGGACGCACTTTTTCCCCTCCAAAAATGAAGGGGAAATGTGTGTGTGTCCTATGGGGCGAATGCAGGCTTTCGCTTAAGCCTGGAGAGCGAGAGGCGTCGGTGCGCACCGACACCTCTCGCTCTCCAGGCTCCAGGAAGCTATCTGCAAGCCTTGCGCACCGGGGGGAGTTCCCCCGGGCACGCAAGGCTTGCGGGCGGCAGCCTGCAGCGCAGAGCACGGGGCGCCCTCCGGAGGACGCCCCGTGCTTCGCGCAGGTGTCCGCAAGCCTTGCGTGCCCGGGGAGATCCCCGGGCGCGCATGGCTTGCGGGCGGCAGCCTGCAGCGCGGGGCGCCCTCCGGAGGACGTCCCGTGCTTCGCGCAGGTGTCGGCAAGCCTTGCGCCCCGGGGGATCTTCCCCCGGGAGCGCAAGGCTTGCGGGCAGCAGCCTGCAGCGCGGAGCACGGGGCGCCCTCCGGAGGACGCCCCGTGCTTCGCGCAGGTGTCTGCAGCCTGCCGCCCGGCTCATGGGGCGCCCTGAAGCAGAGCGCCCCTCACGCCGGGCAGACATCGGCCAGCCCCACAAGCTCGGGGGACAACGGGGAGGCGCAGCGCCGCCATCCCACTGTTCCCCGACCTGGTTTTGGGGGGGAAATAAAGGGGAAAAAAATTTCCTTTATTTCCCCCCCAAAAAAGTAGGTGCGTCCTATGGGACGGAGCGTCCTATGGAACGAAAAATACGGTATATCCTGCCCATCTGGCTGGGTTTCCCTAGCCACCCTAGGCAGCTATAAGGCAGTTTCCTGTGTTCTGTGCAATAAGACGGCTCCCTCTAGTGTCAAGAGATGAAATATTCATAATAAAGCTGGCAAATTTTTTAATTCCACAATAAATTTTAAACACACATTCTCTGTGTGGGTGTGTTACTCTCTGCTCCCCTGTAAACTACAGAAATTATAGCAATACATTCTGCTGCTCCCATGTATAATATCAACCGGCATATTATATCCAAAAAGCTGTGGAGAAGAATAAAATGGGCAGCAGAAGAGTTAGGTGGAAATGGTAAGAGAGGGATTGACAGGCAGGGAGCGTCCGTTGTGAAGAGACAGCTGAGGGAGCTGATTAAAAAGGAGCAGGAATTATCTGCTAGTCAAGATTGCAGGTGGAAAAAGAAGGCAGATAGGTTGAGCCTGTTTATTAGGTTATTTCGCATTCTTTATTGCTTGTTCCATAGTTAAGCTCCTAAAACGACAACACAAGCTTGTTCAAATATTTAATGTGCTCTGATTAGGGTGGTTTTCATGGAAACGTATCTCTCATCTAGATATGGGGTAGGAATTTGGTTTGCTTCAGTTTGGAAGCAAAACCATTTTTAGATTTATTGTGCTGGCCCAAGCAGCGCTAAGCAGTAGCACAGAAGTCCTCTGTAGTATTTCCTAGTTTTAGGCTTCCTGCGATGGGAAATCTGTGACCTGGGAACACTCGCACAGTTTGAAAAAGGGTATTGTTGAACCTAGTTGCTTTTAAACGAGGAGGTTGCAATGGGTGCTGAACTCATCCTGGCTGCTGACTTACCACAGTCAGATCTGCAGAATAGGGTGCAGGATCCCAAGCGACTAGAGTAACATCTTTATATAAGGGGTTGTCAGTGAACTGGTGCTTAGGATTGGTAAGAATCTGCAAAATACAAAACACACAAACACACATATTCAAAACATTTCCAAATGATTATGAAACATCCTCATAAGATCAAGCGATGGCATTACCTCTCAACATACTACCCCCCCTTTAAAAAAACCCTCAGCCTTTTTTGGGGGGGTTGGGAGTATAACTTGGGGAAAGTTCTGGGGACTGGACAGAGGAGCCTAGAGGGCCACAATCAGCCCTGGGTCTAAAATTCTCCATCCCTGCAGTGTAGGGTTGCCATATTTTGAAGAGCAAAAAAAGACGATGAAGAGTTTGGATTTGAGTTTGGATTTGATATCCCACTTTATCACTACCCTAAGGTGTCTCAAAGTGGCTAACATTCTCCTTTTCCTTCCTCCCCACAACAAACACTCTGTGAGGTGAGTGGGGCTGAGAGACTTCAGAGAAGTGTGACTGGCCCAAGGTCACCCAGCAGCTGCATGTGGAGGAGCGGAGACGCGAACCCGGTTCACCAGATTACGAGTCCACCGCTCTTAACCACTACACCACACTGGCTCTCTGGATGCAATGACGGCACTCATTTTAAATATGCCTACGATAGGTAGGCTATCGAAGCTGTGATATATTGCTGAGGGGGGCAGGAGAAGAGAAGAGGAAAGCAATTTCTGTCCAGGTGTTTTTTGTTAAATTTGACCAAATGTCTCTGGCTATACTTTCGTGATGACATAGAGTGGTAGGCATGGAACATGTGATCTGCTGTGCACATCTTGCACCCACCTGACGTAAAAGAATTATTGGATTGACAGACTGCGAGGCACAGGTTGTTATTATCCTCAATTCAAAGATAAGGAAACAAAAAATCAAAACACTGTCCTTACAAATAAACCTTCATTTTGAAAAGTAAACATACAATGTGTCCACCACAAGAGGGCACTGCATATCTATCTATAACACACACACACACACACACACACACACACACACACACGAGTGCTACCTCAGTTTTCGAGCATCTCGGAAGCTGAACATTTCGGTTTTCGAACACCGAAAAACTGGAAGTAATTGCCTCGGAAGTCGAACTGCTTCCGCTGCAAGTTTTTTTCCAATTTTCTCTATTGACTTTGCAGTAAGCCATTTGTGCCTCGGTTGTCAAACGTTTCGGAAGTCGAATGGTCTTCGGGAACAGATTACGTTTGACAACCGAGGTACCACTGTATATACATGTATATAGATGGACAGGTTGTGTGTGTGTGTGTGTTTGTTTCCTTCAGTATAGTCATGCAACTTTGTCAAACACCGCATCTGTCAGGACTGGTCGTTGTCCTCTTCAGATCACCACACAAATGCTGCTTGTTCTTTTATAAAACTTTTTATTGCGTATTAACAAAACAATCTTATAAACGGTCCTTAACTATTATTCCTCAGAGTCACTTATTTCAGATACCTTCTGAGCTCTGCTTCTCCATGACCAGCCACTCTCAAAATGGTGAGGGCGCCTTTCCCTTCGCTTTCCCGCTCTTTTTTCTAACCTCCTGGCTAGAGCTGGCTTGTATCTCCCCTCCTCCGAATCTGAGCTAGAACTTAACCCTTGCCTTTCCTGTGAACAGCCAGTCCCTCCCTGTTGTTCCTCTTTCTCTCTTCTATTAGATTCACTGCTCTCCTTACCCCCTTGGGGAATGCTTTCTCCCTCTGAGAAACTGGAAACTTCTAACTCTTCCCTGACAGCATCTATATTGTTTCCACCTCCCACGCCTTGCTTATTTGTTGTTGTTGTTGTTTTGCACTATCAACCACCTCAGTTGAACATGGTATCACCATAACTGTGCAACATTACCGCAGTTCTTTTGTAGATTGTAGACTGTTTCATCTTATATTAATGTTGCATTTTTAGTTAGCTGTGACCTGCCCTGGGAAGGACGAGTAAGAAGCCTAATAAATAAATATTGTTTCGTATAAAACTACAAAAAAAGAATTAGGAGAGGCTTAGACCAAGAGTTTATGAACGTTTTTCTCAACAGGCCACTTGGACATTTCCGAGGGTCTTGGCGGAGCGCTTAATGATTTGTCTCCCTGTTGTAGCAATTGCAATAACAGGGCATCATAGAGTTGGATCACGAGGGTCATTGAGTCCTACCCCCCTGCAAGGAAAAGATATTTTGCCCAACATGGGGCTCGAACCCACAACCACCCTGATATGAAGAGTCTCATGCACTGCCAGCGGAACTAGCAAGATACTGTATGATATCTCATTGTACTTTTATTGCTTCTTTTATTTCTTATCTAGTGTGGTTTATTGTATTGCTATTTGAACCCCCATATAATTCACACTGCTACATAATAAAATGAAATACAATTGAAGAAACAATGAAAATAAAAACAAAAATCAATGAGCATATTTAATACGATGGATACTCCGTCTAAAACCACAAATCCAAACACACCAGCAACCACCTGAATAAAAAGCTTGTGGGGCACTGGTACCCCATGGACCAGTTTGGGAACCCCGTGGAGGCAGGGGAAAGGGACAAAAGACAAGGAGTTATAGCACCTAATCCATCACCTGTCTCCTCCCTTTTGGTATGTAATCTTTGGGAAGCACTGCTGGGCATGTTAACAGTTCCCAGCAATGATGAAAGCTGGGGCCTGTTATTTAAAATCAAAGCAGAATTGCCCAGAATTTCTGGTTCAGTTCTAGGAGGAGTTGCAACATACGGAAAACAATACAAGTATGCAGATGTTCAAGTGCCTTACTTGGGAATTAATGATGCGCATGGTTGTTTTATTTCCGACATCTTTTTCATATCCGTTTGTTGGAGCAGAGTTGAATCGCAAGACGGCATCATGGGAGTCTATAAAGTCAGAGGAAAGGACATTCAGGTGAGTAACCGGCAAGAGTCATCGTGTAGTACAATCATCTGCATGTTTACTTGGAAGTAAGCATCGACCCCTTCCTGCTGGGCTCCAAGAACCACTGTAGTCAGCACACATGAAGGGAGCAAGCAAGGGAATAAAATGAGTAGCATCAGCGACAAGAAACCCCGGCTCTTCACAAGCAAGCTGTGAGCAACTTCTGCTGAGAACTGATTTCCTGTGTGGTATCTTGGCACTTGGACAAGGAATGAATGTGTAAAGAACACAGTAGCTGAAGGAGTCAAAATATGCTTGGTTGTTTTTTGGGGGTTTTTGAGAGAGAGAGGTTTGCTGTTATTTACACTGGGATGAAATCCCCTCTCCCCTAAACCACTTTCCATAAAATATTCTCATGAAAACTGAGAGGTGGCGGCAAGTTTCTGCTGCTTTTGTGGTGGTGGTAGTGATTTTTTTAAAATAATGGATTTGAAAATTTAAGTGCAGTGCTGGCCACATCAAGCAGGTTGGCATAGTACAAGAAGCCTACAGCAGGATTTCTCTATTTTTTTCTGGAGAATCCTGAGCCTGTACAGAAGGCAGAGAATTTCCATCTTTGGACTCAGTTCCAAACTGATGCAGAGGTCTGTTCCCTCTCTGATAATTACAAGGAAAAATGTTTGGTGGATGAAAAATGAAGCTCTTTTATGTCCCCAATTGCTCTTACAGGGTTCATTTATGCCTGCAATAGTTGTAGGAGCAGTCCAGTTTTTACTGGGGTTCTGTTTTACCCTAGATTTGCTGTTTTCCAAATGTTCATTCCAATCTTGCTGGACGCCCAGGGGTTGTTTCATCTCCCCACACTTTTTGTGTGTTTTGCTTGACCCTGTTGGAAAGATCTTAGACACACCACTCTGGATTGGGAGCTATGGGGAAATGCTGTGGTGTTCTGGAATCAAATTAGATGGGAGTTAAAATAAGGAAGGGGTCTAGAAATCAGTATGTTTGAAATCGCTTTATTACTAATTGCTTAATTAGTACTTGCTTTGTCAATCACTCCACATTCTTTTTTCTTATTTGAATTGCCTGGTACTTTCTTCTATTTTTAATTGCTGTGTTTTGCAAATTGCTTTGAGCACACCAATTGCTTCCCATTCATTATATATCAATAAAGTGTTTAATTTCTTTCATTCACAGTCTGAGTCTGTGGTCCTTCTCACTGGCTATGCTTCTCCCTTGCCCACCTACTGAGTTGCAGAAGTGCAAGCTGGAACCCTAGATGAAGAGCAGCTTCTTGCTGCATTCAATGGGGCCGATTTCTTAAAAGTGTTTTTTTTTTAACCTGCCCCTCCAATGAATAGGATATTCCGTTAAAGGAATCTGGGGGTCTGGATCTCGTCTGAAGCCCGGAGAGGGACTAGGGCCATGCCAAGACCCCTGGGAACCCCAGGGGTGAGCACCAGTCAATATACACTGACGGAGATCCCCCTGTTGGTTGTTTACCCTTCCAGGCTTCCTGCAGGGTGGGGCAGGAGCCAGATATAGTTTGATACCAATGCCTAAGCAAATACCAGTCACATTTGTATATTTTAATAAACTTGTGGCCAGAATTTGCTCATTAACATTTAAACTAAATTCTGTCTCCACTGTATCTTTATTTCCATTCAGGATGGGTTTTGGGGCTCGAAGCACAAGTGCAATCTCTGAGTGGAATTCTATATATAACTTACACAAGAGTTAAGTCCCACTGAAACAAAATGGACCTACTGCTGACTAGACATGCAAAGTCTTGCACTCTAAATAATAGTATCTGAAGATTAGCGGTGAATGCAAACAGAATATTGCTCTGCTACAACAAAAACTCTTGACTGCAGGCCATTTTAGACAAGCTCACCTGCCCTACACCTGATGTCACCTGATGGACCAGGTAAAAGAGGTTTGGCCAGACACCGACCATCAGTTTATGGTTGGGTCTTCAAAAGCCCTGTGCATAGTGATTTACAAGACCCAACCATCAGCTGATTGTCGTCATGTTGCAGGCTGTGCCTTTGTCTGCTGTTTGATTTCAAACCTCGTGGGCAAAAACATGTCACCTAATGTTACTGTAACATCATGTGATTGGTAGGTGCTGCAGTCCCACTCAACTGTCAAACCTGGCCCTAGGATGGGGGGCAATAACAATGTATTCTGTTGGTCAGGTCCAGTTCCTTGCCCCTCCTTTACTGTTACACTTAACAGTGCCATGCTTGCAAGGACAATAAATGGTAATATCTACTTGCAAATTGGTTTCCAGCAGCGTTCGATATTCGCCAGGTGCGTTTTGCACCTGGCTATTGGCCACTTGCAACCAAGTGAAGATTCCTAGGTGCCACGATGGCACTTGAAGTCTCTACCATCTGGAAGTGCATGCTTGGGGATCCTTGGATCTTGCCTGTTTTCACACATTAGCAACATATCCTGTAGAATTCTATCCAATCAGAATGAATTTCAGGAACCAAAAAGTTATATTGAAAAATACGACTTTTCAGCCGTCTGGTCCTAAAATGGCAACTAGGCATTCTGTTTAGGTGACTGTAACCCTGGTTTAAGGAGCCATTTGGTACATAGCTTATATATCTGAATTTCTAATTCTGGTCACCAGTCTACTTTTCTTCCTTTAGCACATTTGCAATTTGATAACTTCTACTTTAGAAGCAATGTTGTTAGAAAATTCTAAGCTGTGAATAACCACAACAAATCCAAAGTTTCCTGCAGACCAAGTGCTAGCAGATGTTACATCTACAGTTAAAAAAACCCCACAACCCTGTATAAAATGGCATTACTCTTAAGTTTAGTATTACATTCCGTTTCAGATTTATGATATGGACGTTTGAGAAACGGTCCTGGAAAACCACCTCAGGTTACAAGAACACCATGTCCTAGAATTGTATCGTAAAAAAACAGCAATGCTATTCTGCTTAGAACAGCTCACTATAAAAGCATCTGGACTCTCAAAAAAAGTATTCAGGCCTGCTGCATATATCCCTTTTTGTAAAAACCACACTTTCAACGCTCAGAAGTAAAACCTAAATATCACATTTCTAGCACAAAAACAGAAGGGGGCACCCAAAGTCTACTGATACATCTGGAGATCTAAGACTTGTCATGTCTTGGTTTGCTCTGCCTTGCTAGTTAACCAGGCTGTGTTCCTTTGAAGACCTCAAGGACCCATCATCAGTTGACCCCTGCCCACTTTCAGCCCATATTACTGCTTCATGTTACAATCCTTGGATCCCGGACCTATGATCATGCTTCCTGAGAGTGTTGCACTGCAGAACAGTCACTATCAACCAGAGAAGGAAGTATTAAAGCAGGACTTTCTTACCAAATGGCATTGTCTGATAACCCCAGACTTTTATCTTCTTTCTACTGATAAGAGTCTGGCCACTACTACAGGCATAGTTTGCATTCTGTTCTTAGACCTCCAAGTGCAGGGTAGAGGAATACATTTTCAGATTTTTGGTTTTTTAAATGACATTCAGGCTTCTAGGTAGTGTGAAAATACAGTGGTACCTCCGGTTGCGGACAGGAGATATGGTCGGATCCTGAGGTTTCCGCAACAAGAGGTGCCTGTTCTGCACATGTGCGCGGTGCAGTAGAGCACTTCTGCGCATGTGGTGAAACCTGGAAAAATACTTCCGGGTTTGCTGCATGCGTATCCTGAAGGATACATAACCAGAGGTGCTCGTAAGTAGAGGTACCACTGTACCCCCAATAATTCCAGATCATCCTGGTGTTTCCCACTGCCAGCAGTCTAGATACCCTAGATACTCTGAGGGTTTACACCTACGACCCTTCCTGCACAATGCACAACAACTTCATAGTTAACTGACAGGCTTCAGTCAAGGGTGAGGCACTTTTGCAGCCTGAGGGCCCCATTTCCTTCTGGAAAATCTTCCAAGGGCCAGATAACAGGTGGGTGGAGCCAAAGGTGAAAATGGGTGAAGCAACAAATGCAAATGCTAACTTTTTACAGTAACGGAAAGGTAAAGGGACCCCTGACCATTAGGTCCAGTAGTGACCAACTCTGGGGTTGCGGCGCTCATCTCACTTTATTGGCCGAGGGAGCCGGTGTACAGCTTCCGGGTCATGTGGCCAGCATGACTAAGCCGCTTCTGGCAAACCAGAGCAGCGCACGGAAATGCCGTTTACCTTTCCACCGGAGCGGTATCTATTTATCTACTTGCACTTTGACGTGCTTTCGAACTGCTAGGTTGGCAGGAGCAGGGACTGAGCAACGGGAGCTCACCCCGTCGCGGGGATTCGAACCGCCGACCTTCTGATCGGCAAGTCCCAGGCTCTGTGGTTTCACCCACACCTACTTTGTACAGTAGGCTAGCTCAAATCCCCCTCTGTGTTCTCCATTTAGACCAGCAGGAGGCTTTATCAGAGTTCAATGCCAGGGAAAGAACACCCTCAGGTGTGAAGCAGGGTGTCTTATTTCAGACTGAGTGAAACAGATGATTCAATAAATAAGAACATAAGAAGAATTAAAGGAAGCTTGTGTGCAGGTGGGACGAGAAGAGCTGGTCTCTCCCCCCATCCCACCCCTTTCTGCTGCTCTCTATCCCCAGTGGCTAGGGTGGCAGTGACAGCAGCTCACTCCCCAAAGTAGGAAGTCCCCAGGGATCATCACCAGGGTCAGCAAAGGAAGGGAAAGAGTGGCAAGTCTATGAAAGAAACATAAGAGTGGCAAGAGGGAGCTGGGGTGGAACAAACAGGGTGCCTTGTGATTCCCTCAGAGGAATTACAGCCAAACACTATAACCCGAGACTGCTGAGGTGAATGTGCAAGAAAAAGGTGCTTTGAGCTAATGAAATATACCACATAAATACTACATCATATTATTATTATTACTACTACTACTACTGCGATTATCAACAACAACCTGGAGGCACATAAACGAAGCATTAAGAGAGGGTACTGAGTGACACATTAAGTCTCTGGAATTTTTAAAACGCATCTTGATGTGGGAGGGGGGTGAGGTTGACAATAACCACGAATATTTCTTTTGTCAAACGAACGGAAGCCGAGGCTTTCCTAGAACAGAACAAGAAAGCAGAACAAAAGTCAGGCTGCCATGAGGTGAACATGACAGCACGCATTCTCATAATGCCTTATAAATTGTTGGCAGAGTCATGACGGCTTCACATTTACACCCGTTTAGCTTATGGCAAATGCGGCAGGGCAGTCGTTGTGGAGCATCTCACTGCAATAGGCTCTCCCTCCCTCCAGAATCCCCCTAGCAACAGATCGAGGCTCCTACATGAAGAGAAGGGAAGTCCATTGTTAATATACATGTTGTTAATGTGTTAAGAGAATGGGGCCGGGGCGGAATGTCGCTGATCCGTAGGATTTAGTGAAATAGGAGCTGTTGGACACAAGAACGAGCCCAGGATAAATACTTTGTATCACGCTCTTTTATTCTGGGTTAAATCAATCAATCAATCAATCAATCAATCAAGACTAGGAATCACCCTGAGGCGCCATACCTCTCAATCATTAGCATGGCTACGTATGACTCACTGTTCCACATGCAAGCTTGCAATGAAAAGGTGGGAAGGGGGAATCTGCCATTTACTCTGTGCATGCAAATAAGCATTTAAAATGTAACAAGGTTGCCTCCAGATTGTCAATATTTTGCAGGAGGGATTCAGCTGGAAAATTAAATTTGTGCAATTAAAGTGCTACGCCACTCCAAAAAAACAACACTTTTTTTTAAACAAACAAACAAACAAAGAGTAGCAGCAGCAGCAACAACAACAACAACAACAACAGTAAACTGGCTTTTTGCTGTTGGGAACACGGCGGGCAGAATTATTAAAAAGAGTGGAATAAATGACCAATTGATGGGAATACTCATAACCTCTTTGCATGCAAATCAGAATAAATTATCAAGAAAGAGCAGGCGTTGCTTAACCTTTGAAAAAGCTTTGTGCAAGCAAATGATGAATACTCGACAAGAAGGTTGCCTAGAGGAACATTATTTTCTTAGTAAGCAAAACTAGGTCAACTAGGGAGAGGGAGAGGTGACCTGGAAGTACTGTGGGTGGGCAACTGGAGAGTTCCACAACTACAACGTACGGCACACTGAGTGACCCCTAAAACTGGGTATATGGGAGACAAAAATGTTACTTCTTATGGCGTCAAAAGGTCACTGATTCGGAGGTATCTCGGCCTTTTCGCTAGGTAAAGGTCAACATGCCTTCTAAAAACCCTTAAAACAAACAAACAAAACAGCTTCTTCGATACTGAACTCGCAGTTTGGTAGAAAGCGGAAGACAGACAACGACACTTTAAAACACAAACTAGAAAAAGGAAATATTTTGCCTCATTATCTGTGAGGAAAAGGCAGGGGAGAGAACCTGTGGAGTTCTCACACCTCATAGGTTTTCAAACTAGTGGGATTATCTTTTGAAACTGGAAGCTACCAGGACAGCTTTTGCACATATTCTGAGCAAGAAGCCTATTAAAGTAGTTGGATAATGAGAGTAGTTCTACTTCATCATAAGAGATTTAAAGGGAAACCTATCTGGATATGAAAATATGAATGGCTCTAGAGGATTAACCCAGAGTTCATTTTAAAGAATCTGTGGGAAGAACATTGTTTTGGTGTTTAGGAACTGAAGTGACAAAACATTTCTTCCCTTTTCCTCCTTAGCCTTTACCAGGGATTAGGGAGGATTCTAGCTCACCCCACAATTTGGAGCAAACCTCCACAGTCTACATCTAACAGATCACACTCAGGACGGAACACAGGTGTGTTGATTAGGGGTGCATTCAGATATGGTGTTTATTATGTGAGTTTTCCTGACTATAAAGCTAGCTCTCCTGTCCCATTTTCTAACCTTCATTTCACACAGCAGTGTCTGTTGCATTGGGACATGAATAAACCACTGAGCCTCTTAAGCTTGCCGATCGCAAGGTTGGCGGTTCGAATCCACGCAACAGGGTAAGCTCCCGTTGCTTTGTCCCTGCCAACCTAGCAGTTCAAAAGAATTCGACTGGACTTAACCATCCAGGGGTCCTTTACCTTTACCTTCTTTATGGAACTGCGGCTTTTTGACCAATATACTGCAGTGTCACACTCAATTTAAATCACACCAATGAGCTCGACTTCATCTTTATTTGATGACCCTTGGGATTTAGTACGATGGGTGTGTGAGAGAAAAAACTTATCTCTATCCACACTCTCAGCATAACTTTTTATAGCTCTATCAGTCCACCCTAACTTACCACTTCTAAACTAAAAAGTCTCAAATATTGTAAAGGTTTCACATGGGGAAAGGTTCTACCAATGAAATGGAAAGGCACATTTTCTACATTAAAAATAAACTAAAAATCTGTGGAAATTTTTTCCATTCCTTAAAGTAAAGATGAATAGATGCTAACTGCAAATAAATAATTAGGCAAGTTTGGCAGTTTTGATTTTGTCTATTGAATACAAGTAAAATAAAAGTGCTAAATTAGATTATTCTGTAGGGCACCAGAACATTTCCTTATGCAAATTACTCTAATTTACATACGCAAAATTTCTAAAAGCCAACATCACTAGTTACTCAAACCCTTGATCAATTGGGTTGCCCTTCTCTGTACTTTTCCTAGCTCTACAATATGCTTTTGAGGTGTGGCAACTAGAACTGTATGAAGCATTCCATGTGTGGCCATGCCACAGATTTAACTAACAGCATTATGATGGGGCAGATTAATTTTTAATGCCTTTCCCAATCTCTAACATGAAAATTTACTCTTTCCACAGATGCCGCACACATCAACACAGCCATTTTCAGTGAGTTATCCGTTGCAACCCAAAAGTCTTGTTCCTGGACAGTCAACACCAGTTCAGATCCCATGTGCATAAATGTAAAAAATGCCACCAGCTAAAAGCAACTAAAGTTCCTGCCTTCAAGCACTAGGTGGCCCTAATCCTATCTAGGTATAGTATGATCAGCACAGCAGATTTAGAATGTCTTGCATTATTTTACACTTGCTCACAATGAACCTTGTTTGTCGTTTTATTTTAATGCCTGCTCCCTCCTAATACTCTGCAAACTTGGCTACCTCACTGCTCAACCCTAACTCCATGTCATTTTGAAACAAGTTAAAGAGCACAGCCTTGGGAAAGTCCCATTTCTTATACCCCTCCAGTGCAAGAATTGCCCATTTATTCCTACTCTCTGCTTCCTCTTCCAGTTACTGATCCATAAGAGAACCTGTCTTCTTATCCCACGACTACTAAGCTCACTCAGGAGCCTTTGGTGAAGGATTTTATTAACATCTTCTTGAAACACCAAGCACACAATCTAGTTAATTTACAGAATACCCTGCCATAAGATGCTCTGATGGTCACTAGCTCAGGTGATTTGAAAAGGTTGGTGGTCAAATTAATGGGGGATTAAGTCCATCATAGGGATGCAGGTGATGCTGTGGGTTAAACCACAGAGCCTAGGGCTTGCCGATCAGAAGGTCGGCGGTTCGAATCCCCAAGACTGGGTAAGCTCCCGTTGCTCGGTCCCAGCTCCTGCCAACCTAGCAGTTCAAAAGCATGTCAAAATGCAAGTAGATAAATAGTACCACTCTGACGGGAAGGTAAACGGCTTTTCTGTGGGCTGCTCTGGTTCGCCAGAAGCAGCTTAGTCATGCTGGCCACATGACCCGGAAGCTGTACGCCGGCTCCCTCGGCTAATAAAGCGAGATGAGCACTGCAACCCCAGAGTCAGCCACGACTGGACCTAATGGTCAGGGTTCCCTTTACCTTTAAGTCCATCATTGGCTACAAATCATGCTGGCTATATGTGGCTCCCAGCTTCAAAGGCAGTATGCCTCTGCACACCAGTTTCTGGGGAATGAGTGTAAGAGGGCTATTGGGCTCCTGGCCTGCTTGTGAGGTTCCTAAGAGACATCTATTGGCCAACAAGGGGAACAAGCTGATAGGCCTTGATCTGACCTATCAGGGTTCTCTTTCTTTCTATGTTATTATGGACAGTCCTGGTCCACATGTACATGGTTTTGCACATTTTGTCGAGATCCTTCCACTCACCTATTTCATCCCCTAGAGAAGAGTTCAGTATGGAACCAGCGGACATGACGACAGCACAGCTACCAAACCCACGTGGGTACAGCTTGCTCAGAGAAACTTTGGGGACCCGCCTTTCCCATCCGAGGATAGAAAAGGGAGCTTCTTTGCCATCGATGGTCCTGACGTCCACACGTGCCTTGAGCTCACAGAGGAGCTGCTCTGAAGTCAACTTGAGGTTTCGCTTCCCTTTGAAGTGCACCCTATGCTTATTAGTATCCAGGTAACCTTTCCTTGCTTTCTGTAGGCGAGGGAGAAGCATCTTAGAGGAGACGTTCCCTTTCCAAAGCCTGTAGAGGAAAGATTTCGACATTGTGGAATATACTCCATCCCATTCATTGGACTCTTCAAACATCTGGCCTCTCCTGTGTCTTGCATGTCTTTTCTTTTTCTTCCTTTGAGGGAGCCAATTATCCTGCAAGGCATTGCTCTTCTGATCTGCCCCCTCTGCTGAGACTAATCTCCCTATTCTCTGAATACTGCTCTGTGACCGACGCTGACCAGCAGCAAATAAATAATCACCAGACCTTTGATAGAAAGCACTTTTTGATTTTCTTCCTAATTGGGGAGGGAAAAATTCCTCTTCACTTTCAAAGCCATCGTCTAGGTCAGCCCATTTTTTAATGCTCCCAGTCCCCGATTTAAGTGAACCCGAGACGTCTTTGCCGAGAAGCAGCTCGTTCTCATCAGCTGTATCAGAGAAGGACGGGTCGTGCATGGCTCCCATGATAGCTCTCTGTTTGCCTTGAATGGGCAAAAGCCTTTTAGTCTCAGTGTAGGAGAAGGAGCTTGGAACTGCTTCAGCCGTGTTGCTATCTGTGAAATAGATGAAGATAACCAGGAACAGGAGACCCCACGCAAATATTCCAAACAGCATGAGTTGTTTCCATTGCTTCAAGTTAGGTTTCATGGCAACTCTGTGCCTATTCTGCCGTATGCTAAAGGCCCAGTGAAGGAGCATCAAACCTGGAATAAGAAGATTCAGTATTAGCAAAGAACGTCTCTCAAGGTAGGATAGAAACAAACAACTCTAAGGTCAATGATAATGTGTCGAAAACTATGCAACGTAGGAACACTTATCAGTAGGTAAATTGTTTTCCTCAACAACAGATATCACACCTAGGATATTTATGGCATAATGTCAATTTTTCAGGGCAACACAGCATAATGTCCCTCTTTAAGCACATTTTGCATGCTGCTCTGCAAACCACAGCCAAATCAACTCATGCTGGAAAAAAAATTATATTGACAAGTGACAATCAGCTTCAAACTTTCAAACAAGGGTATACACACAAGCACACACACACACACACACACACGCATACATTTATGGAACTGAAGGGCCAGTGCAAATCTTTACTATTCCACATGAGGCATGTGTCCACAGTGCTCTGCAAGTTTAAGACATTTTATCACAGTGGGTTTTTGACTCATTTGTAGAAGTTATACAAATGGCAGAATTCAAGGGCTAAAACAAGTCTGAAGGAAATCTAATCTAGTCTTATCAAGACAGAATACTGTGTATCTCAGAACAGTTAACATATTTAGCACAGTCCCCATGAAGGTTCTTTTCTGAATTTCAGACAAGAGCAGGTTAATAGGCACAGCTATGAATAAAAAATTCCCTGGTTCAAATTTTAGTCCAGAATTTCAGTCACCAAGGTAGCTTTATGCAAGCCATTGTCTCAAGTTGCAGTTTAGGGATTAAACCATTGTGTGTCTCAGGGATGTTTAAAGGGTTATGCCAATGAAGCACATAACTTAAAGAAAGGAATATAAATGTTAACTATTATTAGGAGTTGGGTTTTTTATGACAATTCTGGTATCCTAAATAAGTGGCAGTGTGGCAGTCATGCTTCCTTAAGACTCCCAAGAATTGACTGCGTGATTCTCAGCCTGCATTAAAACAAAGGATATTCTCTAGTGAAAATACTGTGCTGCTGAAGGAGCTTTCATCCTCCTTTGATCCTATTCAAGTGGCTGACTGCAGCCCCTGTGTCACAACTCCCATTGTTTTGCAACAGAAGGCACTTTTAATGTCTCTAAACTAGGCCTCCTATTTATTACAGGAGGGGAGCTGAGTGGAAGAAGAGTCTTTATCCTTTTCAAACTTTCCTCTCTTTCAGGACTTTGTATTGTCAAGGTTCTCCATTGCTAAGAAAAAGCATATAAAGACACACAGCTATGAGGTCAGGACGGTTCAAGTTGATGTTCTACGTTAGGCACTGTTATGTTAAATAGGCCCTTTTCTTCCCTCAAGAGAAAGGGAGGAAGGATATTGCAGCTTTTCAATTGGAAGTTCGTCTCAGGGTTAGCAGGGGTTGTGAATTCTGTGGCCAGACATTCCCATGGTGTTGGGAATTCAAACTTGATGGGAAAACTCTGCAACCTAGGTGGAAAAAGTTATTGTGGTATGAGGAATTAAAGAACCTTTCCAGCATAAAGCAAATGAAGTTTCTCTTCAAAGCGCAGACGACACACTGCACTGCAGCTGTTATGTGGCTTTTAATACTTCCCCATCATATAATTAGAACCCTTTCTTTGAACTAGAGACTGCCAGGAGTTGCTCTCTGCCACTGCTTTTTGAGAACGCAACTGATCTTAGAAGAAAAATAAAATTTACATGATACAATTACACCTGGACATCCTTGCACAAGTTAAGAGAGGAAGAGGTGTATTTCACTAATGAGTTCAGGCAGAGATGAGAGATTGTTACAAAGGCGTTATTCTGTGACATTGAGGCACATGCCTGGGCACACATTTTGGCGCTGTACCACGCAGAAGGCAAATGCCTCCAGTGCAAAATAGAGCATTTAAGTAAATTTTCTGCCTTCCTTTTAAGCGCTTATTCATGCAACAGCTGATCTGTGTTTGCCCATCTCATGTAGGTGTGCAGATCATCTAAAAGCAACTGATTTGAGAAAGCTGATAAAAAATAGAAAACTGAAAGAACAGAAGGGAAAGCAGACAGAAATTATGAAACAAGCTAGAAATCAACACGATATACGCTTCAGGTTTGCACAGACTGAGTGTTACAAAATGTCACCTCTCCGTTTCGGTGCCATATAAAGGAACAATTCGCAGCCAACATTCATGCGCAAGCAGCATAATTCACTCTCAGTTCTCTAATACATTGCTAGCACTATGCAGTTCAATACTGCCATTTGGATTGAACCTTCGCTCCATGGTACTGCTTTGTTTTGTTTTTGTTACTATTCGACATAGCATTAATTTTTCTTTTGAAATGACTTTTAGCAAATAGTTATAAAAAAGCATTCAGTTACGAACCAGGATCTGGTTTATAAAAGCACAATCCAAAAAGTACCTAACATACCTCAAACCTAACATAGCAGAAACCTCAAGGCAAACCCAAAACAAATCCCTCAAGCCAGTGGAGGGTGGTCCATTGGGGTGAATGGGGTGCTGCCCCAACAACCCTGGCCAGCCCACACCTGGCTGCTTTCGTGCTTAAAAACTAGCCCATGGGGTGATTCTGCCTGTCAGCTTCCTCCTGTCTCAGGGGGAATGGATACAAAACTATTTTATTTCTAAAATCCCTGTTCACATGTAAGTGTTCATCACTTGCAGACCGCATCATCCGATAATGATCTACATGTATCAAAAACCACAGAGAGGTTTCATATCATCGCAGACTCCCCCCCGCCCCCAGTGGGGCCAGTTCACAGCCTGTGAGTCAGTGTGAGTAATCGGAGGATGAGAGAGGGACACAGCAATTCTAACCCGTCTGGGAGCAGAGTGGTGAGTCCACTGTTGCATCAGAAGCCCTGCCAGTTATAACAACCGGCACAGAAGGTGGGCTTTATTTTATCAGGCCCTTTGGGAGATCCCTGGGGCTATGGATCCAGCAGATCGAAAGCCAGCAGAAACCCACCACACCCCACTTCATGGATTTCCACAGATGGGATCTCCCTGCATGGCTTGGCAAAGCCTCAACAGCGGAGGAGGAGCCTTCCCACCAGGTTGACAGTGATTCTGTCAATTACCTATAGCACTCTGAACAGGAGGTTAGGACTGCAAGTGCTCAACATGCAACTGTAATTCAGCCCTTCTTCAGGGAGCAACACCATGTGAGTGTGAGAGTTCTGCTAGCCGAGGAGATGAGCTAAATTTTCGAATAAAAAACTATGAGACCAATCCACCAGAAAGTTATGCTGCAACGAATAGGAGTAATGCAAATGTATCATTGTGGTACAAGAGTTTCAAGTGAATTCCTTTCCAAGTAAACCGTTCTCTGGCAAGAACTGTTCCATCAACATGAAATCTTGAAATTGCACGAGTTATTATTATCAACATGGAATCCTGACTCCTAAAATCCAAGTGCTGAATTTTGCGACCAACAATCATCCCTACGATTCCACTGCAAGTTGCATTGATCAAATGTATCTGGATATTTGCCAAATTTTGGAGTCCGAAGCAGGCCACCAACCAACCACAAAACAAACAATCTCCTGTTTTAAAAACCGAAAGACACAATCATATTAGGATCCAATAGCTATAAGAATCAGGCATGGATGTAAATTATGGTATATATACGCCATTGGGGCTTCTTCCTCCTGATAAAGCCATCTGTGTGCCTTTAAGACACTTGGCCATCTGCCCCAAAGCTGCCACAGGTAATTATGTCTACAGGAGAGGAACTATCGTCTAATCCTTTACCCCAACTTCTGTACCCCAACTTCTCTATAGAAAAGAAAATCCCCTATCACACAACCCACCAGATATTTGTCCACATGTATTTGAAATGTTAACAGTAGTGTTATTAAGCACTCCGTGGTTGAAAGGCAACACAAGTGAATTGGCACAGCGAGACTATTAATTTGGGAGTACAAGCAAGAAACTGTTAAGCCATTTTCTGATCTCCTATGGAACTGATTTCTCTCAGCCTACTTCATTCAATTTAGAGGAGCAGATGAATTGAAAAACTGCCGCTCAAAGCAGCACGTTCCTCTGCTCTGACATCATGTGTAACTGTGCATGACTGCAGGAGTATTCTATGGTATATTACAACCAGAAATGGCTGCTGGGAAAAGGAGTTATTGGTAATGAATGAACCATTCAACGTCAGAAACGGCCTATAGCAGCGTTTTTACGAACTGCATTAATCACACCTGCACAAATGAGTGTGCATAGCTTGGGATGGATTTTGTGTTTGACTCCAGACACCGTATTTAAAGAAACATAATAAACAGCAAAAATGAGGAGTTTTAAAACATTTTGACAGGATAAATAAATCTGTGGTCTCAGAAAGTTATGTGCACCTCTGTGACTGGGTGCAAGACGTGGCCATTAGAAATAAGATATTATAGCCCCTTACAAAGTTTCACACTCCATATGCAATAACTCATTTTATATCTGCTCTCAGCATGATTAGAATAAAGGTTTCTTTTCTTTGCTATACAAATATTTGCTCTTGCTACATTACTCTGCATCAACAGAGGTAACCGCAGCTGAGAGCAACAAACGAAATTGCTTTCCAAGACAAAATTTCTAAGGTTTCCAGCCACGAGAGCGCTGGAAATCATCATTCCAAAAGTTACATACCAGCAGTTACAAAGTTTTAGTCATTAATTCTAACAAATTCTGCTAAGTCTTCTAAATGGAAGATAAAAAATTTTGCTTACAGAGTACTACTGTGGTGCAGTAATGGAGAGTTGGGTTAGGTTATGGAACACACATCTGCCATATACAGTGGTACCTCAGGTTACATACGCTTCAGGTTACATAAGCTTCAGGTTACAGACTCCGCTAACCCAGAAATAGTACCTCGGGTTAAGAACTTTGCTTCAGGTTAAGAACAGAAATTGTGCTCCAGCGTCGCAGCAGCAGCAGGAGGCCCCATTAGCTAAAGTGGTGCTTCAGGTTAAGAACAGTTTCAGGTTAAGTACGGACCTTGGGAAAGAATTAAGTACTTAACCCGAGGTACCACTGTATACAGCACGCACTGGGCAAGTCATTGTCAACCTCTACTTCCCATCTGTAAAATGGGAATCAGAAGATTAAGAAGCTGCAGTATAGCAAGTCAGGCCCTTGCTCTATCCAGCTCGCTACTGTCTACACCAGAGCTTTCCAAACTGTGTGTCGCGACACATTAGTGTGTCGGCTTCAGTGTGTAGTTGTGTCATGCAAACACTCCCCGCGCTCCTCCCGGGGCTGGAAAGAAGGATTTAGTTCAGGCACAGGCAAACTCCAGCCCTCCAGATGTTTGGGACTACAACTCTCATCATCTCTAGCTAACAGGACCAGTGGTCAGGGATGATGGGAATTGTAGTCCCAAAACATCTGGAGGGCCAAGTTTGGACATGCCTGGTCTACACTGACTGCAGCAACTCTCCAGGGTATCCGGAGGGCCAGAGCTTGCCTATGCCTGGGTTAGTATGTCCGGTTTGCTAGTAAAACTGAATTACTATGTCACTAAATGACGCATGTCTAAAACGTGTGTCACCAACATGAAAAGTTTGGAAAGCTGTGGTCTACACTGACCGGTGGCAGCAGCTCTCCAGGGTTCATTACCAGCCCTATCTGAAGATGGCAGGGATTGAACTTGCATATATTCCAGGGGCCCCTTTTTAAGTGGGACATTCTGGATTGACAGAAGGCACCCCAGCTTCTGATCCCCATCCCAGACGTCCCATGTTGGATCCTATGCTCTGGCTGTGCCAAACCGCCAGACCGAAAGACGCGTGTTTTTGGGTTCCATGCTGTGGCGCAAGTTTGTTCGCTCACAACAGAGCGCGGGTTGAAAAAACGGAAGTGAAACTTACCTTGACCTGTGCATCACCACTCTTCTTCATTCTTAACCTATTTATATTAACCTGTTAATGTTGATTCAACTCTGTATGCCCTGAATTCACAGTATTTTAAACAGTCGGGTACTGCTGTTTCTTAAGTCTGGACTAACCAAGATTGGCTGAAAACTTAATTTTGAACACGGTGCAACCCTGGGATTTCTCCCCCTCTGTCCTCCCCAAAAAACCCAGGGAACTGCTCATAACCTCTGTGCATGAACAGAGTGTCCTCACTTCAACACTAAGGCTCAAGGAACAAAGATTCAGGGTCGTGTGGCCAAAGACACCTCATTTTTTTTACCTTATAGAAATCTAAGCATCATTCCTAGCACACATACTAGGCAGTTAGCTCCGCTGAACACAGTGGGACTTGCATCCAAAGAAACATACAGAGGACTGCACTGCTAGCGCTGGTGTTCTCTAGAATAAAACTGCTAAGTACACATAAATTGTACCAAATATTTTAAATATCAGCCCAGTTCCTTTTCTCTTTGTACCTTTTAGTCCTTCTCTTGTTCAACAGGTTGCTGGTGGCTCATAATGCAATATAAGATTAATCAGATACTTGCTTTGGAGTTAATTCTGGAAAATATTATTTCAAAGTTTAATATTCTCTTCTAATCCTCTTTTCCTTACTCGCATTAGTGTGCCTTCAGACAAACATTGTAATAAAAGCTTTAGTATCTCAATTGCAATAATACAGGATTTAGAATAGTCACTAATATCTAATAGTGATGCTTATGTCACACAGTCTGTTGTATTAATGTTTCAGACCTTGCACTCTAGTGAACTTTCAGACGACTAAGTAAATAATAATATATCAGTGAAAAACAGATGCTTACTACTGTAGCTTTGATTATATATATATCATGTTTTTGGTGGGGCTGCTACAACTGCATAGCTCCACAAAGAGAAACCATATCGGACCCTAGTCATTAAAAAAAACAACACTCCATGTTATGTTCTGTAGTTCTCACCCTGGGCCAGCAGGGGGATACTGTAGATAGTTTAGGTCCACATATGCAAATAAGGGATAGAAAGTGACGTTCAGTGATTGGATAGTTACAGAAAATGGTTACTGTTGCGTTCTAGTGGAGCTCTATATAAGCAGGCTGGCTGAACCCTTCAGTTCAGTTCTGTTCTGGCCTGTGAATAAACAAGAGCTGTTTGAAGAATTGCTGTGTCGTCTGATATGTTCACCCACAACTTAACACTCCACAAGAAAATCAGGAGGTCATGAGCCCATCGCTGTTGGTCCTAGACACTTCAAATGCAATTGCGCGACGGCCACCAGACATATAATCAGCAACTTTTATTTGAATTCTTATTTAAAGTTTTACTGCCACCTCTGATCTATGAGGAAGCTTGCCAAAACTAAAGATAAATATCAGTTTCATTGCTTGGTGATGCATAAAGCATTATGAAAAACCTGAAATTCTTAGACTTTTAACACTGTTTTCTTTTGTATAACTTAATAAACAAAAAACAACATATAATAAGGCTAAATTGCTGATGACAAGCCAACGAACACCAGCTGGGATATTTTATTTGGCCTTCTCAAGGAAAATAAAGTAGTATTAATGCATACATTTTCTCTTTTCTGGCACAGTTTCACACATGGCTGAGAGATTTCAGTACTTTAAGCCAGCATCTGATCAAGAAGGCTTTCTTCTGCATGTGATGCAGTTGTATATGCAGCCTAACACAAGCCACTGGGATTTAGTCGTGGCTCCTACCTGGTTAGAATTCTTTGCAACCATGCAGCATGTCTATAAATCATGAGCATAGAAATGGCGCAAAGAGGAGGCCCACTCAAATCATAACAATTCTTCCCTCATTTTCACAATGGTTTTAGTCAAGAGTTGTTCTAGCAGACATTTCTCTGGAAACATACCTTTTTTCAGTCTTTTTCTTTCAGAACCCTGTGCAAAAGAGGCAATTTTCTTTGCAGGACCTTTAGTCTTCATTATGCACACCTACACATGGTTCTAGAAGGTGCAAAAGAGGATGCTGAACAAAGGCTAGGGAAAGCAAACGATTAAGGCTACTTTAAGCAAAAGATCCGTAGTGGGGTTGGTGGGAAAGGGAAATAATCTACAAACTTTAACTTGAATTGCATACTTTCAAAAACTAAGCTGGATGGTAACTTTATCTCTGCCTTCCATATCCCCCAAACACAAGTCCCGATTATGAACTTAGCCTTGTATTTTATTACTGTTCTATCCAAACAGAACAGTTTAAAACTTACTTCTCTTGTTTTGTCCTCCCAATAATTCTATACAAGGTAGACTTAAACAGAAATACAGCAACACCCAAAACTAAGCAAGTGAGCTTCATCATGGCCACAAAGGAATTTGAATCTCCCATTACTATTGCTAACACACTGCATGCTGCTCTTATGTCAGAGTCTTCCTATACCATGCAGAGACCTTGAGAGAACAGCAGCTTTCAAAATTATATATATATATGGGTTTGTGATGGTAAAACTTGTTAACAATGTTGCTTCCAAAAATACACGACAAAACAACTTCACTTCTGGTATCATTTTCTTCGCTGCCACCAATTTGTTTACTATTATAGTACAAAAAGTCTGTCTCAAATGCAATTAATGCAACATTTAAAAGTCTTCCAATTTCTAATGCTTCATCTTCAGGTTTTTGATGTTAAAACACACCTTCAATTCAAATAAGTAATTTTGGGGTGAGCTCTCCATGTCTGAGTCTAAGAATTTCTTGGGATGGGATACAAATCCCGACATGTAAGGGTTCAGAAAGATGGCAATTCAGTTACTAGAAATAATGATATTATTAGGGCTGCTGCCTAGGCGATTACTTTCTTCCCCTGCCCCCTTTCCTAAAATGAAGGGATGCCAGTTAAACCTCAAGGAGCTAAGCTGCAAAAGGTAGCTCTGTCTGCAGGTGGGGCTGTGTTATTGTACGTCTCCTCCAGGCCACCAACCTAGTGGTATTTGGAAGAGGATCTCAATACAAGCACTTTCAGGCTCAGCTCTGACGTATAAGCTGAGATATGGTCCACGTAGGCCATTCTTGCACTGTATCTCTCCACTCAGTATCATAGCTGTCAACTGTCCCTTATTTGGTGGGAAAGTCCCTTATCCCAGCGCCGTTTCCCGCTGCTGTCCCTTAAATTATCCGGGTTTGAAAGGAAGCAGCTCCTCTCCCTCCCTCCCTGCTGGCCAGGGAGGAGGGAGGTTCCAACTGTGTTGCATGGTTGTGTTGCTCACCCAATAAGGAGTCTAAGAACGACTGGGGGGTGGAGCTTGCATGCCTTGTGCCGATCAAATCGGCTGCGTTGCCTGAGGACTCGGCTTTGCTCAGCACTTCCCAGCGGAGAGGTGATGGTGGTTTTCCTTGCTGCATCCCCTTTGCCAGGTTGCTGCGCTGTGGGAACCACCGCTTGAGGCTTCGTTTGGCTGCTGGCTGGGCTTTGTGCCTTTGGCTTGGAGGGGCTCAGAAGCTGAACATACCTGTGCTCTGAAAATCCCTTATTTTGGCTGCTGATCCCTTATTTTCGAGGCTGCTGATCCCTTATTTTCAAATCTGTAAGCTGACAGCTATGCTCAGTATGTTACAACAAACCAGGGATTTTTTTAAAATTATCCATAGTTTCCTTGCACATTTAAACTGGAAACTATGGTTATCAAGTTTGGAACAAGCCAGGATCCTAACCTAACTTTAAACAGTGATTTAAGATACTGGTTTTTTCTGACCTCTGGGCATGCTAGGGAGAAAAGACTATTCAGCCCAGATATGTATGCCTGATCCAGGCCCATGGCTGACATACTTTTCCTCTTTGAAAAAGAAGGGGGGGGAGTGGTAGAAGCATAGTATTATTTAAGAGGGGGGCAGGCAGAAATATGGGGAAGAAAAATGAAAGGAAGAAAAAAGTGACGCAGGGATAAGAACATTCAGGAAGGAGCATAATGGGGAAGAGGTGAAGTTACAGTAAGCACAAAGACTTTGCTGGTTGGCATTTGAAGAGACTACAGCTAATTTCATATAACATTTCATACTGAAAGGAGCTTCATCATCTCTATTGTGTTTGGAGTGCTGATGCTACTGCTTATTTTATATAGCATTTCAACTGGAAAGGTGCTTTACCGTCTACTCTGCGTTTGCCCTCTCAACAAGCCTCTGAGGTGGATCGCCATTATTCCCAATTTATAACAGTTGATATCTGAAGTCGAGAACAAGAGGAATTACCTAATGACACATAAGAGGGGAGGCAAGGAGCCCGCCTTTACAAGCAAATGAACATCCCTGCCTGTAAGTCCTGCCCCTCCGTCGCTAGACTTGTTTATACTATTCCAAAGAATTAAAGTTAACAAAACACCTATCAGGACACGGGGTTGAGCCATGGGGCAGCTGTCACAGGGGAGCCCGGAGATGTTCCAGGAAACCAGAGCTCCAGGATGCAGACACACTTCATATTTAAAGTATTATTCCTCGAAATATTCCATCAACGGTGTCTCCGAAAAATGTTACACATCACTTGGGAAGACAGGTGAACTAATGCCAGTGTACCAGAAGAAGCAAAGATCACCAGTGTTGAAGCAATGTTTCTTCAATATCAACTTTGTTGAACTGGTCATCTGCAGATGCCAGATTATCGTTTTCCAAAGCAACTACTCTATTCCGAACTTAAAAATGGAAAGCGTAATGCTGATGGTCAACAAAAGAGGTTTAAAGATTCTCTCAAGGCAAATCTTTAAAAATGTAGTATAAACACTGACAATTGGGAAACACTGGCCTGCGAGGGCTCCAGTTGGAGAACAGCCTTTACCAAAGGTGCCATAGGCTTTGAAGACACTCAAACTCAGGACGAAAGGGAGAAACGGGCTAAGAGGAAGGCACGCTTGGCAAACCCTCACCGTGATCAGCTCCCATCCGGAAACCAATGTCCCCACTGTGGAAGGATGTGCGGATCCAGAACTGGCCCCCACAGTCACTTACGGACTCACTGTTAAAACCGTGTTTATGGAAAACAATCTTATTTGGCTACAAGTGATCACTAAAGAAGCAGCAGCAGCAGCAGAAAATGGTTTAGAGTCTTTCTAACTTTACTGTGAGAAGGAAAACATGCAGTATTCTGTTCCTGCTGATATTAAATCGTTATGCAGTTTTCCCTCAGCTACTTAAATAAAAATGGACTGGGTTACCAATTGTGATTCAAATAATTTTTATTAGGTAAAATACATTTCAGCCAGATATTTAAGCACCAAGTTAGAATCCATAGCTACTTGGCCACAGATGAAACTTACTTCCAAGCTAACATTTTTATGACTCGAAGAATGATTAAAACTACTGAACTGGAAAAAGGGAGAGAGATTGATTTAAAACAATTATAAGCGTCGTTTTTCATTTCTCTCTTTCGTATTGTGGTACAGTATTCTAAAAGGCTATAAAGGGCTGAAGTCCTGATTAAGCAGGAAGAAAATGTTCATAACAGTATCTTTTAAAAAGTAACAATTCTGCTTTCTGGTTTAATGTTTACAAGTCAATTCAAAGATTTATTAACTGCACTATCAGTGACATAGATTTTTTAGAAGTTCCTGATGACATAAGAAGGGTTAACTGTTATGAATTTATGCAGTATTTATACATCACATTAGAAGAAGAAGAAGAAGAGTTTGGATTTGATATCCCACCTTCACTCCCTTTAAGGAGTCTCAAAGCGGCTAACATTCTCCTTTCCCTTCCTCCCCCACAACAAACACTCTGTGAGGTGAGTGGGGCTGAGAGACTTCAAAGAAGTGTGACTGGCCCAAGGTCACCCAGCAGCTGCATGTGGAGGAGCGGAGACGCAAACCCGGTTCCCCAGATTACGAGACTACCGCTCTTAACCACTACACCACACTGGCTCTCACATTATTACAATTCACACATTATTACAATTCACAACGGAAAATGTTTTTCCATCTTGTCTACTTTTAAGCTCCTTAAAAAAAAAATGTCTCAAGCAACATACTTTAATGTTTGGAGTGGATGGGTCATACATAAGCAAAACTTTTCAGAAGACTTTCTAAAGTTTATTGCTTGAGACAGATGTGCATGTCAAACCATTAAGTGCTCGTGTCATAGACTCCTGAGCTCATACTTTGAAATTTCTGAAATGAGCAATGATTGATTACTGTTAAAAGGGGGGGGGGGGGTAAGGCACAGGAAATACTCGAGCTCCAGCCTGCAGATACAGTAAATGTCACTGTTCCCATACTGATATGGAATTACATGAAGTATAATGACATATTTTCAAACAAAACATGCCTAAGGGCATGCTTTTCTGAGAACAGCATTTTTCATCAGCATGCAATACAGTTTCCATTCCAGAATTCTCAGGCACCAGCACTGCAGATACACCCACCAGACAGTCACTGCTTTAATCTCCCATGCTCAATTCATGATGCTACAGTACTATCAGTGCAAATGAGTATCCTAGATCCCCTGGTCTGATTCTATTCAGTTTAATTCCCGGGTGGGTGGATGGGTTGGGGATTAATTGGCAGCTGGCTGCACTAACCTTTGCACATGATGCTCAAAGTAAACAAAATCAAATGAGGCTGAATGTATAGCACATTTTGCACAAGCTCACAAATTTGAAACCCTTTTGCCAATCGAATGTATCCACCTACATAGTAAATTGACTCCTCCAGACATTCCCTAGCATGAGGGGTTGAACCACAGGGAGTAACAACACAGTCCTGTATGCGTCTTCTCAACAATGGCCCTTACTCCCAAATTAATGGGCACAGGACTGGAGCCTAGACAGTCTGCAATTAGCACTGAGCTTCCCAGCTCCAATATGCCAAGCCACTGTGCAAGCAACAGAAATCGTGGATACAGAACACTATTGATTGGAACAGCAGAAACCTCTGAGGGTTAGATCAGGCCCCCAAACTGAGGGTTAGCCATCCATATTTAATAGAAATAGAAGAGCAAATTGCACACTTACATGCACCAAAAAACAACCTTTTGTTTGCTAGGCTTGGTGTGGATCAAAGCACTTAGAGGATGATGAAATATCCCAGCTTTTACAGAAAGGGGAGACACTGATCATGTTGCAATTCTTATCCTGCCCCCCAGTTCTTTTAGGCATGATATGTTATTATTTGTTTGGTGGCTACCCTGTGATTCTAGATGACTCAAAGAATATCCCTAACATACAACTTGAGGCAAACAAGCAGTGCTTACTTCTACCTAATATAAGTGTTGTTTTTTTCACGAATTGGAGCTCTGCAAACTGTTTTATTGCTGATTTATTATTTGTATATATAGTGCCCCCAATTCCCTAAATAATCCCATGGTGGGTTACAAAAATTTTATACAAATTATCATTAAATACATAAAATAAACCCACAAAACTAACCAATAACAGAGTTAACAAAGCACAAGTCCAGAAGAGTAATACAGAAGGATAGATATCCAAAGGCCTGAGTACGTTTGTTTTTACCACTTGCCAAAAAGCATACAATGGTGGGGTAAAATACACCTTGCAGGAAAGGTCACAACCACAGAGAAGGCCCTCTCATGAACTACCACAACCTTTAGGATCACGTAGAATGGTAGTACAGTAATACCTCAGAAGTCGAATGCCTTACGAGTCAAACGTTTTGGCTCCTGAATGCCGCAAACCCAGAAGTGAGTGTTCCAGTTTGCAAACACACTTTGGAACCTGAATGGCCGACGCGTGTTTTGCTGCTTCCGATTGGCTGCAGGGGATCCCTGCAGCCAATCGGAAGCCACGCCTTGGTTTCCAAACGTTTTGGAAGTCGAACGGACTTCCAGAACGGATTCCGTTTGACTTCCGAGGTATGACTGTACTGCAAACAGGGCATCATCTGACAATTTTAACACCCAGGCAGGTCGCTTGAGGGTATTTGGGGCTCATTTTGGTATCTGGTTTTCTTCACACCATCCAAACTTTTCAGACCCAAAACAGGGACACACTCCCAGCCATGTCATGTGACCCAGGCCTCACCCTCATCCTGAAAAAGCACTTTTTGGGGAGGTGTGTTTTGGGGTGCCACACGAGATCATGGCCCTCAAAAAGCGAGAGCCCGCCGTGCAAGATTGCAGCACCCAAAATGGCCACCGTGATCTCACACTTGTTTTTGTTTTAGAGGCATTCAGACCACTTAGTACATCCTAAAATAGGCTTTCCACTAGGCCTCTAGACCCCTTCAAACACGAAATGGTATCATTCAGGGCATAATGGTGTGAATGACTCTGAACTCCTCTGACCACAGTTTGAGCCTTCTCCCTGCATATAGACATCTGATGGGATGGGTGGGCCGCTGGACCACGGCCAAGAGAGTAGTACTATCTTAGTCATCCCCAACCCCACATTAATTCCGGAACAGACTTAGAGGAGTTATCCCATCACTACCCAAGCGAGAACTGCTAAAATTCAAGCTCATGCGAATAACAGAAAAAGGTGTTCACAGTAGTGCACCCGCTTTTAATTCATAAGGTCGCATTTCCTCAGCATTTCCAAGTAGGGCTAGGAAGACCTGTCTGAAACACCTCACATGCTCAAAAGTACACTCTCCTTTAATTTCTACTTCATGCCCTCCAGGACTAAATTATGCCATCCAAATAGTTTCTAGCGTTAATGCACTTTCTTAAGCTCTGGCTTCAAATTGCATTATCTTTTTATTTCTTTTTTTTAAAAAAAGGATGTTGCAGGGGGGGAAAGTCCCAGCAGTTGTCAAGGTCTTTAAGCCAATCAGTCATGAAGTGTTATTTGTTTGCATGTTTTGAGCGTATTTCAAATGCCTCGCTTACTTTACACTCGCTGTGTTATTTTCTTCCTCTTGTCTCTCAGCCAGAGAGATTAAAAAAGAAAAGAAAAGTGAACAAGTCTTTTGATTAGAAAAGTATTGCATTTCAAAGAGAAGGGGGTGGAGGAAGACATGATTACAAGCTCTGTTTGGCAGACAAGAATCAGAAATCGAGTGTCAATGTCTGCTTTGAAGGAACCAGCCAGCGTAGGTGACAAATGTGCAATTGTGGAGCACCAAGGGGAGTGCAGTAAAGAGGCGTCGTGTATGATCTATCCCAGGAGCAGTAGTGCTAAATTTATTACATTTCAGAGCACAATTCAAAGTGTTGGTGCTGACCTTTAAAGCCCTAAAACAGCCTCGGCTCTGTATACCTAAAGGAGTGTCTCCACGCCCATTGTTCAGCCCAGACACGGATGTCCAGCTCCGAGGGCCTTCTGGCGGTTCCCCCACTGCAAGAAGTGAGGTTGCGGGGAACCAAGCAGAGGGCCTTCTCGGTAGTGGCTCCTGCCATGTGGAACGCTCTCCCATCAGATGTCAAGGAAATAAACAACTGTCTGACTTTTTGAAGACATCTGAAGGTAGCCCTGTTTAGGGAAGTTTTTAATGTTTGACGTTTTATTGTGCTTTTAATATTCTGTTGGGAGTCACCCAGAATGGCTGGGGAAACCCAGCCAGATGGGCAGGGTATAAATAATAAATAATTATTATTATAACTAGGCAAGAGGACCTACTCGGCAGTGGCGCCTTCCCCGTGGAGCGCCCTCCCATCAGATGTCAAGGAGATAATGAACGACACAGCTTTTAGAAGACATCTGAAGGCAGCTCTGTATTGGGAAGTTTTTAATGTCTGATATTTTATTACGTTTTTATATGTGTTGGAAGCCGCCCAGAGTGGCTGGGGCAACTCAGTTAGATGGGCGGGGTATAAATAAAATGGTAATAATAATAATAATAATAATAATAATAATAATAATAAAAAATTACCTCAAATACTTGTTGCTGTTAGGAAAAACCTCTTTAACTACTTTTGTTTTTATAACGAATACTGCAGGGGGTAACTAGCTTAGTGCCCACCAACTGCGGACTCCCAACTCTCGTCATTGCTAGTCAGCATGGTGAACGGGGATAAATGGAGTTTTGGCTCATCAAAAGCAAGTGACAGGAATTAGATAGGACCAGAACAGCTGACAGAAGCCCCAGATTATTAACATTGGCCTGGCTCCAAAGGGTAGTTATTGCAGAGAACGCGCATTTTAACTACCTGGCATGATACAGGAAGTGGAATCTCCCCACATTTCTCTATTTTGAGAAATTATCTACCTGTCTACCTTGTTTGTAGCTCAGAAAGTTGCTGAAGGAAGTAGGCAATTTCCCACTTTTTCTGAAGGCAAAGCATAACCGTCTTCTTCTCCTTTTTAATTCTGGCAACGTAATCCTATGCATGTCTATTCAGAAGTAAGCTTCATTGAGTTCAATGTATATTCATGCCAGATAAGTGAATAAAGAATTGCAGTCTCAGTCTCTTAACTCCAGAAATACTACCTACTTAGAGCTGCTTCGTACCATATATTGTAAGAATATAGCTGCATTTTCGATATCCCCTTTCCAACATTTGCAACATCTTTAGTCTGTTGCATTTTGAACAGTCCGCTCCTACTTTACTCCAGTAGCTTTCAAAGTGGTACAGAAATGGATTCTGTGGAAGCTTATCAAGGATTCCTCAATGAGATCACAATGGTTTCCTTGAAAGGCAGCTGGCCCAATGTCTTCAATTACAGAGGGGACACAGGTGGCGCTGTGGTCTAAACCACAGAGCCTATTGAGCTTGCCAATCGTAAGGTCCGCAGTTTGAATCCGCCTGGCGGGGTGAGCTCCCATTCCTTTGTCCCAGCTCCTGCCAAGCTAGCAGTTTGAAAGCATACCAGCGCGAGTAGATAAATAGGTACCACTGCGGCAGAAAGGTAAACAGCGTTTCCGTGTGCTCTGGCACTCGTCACAGTGTTCCGTTGCACCAGAAGTGATTTAGCCATGCTGGCCACATGACCCAGAAAGATGCCTGTGGACAAACACCAGCTCCCTTGGCCTGAAAAGTGAGATGAGCACCGCACCTCATAGTTACCTTTGACTGGACTTAACTGTCCAGGGGTTCTTTACCTTTTTACCTTCAATTATGACGTGATGGCTACATCTAAAGCACTTTATCTGCGGGATACAGAGCACTGGCAAGGCACTACTGAGCTGCCCAAAATCTTATTATAAACCGAATGTATGTTCTAGACCAATCCCAAGAACTCACAGTTATGTGGAAGACAAGTTCACATGCAGAGTGTGTCCTGGAATATAGAGAGTCTGAAAAGGCAAGTCCATCTGCTAATACTCCCAAGATTATTGCTGCAAGACTTTCTTCAGGTTTCCTCCGCTGTCACAGTGATGGTGAGTGGCAATAAACCATCAGACCTTCTTATGATGTCATGATAAACTCATGATAAACTTTCCAGGTAAACTCACTTGGTACCTACTGGGAGAGTCATCCTCCCCGTCCACCCAGACTTCAAGTTGGAGCTTTATCTCTCATGTTGTCACAATGTTGTCACTGCTGCTTTAGTTTTTTATATGTCTATTTCCCCCCTCTGCATATTATTATTATTATTAGTAGTAGTAGTAGTAGTAGTATTTAATAAGCCATCCAATAAAAAAATATATCTGAAGGATAGGATAGAAACTCCTAAAATAAGTAAATAAAATTATCCAAACAAATAAAAAATAAATTATTTAAAAATCCTCTGTAGTAGAAAATTCATAAATGATTTCTGGTGGGGTGGGGGAAGAAACGTTACCAAAAGCCCAACATATACATATTTTCAGCAGAGCAAACGTCACATAATGCCAACTTACAGACATCACCTTTTCCTATAATAGTTTGAGGGTTTGTTCACTTATCAAATCTGAGACATACTAGATTGGGCATTCTGAAGATAAATGAGTCCTCCTCCCTGCCCCCCCCCATGAGGTGTTCTACTGTTCTTGGATATATTCCTAATTTCCTTTGGCTTGTTGTAATTTCAAAATGGCTTGGCTCGGAAAATTAAAACTTACTTTCATGTTATCTTGGCAAAAGCTAGTGCCTCTGACTAATTTGAGGGTGCTCATTAATTGAAATTGAATTACGTGCGGAATATCAGTCCCAACACATTGCCAACACCACTTGTTGACATTTTTGCACAGTGGAAAAACTAGCGCCAGTGTGGTAAAAGCTGCTTGTACAACTTAACAGTTCCATGAGTATTTAGGATTGTAGTTCTCAGGCCATTTAGACTGAGCTCTTACGCCTCCTTTCTCCCCTCAGTAATATTTTACAGACATATTACAAGCTCAGTAACTTCACTTCCACCAAATACTCACAATTTGAAAATCTGCAACACCCCCATGCTTAAGAGGCAGGAGAAAAACTCCGCTCTGGAAAAGTGGGATCTTACAATGATCGGAGCCAAATGAATAAACTTGAGCCATCAGCTTGTAATATTAAAAATTTCTGGGAAGCACTAGTTATTCTTGAAATAATGAAGTAGTCCCTGGGGTTTTATTGGACTTTAGTTTTCCATTCCTCCCTCCCAGGTTAAAAAAACAACCCCAAAACCAGCAGTTTAGCAATACTTTTTTTGTAATCAGGTGTCTCTCTTCTCCATAAATAGGGGTTTTACAAAAAGAACCTCTGCAGGCGCCCCCTTGGGAGCTTAGAATTTGCTTGTAGTAAAGTTATCTGAGTTTGAGAAAGCCAAAGTAACACAATTTGTGTCGTGCGGTGGAATCTTGGCCAGCTGCCACACCTTTCCTGCAGACCACATTTTTCTTGCCCAATACCTCCTTTCCTACAATTTCCCTGCTGCTCTGCCCCTTTTTGGTTTTCCCATTCTAGTTCCAAATGTGTCTATCTGCTACCAGCTGCCAAACTAAACCCACGTTACCCACGGCAGGCTGAATAAGTGGCGTTCTTGACACTAACCCCTTGCTCTTAAAGAACCGTAGAACAACCACTAAACAAAGAAACCTTGCGCCAGCCCCCATGCAAGAATGAAGCAAAATCAAATGGCCAAATTTAAAAAATTGTGAAGAGTCTGGAACAGAAGAAGTCTGTCCCAAATCAGAAACCCTTTCACAGAATCATAGAATCGTAGGGTTGGAAGGAACCACAAGGGAAATCTATTCCAAATCCCTGCAATGCAGGAATCTCAACACACGGTCCCCCATCCAATCTGAAACCACGCCGGACCAAGTTTCTAATAGCTTAAGACTCCTCAACACCAACAACACCAATTTTAAACTGAAGACACGCTTCATTCTTGAGAGGATGTTCCATTCCATCGTGAAGCAATCAACTCATGAAGGCTTGATCTTTTTAGAGTATGAAGGAAGAAAGAGTTACCTCAGCAGAGTTCATCCCTGCAATTCCGTGTTTCTATCCTTATTGGCGAGAAAAGCAAACCCACAGCTGCAGCTTGTGCAAAGATTAAAGGCCCAGCCTCCTCTTGTGGTCTAGTGGCATGGCACTAAGGAGAATCTCTGTTCAGGGTTCCATCCATCCCATCCAATAAAGTATGTTCCACTCCTCTCCTCCTCCCAATCTGCTTTCAGTTTGCCACTCTATATTCCTTAGGTATTGGAACAATCTCAGGCCTCAATGGGTTGTGTTAAGTTGTGGGTGAACATATCAGACGACACAGAGATTCTTCAAACAGCTCTTGTTTATTCACAGGCCAGAACAGAACTGAACTGAAGGGTTCAGCCAGCCTGCTGATATAGAGCTCCAGAACAACATAATTGTAACAACTTTCTGTAACTATCCAATCACTGAACGTCACTTTCGATCCCTTATTTGCATATGTGGGCCTGAACTATCTACAGTATCCCCCTGCTGGCCCAGGGTGAGAACTTCAGTACATTACACCTTGCTTTTTTATTTTTTATTTTTTGGTTCTGCAAACCTTGATTTCTCCTTGAGCATGCTGATATTCTTACTCCTTTTTCTCATTGCTATGTTTTGGCTATAATCCCCTTGGCTCGCTGTATCTGTGTTTGCTACTATTATTCCCCCCCCCCCCACTTTAAAAAAAATCTTTATTTATTCAGTACTCAAACTTCCATTCCATATCGACAACGGTAACAACAACAGACAGAGAAAACATAATACAGATAAGCTCCCTCAAAACACCGGAAATACATAATTAACACTCAAAGGTATTCCAGACAAGCCAGAAATTTATTGCATCTTAACATAAAAGTATTGTGTCTACAATTATATTCCTTAAACCTTACATAATGCATATTTATTATTTTTTTGCCATTACCCAAGTTTTCTATCAGAAAGAACTAGTTAGGCGTGCGTGTCCCAAAAATGTTGCACTGAGTTAGTGCTCCTGTTCAGGGTTCCCTGTGCCTTCTGGTTTTCATCCCCAAACCCTTCTCAACAGATCCCTATCATTCTGTAGCCACGCTCACCAGCTGATTAGGGTTTCCCCCATCCTTATGGAATTTTTCTAAATGCTTTTTTGTGGGTAGGAGACAGCGACTTCTGCAAACTTTGAAGCTTCCACACGTCTGCTGATACCTCCCCTTTTGTGCATAGATGGTACTCCTCTCACCACATCAGGCTAGGTAGTCAAAAAATGAGTTCACTATAGTTTTAGGATGTTAAAACATAAATTCTTTGATATTTGAAATGGCTATACTGAAATTACTGAGTGAGAGTAGCAATTATTGTTAACACAATGGGAGGAATTCAAGGTCACGCTATTATGATTGTTCTGTCAGGTGCAAGCGTTTCTGCTTGCTTGATGTAACAATCTCCCCGTCTCCAACGTGTGCACTGTTCTGCGGGTTTTCCTGATCCTCCAGAGCAGATTTGGGGGACGTACAAGTGGGCAGGAGGGGAAGCCCTGTTGTGCTAGTGGGAGTCATTGCTAGTGGCAGTTTCAACTAAGCCAGTGGGTTAGCTGAACCCAACCCACAGATTCATTCAGATACTGAAGATCCCAGTAAAAGCTCAAGACAGCTGTTAGTGCCATGCCATACGTGTACAACTCTATATGTAAGTAGTAAGATGTGACTTATGTCCAGTTCACATTGGTAGTACCGTTCAACAAGACAGCCACTTGGAATTCCTTCTGTGCTTCCTTGAGGCAAGGCAAAGCAATTTGCCTCAGGTGGCAGACCTGACCCTCTCCTCCACCACTGCACCACTACCAGCTTTGCACTTGCCACTGCTGCCACAGTGGCCTTGCCCTCACCCTTGCCAATGCATCAAGGCGACAGTGCGGGTGTAGTCACAGGCAAAGTTGCAGAGGTGGGGCCGGCAGAAGGGTAGGTGTTGACAGTGCGGTCAGGGAGGGGGCCCAGATCTTCCAGGAGGAGTTAACTGGGGTTTGTGCCTACAGTGGCAGAACATCCAGGGCCACCCCTGATATTAGCTCATGGGTGCATAAATTGTGGCCCTCCAAATGTTGCTAGACTAGAATTCCCATAATCCCTGACCACTGGAGCTGATGAGAGATTGAAGTCCAACTACATCTGGATGGCCACTCGTTCTCTTCCTCCATGCAACTTCTTTGATCTATGCTGGTCATCAGTTATGGAATCATAGAATCATATAGTTGGAATGGACCCTGAGGACCATTTGTTCGTCCCCCTGCAATGCAGGAATCTCACCTGAAGCATCCATGACAGATGGCCATCCAACTTCTGCTAAAGAATCTCCAATGAAGGCGTCTACAGTCTCCCAAGGGAGTCCTTTCCATTGTCGAACAGCTCTTACTGTCAGAAAGTTCTTCCTGATGTTTAGTCAGAATCTCCTTTCTTGTAACTTGAACCCACTGGTTCATGTTCTACCCTCCAGAGCAGGAAAAAAACAAGCTTTCTCTATCTTCCATGTGACAGCCTGTTAGATATTTAAAGATGGCTATCATATCTCCTCTCAGTCTCTTCTTCTCCAGGCTAAACGTACTCAACTCCCTCAACCATTCCTCATAAGGCTTGGTTCCCAGACCTTTGATTATCTTGGTCATCCTCCTCTGCACAAGTCCCAGCTTGTCAAAATCCTTCTTAAACTGTGGTGTCCAGAACTGGACACAGTACTCCAGGTGTGATCTGACCAAGGCAGAATAGAGCAGGACTACTACTTCCGCAAAGGTGCAGGACTTAAGCCTTATTGCATGCTGCTGTAACTTAAGAGGGGAGAAATGGCTTGTGACAAAATGGCAAGCAAAATTCTTAGCTTTCTATGTGATAGAAAAATATGGTGTTCAGGACCAGCCCAAGGCAGGGTCCAAGTGTGTCAAAATTTCAAGTAGAAACCTCCAAGCTCAATAGCTACACGAAAAAATGAAAGCAACGAAACGTACCATTAACAGAGACTCTCCATTCAAGGTAGAGGATCTTACACCAGAATTCCAAGCCAAGTCCCAGTGAAATTAATCATTAGTGACTGCATGGCAACAGTGCTTGGATGCGACCATCAAAAAGGGATTACCACATACTCTGATTCTATTAATTCTAGCCTATTCCCCACCTCCACCAGGGAGCATACGATATGAAGGGGAATTACTTTATTGAAAATATGTAGTTTCTCTTTTTATTTGTGGTTATTGTGGGTGATTAACATTGTGAGTCATTTAGAATTTGCATGCAGTATCAGCTGATAGAAAATCCAAGGCTCCATTTTAACTTGGATTTACCCCTCGGTTTCTGCAAATATGTATCGACAGCGAAAAAATGGCTCGACCACAAAGGAGCCTGTTCTTTTCAAATGCATGCATGCATGACTGCCACACTGATGGAAGTTACAAGAGTGCATCAAAAGGAGAATAAGCTTCCAAGTGTCTGCAATTACTCGCTGCATCTTCAAAAATCAATATGCTATTATAGCTGACCACACTCAAGAAATCCTTACATTTAAATAACATTAAAGTTATGCCTCAAACCTACAAAACCCATAAAATTCAGATTATTTACTCAAGAGAATAGTCTGTACAAAGCCTTTTCCTCATCTCTTGGCTTAGCTAATCATGCATTTGTCAGAGATGTTTTATTTGCAGGGCTTAAATACTGTGTATGTATTTCTGCATTTAAAGTACGCCACTACAGTGTGTCTGGGAATAGAACAATTTGCTTATCTCGGAGTTCAGCCCTTCATTATCCACACAGCCCTGTATGGCAATAGCTCAGAATCAAATTTCCTTATGTTCTTACCTATCCCATAGCTCCTGGGAGAACAATGTTTCTATAGCCCTCTAAGAGGCACTATCCAGAATTAAAGCAATTTTCAATTATCCAGTTATCCCATCATTTGGTTGCTCCAAGGAAACTTCTGTAACAAGGGCATAGGAATTCATTGCAGATAGTCACTAGGGGGTTCTCCCACTCTGAAGGATGCCTGGAAGCCAGGACTTCTCCATTTTGTCCTAGCCACTTTGCTATAGCTTACATTGGTGTAGCAAGCTGCATTCCTATGCATTCCCAAGCAGCAATGATAAAAGCACAAGAACAGTGTTGGGATAAGAGGCAATATAGCAACAGAGATGGCTACTCCCATGCGCCATGCAGAGACTGTAACCCAGGCATGTCCAAAGTCCATTTCAGGGGCCTAATCCAGCCTGCCGGTCGATTTAATCTGGCTCCCGTGGCAGTATATGTCGTGGGGCAAAATTGTAAAAAAAGCAATCTCAATACCTTTGGGGTGAAATTGTAAAAAAAGCTCAACTTTGGTTGGCCCTCATGTACGTTCACTTCATCAAATCTGACCCTCTTTGAAAAAAAGTTTGGGCACCCCTGTAACCATTCCACCATCCACCAGTCAAGTTGCCTCCACATGGCATGAAGAAGAGGAGGAGTTTGGATTTGATATCCCGCTTTATCACTACCCAAAGGAGTCTCAAAGCAGCTAACAATCTCCTTTCCCTTTCTTCCCCACAACAAACACTCTGTGAGGTGAGTGAGGGTGAGAGACTTCAGAGAAGTGTGACTGGCCCAAGGTCACCCAGCAGCTGCATGTGGAGGAGTGGGGAATCGAACCCGGTTCACCAGATTACAAGTCCACTGCTCTTAACCACTACACCACACTGGCTCTCATGAAAACCACCAATTAACATGCAGTGGCAGCATAAACACTATGACAACATCACTTAGTCCGCACAATTCCACTCATATGCAAGACAAAACCACGCTGTGAGGGTGAACCCACCGGGGGAGGAAGAGGAGTGCAGGGGTAGCGCACTGCTGGGGGCAGTGCGATCCTGGTGGGGTGACATCGCAGCTGCCCCCTCGCCCGCGCTGGGCACCACGCCCCCAGGACCTGTGCCACACCCCTGCGGGTGGCGTGTCACACCCCCAGGACACGCACCAGCCCCGCTGCCACCTGTTCTCCGCCCCCTGGTGCCAGAGCATGAAGCTCTGCCACTGGGTGAACCCTAAACACCTCTTCCAGCACAGTTGCAAATTCTTAGTAATTTAATGGTTAGAAAGGGCCGCAGTCCACACCTGATGCAATAACACTGGGAAACAAAATTTTTGTTACATTGACATCTGCAGTTGTTCTAACCTAATTTTGCCATGCTGATTTCATATCTGAAGTTGGTTTTGTTCTGTAAGCTCTAGTTTTTTTGCAATTCATGTTTTTCACTTTTCACCATAATCTTTGTTTTTTCACAATGCAAGAATTCAGTATTTTATTAAACACATAGCCAAAGTAGTACAGTAAATGTTAAGTGACTTATATAGCATTGAAAATGACATGTACAGTTGGAGGTATGCAAAAAAAATGTATACACAATATACTGGGGAACAAAATTTTATTCATTTTCTGTTGCATGGCATCTTTCAACTGTTCTTATATGTTCTTTCAATGCCGATTTCAAATCTGAAATCGATTTTCGTTTATGTGCTATAGTTATCTTTCAATTTCTGACTTTTGCTGATACAGTATGTCATATTTACACTGGGGCTAAGTGGACACTGACACGTTGATCTACCCTAACCACATGGTAATTACTGTTTTGCAAACTTAATTTTTCTTTATTTTTATAGTTTTGTAACCTAAATATTCAGAGTTTTCAGATCGAACTATGGCTGCTCTAGGCAGGGGTTCAAATTCTCAGATATACCCAAGACACAGGTACCAAAAGAGCAACTCTTCTGCCAATGAATTAGACATGGTTGAAGGGAAAACGGTCAATCTGGTCCAGAAAAAGTCCAGCAGTTCCATAGCTCAGTTCTGAAGCTATAATGAAATCTGTATGAAGAAAACATGGGCAAGAAGCCCTCCAGAGAAACTCCTCCTGCATAGCTAAACATTCCAAGCAAGCCATGCAAATAACACTGCATGCACAACGCCTATGTTGGTATTTATGCATTTGCCACAGAGAGGGGAAAGGGCCACAAGGAAGAAGCTACAACAGTAAGTGCATAAGCAGGAAGTAGCTCCAAGACCTAACGAACGGAAAAGAGCAGAAAAATGAGAAGGGTGAACTTGAATCTCACACCAAAGAAATGGACAGGCAACCACAAACTAAAGCCCTTCTGTGGAGACAGTGCCTGGTGAGCAACAATAATTACAGATAGAAAGGGGGTGAGTCAGCAAGAGTAGAAACCACAACTCCCATTCCCCTCAGTTAATCATTTTTAACCACACAGCCACAGAAAGAAGAGCTCATGATTTGGGGGGGGGGGGGCTTGATAGTCTCCCATGACTATCATGCCCCTGACCACAAAGCCTGCTACTCAAAGAGGTCTACGGAGAGCTGTAGATCAGTGGAACAGCACAGACTCAGTAGGCAGGGGGCTGACTTGGCCACAGAACACGGGAAGAAAGAGCTGATGGGGGACACACATACACATCTGGGACCTCACACAGCTGTCTGCCTTGTTTTCTCCTGCTCTGGAGGGTAGGACCTGAACCACCTGACATCCTTATAAAGCACTGGAAGAAGCACTTTGATTCCAGGCTGCTTCCTCCAGTCCCCTTGACTGCACTAGTGCAGCCAGTCCCCGATGATTGGCTTGGCTTTGGCTGTGCAGCGACCTCTTCAAGCACCAACGATCATTCAGTGGTGCCTGCAGAGAGCTCTTTGCTGAGCTTTGAAAACCTGACAATCAGCTGATAGTCAGGGCTTCAGAGTGTCTTCAAAGTTTCCATAGGGGCAGCCAACCGACCGACCAGCAGTCCCCGCAAACCCCATTTGTCCCAGGTGTGACTTTACCTGCCACACACTTGATGTCATATATGACGTCAGGTGCAGGCCAGGTGGGTGTGGTTTGGCCACAATGGCTTGCAGAACCGCCCTCATCTTTAATAATGATGTGTGTGTGTTTGTTTCCAATTCGTTTGTGGATTTTACTCACGTCTTCTCTATGATTTTGTTTGTACACTTCTTGCAGATTCTCTTTTTGATCAAATGGTATATAAGCGCTCTAAATAAATAAAATAAATGTGAAGACAAGACACAGAAGAAACAGTCATGGCTTTTTTATTAAACTGTATCACAACATGGAGAGTTAGGGCAGCAGGGTTCCTGTATCTGCGACAGTTGCACAGCAAACAGCTCATTCCATAATCATCATCTCAGGTCCAGGCTGCATTTGCTAAATTACTGTGTACCATGTACTCTAGAAAGGTACCAGAGCAACCTCCCAGAGGAGCAACTGGCCTTCCACTGGGCACTGGACTAGAAGAGAGGAACATCCTTTCCTCTGCTTGTGTTGGATGCTTGCCTGGTTGCCTGTGGAGAGACGTGAGAAACATGTACATGATAATGCATAATGGGTAACAGCTGTAACCAAATGACCAGGGGTTCATTAGGGGCCCATGAGTGAGGTCTCAAGAAAGGGAGACACCTGCAGACTAGCTCTGACTTCCACTGATGTCTGCATTTGCAGACTCGTTTGCTGGGGGAGGACAAAGTAGTCATTAAGATAATACTCACACATCCTGTACACACTGGAGCACTCTCCATGTTGTTTGTTCGTTCTGCTGCAGATGCCCAAGCTTTCATCCTGCAAGAAAGGATACCTTATGAATGGTCTACAAGAGGAATGGGTAGGATGGAACATGTGGTGTTTCCCCAGCTCAAAATGGCTGCACTCCCCACTGCTTTCACCAATGGCGGCAGTAGGCTTATAGCTAACAGAAGCAGCCCTTAGTGCATACTTACTCTTTGCACTTTGTGCTGGATACACTGCTCCAATGTCAGGGATGATGGGAGTTGGAGGCCAACATCATCTTGGGGAGGGGGCACAGGTTTCCCATCTCTGCAGCAGGCTATACGTCAATGATAGGGTTGGTATCCTAGGAGCTTGGCACTAGAATTGAAATGAATGCTTGGAAATCACAAACACAGAACCAGGGTTTGTTATAATATGGTTTTGACAGGTAGGTGTTAGAAGACCTGCTCTGGACACGAGACCCAGCAGAATCAATATACTCTATACTGCCTACCTCTCCCCCATGAAAGCAATGAGCATAAGAGAACAGGGACAAAGTAATTACTTTAGCACCTAAGTATTAAGAAAAAATATTATTACTATCATGGTGGTGTTTGAAATGTTAGCATTGTTTGTATTCTCACATCTATATTGCAATATCCTGCAGAAGTGGCAAAACCCCCCACATTTACCATACTGCAAAGGTTTAAGTGGTTTGTACCATGCTAAAGGAACGATTGCTATCCTAGGAGCCTGTCAGCCAATTAAAGGTCTGCCAGAATTCCCTGTATATTCCCACCATCAGAGAATTAATGAGTGGCTACTGGACACAGGGACTGGTAGTACCCAAACTGTGAGTTTGCCTGGTAACACTGTACTATTTTTAGGTGCCAGGTAAAGTCTGTCCTATTTGGCCTGTGCTTTTAACAATACTTAGTGCACAATTCATTTTGTTTCACGGCGGTCTTTTAAAATGCCTTTTTATTTCTTGTATTCACATTAACGTTTAATTAGTGGGGGTTTTTTGTATATATAGTTTATTTATATGCTGACAAACATACAGAAAACAACACAGAGACATACAATATATTACAAACAAAATACAAATAATAAATAAAATAAAAATAGAAAAAAGAACAAATAAGAAAAAAGAATGTATCTCTAAAAATAAAGATATGTATTAACCTAAATTTGACTCCATTTTCTTTGTTGAATTCCTTCTTCCTCTACGCGGGTCTAATATCAACCATAGTAATCTTCTTTTTAAACTTACTTTCCATTTTGATTGTCTTTATTCTAACCGTACATCAGTTTAAAGGTAAAGGGACCCCTGACCATTAGGTCCAGTCGTGGCCAACTCTGGGGTTGCGACACTCATCTCGCTTTATTGGCCGAGGGAGCCGGCGTACAGCTTCCAGGTCATATGGCCAGCATGACTAAGCCACTTCTGGCGAACCAGAGCAGCGCACGGAAACGCCGTTCACCTTCCTGCCGGAGCGGTACCTATTTATCTACTTGCACTTTGACGTGCTTTTGAACTGCTAGGTTGGCAGGAGCAGGGACCGAGCAATGGGAGCTCACCCCGTCGTGGGGATTCGAACCACCAACCTCCTGATCAGCAAGTTCTAGGCTCTGTGGTTTAACCCACAGCTCCACCCGCGTCCCACATACAGAAGTTAATTAAAACAAGTCCAAGAAGTAATATGCAGGCATTGCTTCTTCAGATAATCACTATATTTTCCCCAGTCTTTCTGAAGTTTTTGTTTGCTGTGGCCCCTGATTGTGTCTGTCAGCCTGGCTAGTTCAATGTAACTGAATAATTTATCTTGCCATTCTTGTTTAGATGGAATTGTTTCTTTTTTTCCATTTTTTTGCGATCAGGATACTAGCTGCCGCCACAGCATACAAGAATAGATTCTTGTCTTCTCTGGGTATATCTGTATCAGTTATTCCCAGCAAGAAGTCTTCTGTTCCCCCCCCCCCCCCAAAAAAATTATATCTAAAGATTTTCTTCATTTCTTCAAAAACAAAGTCCCAGAAGCCCTTAACTTTTTCACATTGCCACCTCATGTGTATAAGCATGCCTTCTGATCGGTTGCACCTCCAGCATAAGTTGGATTTAGTTTTATACATTTTACAGATTTTTGTAGGTGTCAAATATCACCTAAAGAACATCTTTATCATATTTTCTTTTATAGCTTCACATGCTGTGAACTTCCAGTTTCCCCTCCAAAGTTTTTCCCATTGTGTTATCTGAATGTTTTTACCCAAGTCTATGGCCCATTTTATCATTACTTCTTTAATTTGTTTGTCTTTAACCTCCCACTCTAACAATAATCTGTACATTTTAGAAATTACTTTTACTTTGCTTTGTAATAAATTTTTGTCCAATAGTGAGACTTCTGTTGCAAATCCTTTATTTCTTTTGTCTTCATTAAATTTACTGGTGATATTGATATTGATTACTGGTAGCTGGTGATATTGAATCCACCCTGTTAGGTGGGGTTTCATTTCTTCATAATCCTTTAATTTTAGTTTATTATTATTCTCTTCTAGCAAATCCCTATATCTGGCCCAATTTGTTCCCATGTTTTTCTTCTTAATCATTAACGATTCTATGGGTGACAGCCACCAGGGTACTTTGGGTTCTAAAAGTTCTTTGTATTTCTCCCAAGTTTTGTATAATGATTTTCTTATGACCTGATTAAGGAAACCTCTGTGCACCTTCACTTTCTCATACCCTAGGTAAGCGTGCCTTCCAAAACGATTATCAAAGCCCTCCAAATCCAATAGGTCACCATTTTCTAATGTTAGCCATTCTCTCAACCACATGAATCACGCTGCATCATAGTATAAATTTAAGTCAGGTAATGACAAACCTGTGTTTTTACTATCTTTTAGTAATTTATATTTAATTTTTGATGTTTTATATTGCCAAATAAATTTGGTTAGATTTCCCCCCTGCTGTTTAAAGCATCCTACCCCACCAATTATTGGTATCATTTGAAATAAGAATATCATCCTGGGCAGGATGCTCATTTTAACCACAGATATTCTACCTAGTAATGATAATTTTAATTAAATTAGAAGATGTGCTACCAGAACCAATGAAAATTATACTAAATGGTATATTGAAAGAAGGGAAAATACCAAAGTCCTGGGAAGACGCATATATCATGCTGATACCCAAACAAGGGACGGATAGAACATCAGTAAAAAACTACAGACCTATATCTCTATTAAACAATGATTATAAAATATTTGCGAGCATTTTGGCTGATAGGTTAAAAAAAGTACTAAATGAAGTAATAAACAGAGATCAATCAGGCTTTCTACCGGGTAGACACATGCATAACAATACAAGGAATATTATTGATATTTTGGAGTACTTAGAAATAAGATCGGATAAAAATGCTATCTTAATGCTAATCGACACAGAGAAGGCTTATGATGGTGTCTCTTGGAAGTTTATGAAAAGATCACTGAAGAGGATAGGATTTGGAGAAAATTTCAGCAGGGGCATAGAGGCAATATACAAAGAACAAAGAGCTAAGTTAATTATCAACAACGAGATGACATAGGAATTCAGAATAAATAAAGGGACCAGACAAGGTTGTCCTCTTTCGCCCCTACTGTTTATAATGGTTTTGGAATTCTTAATGATCGCAATTAGAAAAGACAAAGAAATAAAGTGTACAACTGTTCGGGAGAAATCGCATAAGATAAAGGCCTTCGCAGATGACTTGATAATAACAACTGAAGATCCGGTGGAAAGTGTGCCAAATTTTTTAGAAAGAATATCAGAATTTGGAAAGGTTGCAGGATTCAAATTAAATAAAAGTAAGACCAACATGCTAGCAAAAAACATATCAACACAGGAAAGAGATTATTTACAGGAAACATCAGGTCTGGCAATAGTGAACAAAACAAAATACCTGGGTATCTGATTAACAAATAGGAATAGTAATCTCTTTAAGGATAATTACATCAAGGTTTGGAAAGATCTGGAGATCTGGAACTTTTAATTAGTTTTTGCCATTTGATGGCTTTAAAATTGAATCTGTAAATCTTCTCGGAAGCCACTCTTAGCAGAAAGGTGGGATAAAGATGTTTTTGGGGCAGATAAAACTGTAACAGTGCAGCTCAGTTTTTAAGAGTAAATAAACTCTCCCGTGTCTTATTGCACTTTGGGCCTGGATTCTTTGCGAGGGGACAAGACCCCTAACCATGAAATTCACCTTGAAGGTTTACTGTAAAAACTCTTGTTCACGGCATGGGAAGAGCATCTTTGTCTATGACATTCTGAGAAACTATATATATATAGAGAGAGAGAGAGAGAAAGAGAGATTCAGGGGGGTTGGGGGGTATGGGATGTTAGGGGAGGGTAGTACCTCTGGTGGGGGACATGCCATGGTGTAGTTTGTCCACCTTTAGTCCTCATCCTCCACTCAGCTCTCATCTGTGGCTCCTAGAAGCTGTCAGCATGACACAGTGGCCACACGTCGGGAATGGCTCCAACTGGCCGGCTGAACCAGGTGAGGGTAGCCGATGGATCTCAACCCTTGGTGAGTTAGGACCTTGGTGAGTTAGGAACCCTTGGTGAGTTAGGAACTTCCCCCGCTCATGAAGACAGACGTCAACTGATTCAGCAGATGAGACCAATAGTGGGTCCAATGGTCAAGAAGGCAGTTTTATGGACATGCTGTAGTGAGGAGCAGATGGGGGCTAGTCTACCCAGAAGGTAGCCCATCTAGGAAGCAAATCTCTGATCCATTCTTTCTCCGGGAAAAGAAAAAGCTGAAGAGTGAACCCTACACAAATCCGGATTAGAGTCCCTAAGGTGGTTGGATAGCACCTTGTACGCCTCCTTCCAGAAAAATGCATTGCTCTGCTTTTCTTTGGACCACATCAGTGAGGCTTTTTTTTGGGGGGGGGGTCTCTCGTCGCCTGGACAGCCCACCACACAATATCCACAGAAATGCCTGTACTCTGGAACTCCCTGCTTATTGATGTTAGGCAGGCAACCTCACTTCACCATTTAAGATGCTTGCTGGAAACCTTTCTCTTTCAGCTGGCCTATCCAGACACAACAATCTGCCGCTTTAAAATTTTGTTCAACATTTCCCCCGTTTATTGTTTTTAAATGCTTTTATATGCTTTTAAGTTTTTTTAAATGTATCCATATGTTTTTTTTTGTTTTTGTTTTTTAGTTACATCACTTTTTATTGCAAATATGTACACTGGGCACCTTTGGGAGGAACGCAGAATGCAAGTTAAACAAACAAACAAACAATAAAAACTAAGTATCAAAAACTAAAATAAAAAATAAAACACCCAGCTTTACAATGGGACAAAGATCCATATATTCAAGAACTCATGAGTTTATCTGCATCTTTGTGCACAAACAGACATATTACACAAACCCAAATCTACAGCACACATCACAATGTATCACCAGCTAAACATCACAATATACTGATATATCACGAGGAAGTAAGAATGGAGCTCTGTAGAGGCATTGGCTGGCTTCACAGTTTTTCCTGCAATATGATTTTTGCATAGCACACATACACAAACACACCATGATTTGCAATATATTGCCCGGTCAAAAATTATGAAACCGGTATCACGATATGGACTTCAAACCGGTTTTGGACGATATATCGATGTATCGCCCAGCTCTAGAAGTAATATGTGGCAGTGTGAAGGTGCAGACTTAGTGACAACATTGGACGTGGGGTCCAAATATCACCCTCTCCCCCATTTTTTATTTTTTTTTTGAGAGGGTGATTTAGTTTTGTACACCCTCAAAATTTTGCTGATTACAGCCTGTTTATTTTGTTCCATACAGCTTGATACATGTCACTACCAACTAGGGTTGCTTTTATCTACAGAGTACCATATTGGGTATTTTTTCTTACCATGAATGTAAAATCTGAAGCCCCACTGATTTCAGCAGAACTTACTCCCACGTAAATGTGCATAGGACTGCTGCAGTAGTCATAGCTGAGTGCGGCAAAGGGAGAGAGAGAAAGAATAAAGACATCTGACTTTTTAGCAAACATGATTTCAAATAAACGTATCTGAGCCTGAAGATGGGAACCTCACTTGATTATTTTGAGAAACCCACTATAGTTATAAATAACTCAAGTTCCAGAAAACCATGCTGTAGCTCCTAAATATGTAGTATAGTGTATAATTAACTACAAAATATTTGTTTAAATAACACAGCTTCAAAAATTACATCCAGTGGCATTTATCTTTTTCTTTTCTTTTAAGCAGTGCAAAACAAACTCCCTCTCCCACACACTTTAATTGTATGTACCAAAACTGAAACAATTAAGGATGAGAAAGGTTTAAAGTTTATGGTGCATTATGTACAAGCTTGCTCCTAAACAAATAAATGCTCATTTTAGGGGCTGAATATAATTATTGTAGCTCAATAGCATATATAGACTGCCATGCTGATCTTTGATAATTAAACCAGACAAAGATCAAATGATACCTAACAAGCCATTTACAAAACAAATTAACCAAGTTGTGGAAGACTATTTTAACATTTTGTGGAAAGACAAGCAGAAGGTACCACATTGTGTTTTAATTCCTTCTCAGCAATCCCTTCTCTGCCATTCTTCTCATGCATGTTAAAAATGTGCAGTGAATTTTACACTGACTTACAAAAGCAAAACCTGTTGAAAGTACCAACAGTGGTTTTTATTTTCTTTACCGTTTTTTCAACAAAGCAATTGCAAAGTGATTGTAACTATCTATGTCAACGCTCACTGGATCAAAGACCTTTGACGGAGGCGTTAGCATTTTTTTTGAGCAAAGAATCAATCTATTGACATCACCATTCATGGTCAAGTCCCTTCCCCTCACTGTTTCTTGCAGATTCGATGATGTCTTTGGGAAAGTGTTCGACACATGCATAGCATAACGTTAACCATAGATACATGCTTGAGGTGAACTGCTGCAAAAGAACAGATTTTCCCTGGCATTGCTCCCAATTTGTGACATGAAAGAAGTCCCTGTTCTTCAAAATCTGTGTAGCAGGGAACAGTTTTAGCAGGTGTGCTTCATCTCTGTGACACAGTCACACCTTCCAAATTACACCCTGCCATTCAGTTAGTAAACAACACCTTTTGGAAACTGGAATCCACAACTCTACTTATCTGTCAGGTGCTAGCCTTGAAACCTAGTCTTCCAAGAGCTTTGATATCTGCCTACCTTTCGTTATGGATGCATACCTATGTCAGTATCCTACAGGGACAAGTTTTTAAAGTAATAGGAAGCCTCTCTCCCTGCGACCAAGAGGAAGCATAGGAAAGGAATGCCTAGTAATTGGCTGCACCACCTAGCAAACACAGAACTACACCTTAGCCTCATAAAGGGTGAGGTCTGTGTGCTCCGAGTTCATTTATCTCACTGCCGAATCATGAGGGAGGCTTCTGGGTAATGCTAAAGTCCAAAAATTGCCAATAAGGATGTAATATTAGGGGAAATGTTTTCTAAGGAAGATAAGGAGGGCTGCCAAGCACTTGTCAGAAAGAAAGGAGGTGTCTTCAGGCCTCTAATTTGGAAAAAAAAGTGTTTTGGATATCTTTTAACATAGCAGTAATAAACACAGAACTGCTTTCTGACGTTTCTGAAATACATTGTTGACAAACACACCCAAGGCTTAAGAACTACCAGACCAAGAGACAACCAGTACCACTCAGCACAGAAAAGCAGCCATGCAGGCATTTGAAAATGGTGCAATCTTTGCCTTAAATCTGAGGTATAGTATTCAGAAATACGGGGATTAGCAGAGTTCTTGTCCCCTGCAGCAATTTTAGCACCATCTATAATATGGCCGGGGACACGGGTGGCGCTGTGGGTAAAACCTCAGCGCCTAGGACTTGCCGATCGTCAGGTCGGCGGTTCGAATCCCCGCGGCGGGGTGCGCTCCCGTTGCTCAGTCCCAGCGCCTGCCAACCTAGCAGTTCGAAAGCACCCCCGGGTGCAAGTAGATAAATAGGGACCGCTTACTAGCGGGAAGGTAAACGGCGTTTCCGTGTGCTGCGCTGGCTCGCCAGATGCAGCTTGTCACGCTGGCCACGTGACCCGGAAGTGTCTTCGGACAGCGCTGGCCCCCGGCCTCTTAAGCGAGATGGGCGCGCAACCCCAGAGTCGGACACGACTGACCCGTACGGGCAGGGGTACCTTTACCTTTACTATAATATGGTCAACTATATCAATGCATGGAAAATGCTGCTCTATAAGATAACTTTCATTAGCAAGTGCACAATGACCCAGTTCCCACCTAACACCAAGTCAAGCCATGACTTAGTGTGAATGAGCAAACATGCAGATGCTCAGAGTGAAAATCACAGACACTGCACTCCTCCCCTGGTCCTGCTGTCACTACATTTAATACACCTAAGGTCCTAAGCCATGGTTTGGCTTTGCATTATGCCTGAACCGAGGCTCATGGTTTGCCTCACTTCTGACAAATCAGAAGCTGCAATCAAGGTTTATTTTTGGTTTACCATTTGCAGTTGCTCTGATGAGCCTGGGTTCAGACATAATGCTAAGCCAAACCATGGCTAAGGCCTGGGTATCAGGGAAGGCAGATTTTCTCTGAGAATCGACACATTCTCTTGTTTGCTCTAAGCCATTGTTAGGCTTAGTGTTATGTGTGAACTGGGCCAGTGTGTACTCTTAAAGAAATGAAAAGCAAAGCTCAGATCTTATTCCACACCTGCAGAAACAAGTCAGCAAAGAAGGCTAAGCCAATATCCACATGCTGTCCCAGCACTGCTTCAGTTCAGACCCAGAGGCAGTGAAACGGTTTGAAGTCTAAACCACCATATCATGAAACCCTGTTAAATTACCGAAACTCGTTGCTAAAATAAAATATAAAACCTTGGTTCTTCAAATGATTTCAGGTACACTTTACCACCATGAGAAGGGACAACAGCATTGCTACAGAAAGGGTGTGTGGCACAGACTCCTTAATAGAACTATAACGATTAAGTAAAGGTAAAGGTTAAAGGACTCCTGACCATTCGGTCCAGTCGCGGACGACTCTGGGGTTGCAGCGCTCATCTCGCTTTATTGGCCGAGGGAGCCGGCATACAGCTTCCGGGTCATGTGGCCAGCATGACTAAGCCGCTTCTGGCGAACCAGAGCAGTGCACGGAAACTCCGTTTACCTTCCCGCCAGAGCGGTACCTATTTATCTACTTGCACTCTGATGTGCTTTCAAACTGCTAGGTTGGCAGGAGCTGGGACCAAGGAACGGGAGCTCACCCTGTTGCGGGGATTCGAACAGCCGACCTTCTGATTGGCAAGTCCTAGGCTCTGTGGTTTAACCCACAGCGCCACCCGCGTCCCTACAACGATTAAGTAGTATCCACCTAAAGAAAATGGGTTTAGGTTTCTTTACTTAAATCAAAACCTCCCATGTTCCTTTTTCCTAATGATGCTGTCCATGCCAATTCCATTGAACAAGTTTCCTGTTCTCCCTTCTGCCAAGTTCAGCAAGTAACTTCTCATCATCCCTTTCCAAGCAGAGGTCAGTTCCACTGGTCAGTGGAGTCAATCAAGCTGTTCACAAAGACCTGTTGTTTCTGCATATACCTCTCACCCCAGGAAAAGATTGCCACAAACGTTATTTGCTCTCAAATATGTTTAGTAGTTTAGTGTAACATCACACCTCCACGTAGATCCTTGTGACCCATCTACAAACATGGATGTTCTCTGAAACCACAGTTCATGCATTAGAACAAATGATATAAACACTGAGTGTCTCATACTGTAACTAAGAGTTCTAGTTTCACTCATGTACAGTGGTACCTCGGGTTAAGTACTTAATTTGTTCTGGAGGTCCGTTCTTAACCTGAAACTGTTCTTAACCTGAAGCACCACTTCAGATAATGGGGCCTCCTGCTGCCGCCACGCTGCCGGAGCACGATTTCTGTTCTCATCCTGAAGCAAAGTTCTTAACCCGAGGTACTATTTCTGGGTTAGCGGAGTCTGTAACCTGAAGCGTATGTGACCTGAAGCGTATGCAACCCGAGGTACCACTGTACACTCAATGCTTGCTTACTTATGAATCTGTGATTCACACATGCCAGCCATCACAATGTTACAGTCAACATGTCAACATGCACTGAAAATCTTTGCAAAGAAGAAAAACCTTGTATATTGGGTTCGTGTTCCAGTGTATTTAGTACATGTTAACTAAAAATCAAGTATTGATCCCTCAGAATGAGGAGGCAGAGGGCAGCTCCTTGTTGAAGTCACCCACACTTGAAAGGTTATATAAAGTTTAGGTTCAAAACACTGCCCCTACAGGAGTATGCCTTGCACTATATGCATATACAAATGCATCGTGTACACTTCCAGAAGCAACATGCATCCATGCAAATGCATAAAGATGCCATTATTACTGGTAAACAACATTCACAAAATGGAAGTACATATATGACGCCAATCGTTTTGATGTGCAACCTGACCTTGATAGTATCTCAACAATGCTATAGGCTCCAATACTATATTTATTGGGTGGGCGGGCGATTCATGATACTGATAAGGAATCTCACAGGTCTTCTACCTCAAATTCACAGAAATTCTGAAACATAAGATTCGACAGTTCACACATCTTATAAATTTGCTTTCCACATACAGTGGTACCTCGGGTTAAGTACTTAATTTGTTCCGGAGGTCCGTTCTTAACCTGAAACTGTTCTTAACTTGAAGCACCACTTTAGCTAATGGGGCCTCCTGCTGCTGCAGCGCTGCCGGAGCACGATTTCTGTTCTCATCCTGAAGCAAAGTTCTTAACCCAAGGTACTATTTCTGGGTTAGCAGAGTCTGTAACCTGAAGCTTATGTAACCTGAAGCGTATGTAACCCGAGGTACCACTGTATGTGGAACTACTTGGAGAAATGCAAATATCATAAACTCTGTATGATCAAAAGATTCATAGGGCTTTCTCCTACAAAGACCTCCTATCTCGAAGCTCTGACCCAAATTTTTATACCAAAATTTTACAGTTGCTCCCACCAACCATCTTTAATATAGACCAGGACTACCTACATCTTTAGAACGTAGTGTAACGTTTAAGACTTGGAACACCCAGTTTCAAATCCATACTGAGCCATCCAGTGGGTGACTTGGACCTGTTGTTTCTCAGCCTAGCCTACCTCCCAGGGTTGCTGTGAGAATAAAAGGAAGGGAGGACCATTTACATTGCGCCTTGAGCTCCCGAGAGGAAAGGTAGGATAGAAATGTAGATGCACCCAAGTGCATTTACAGCTCATATCTCGTCTGTGCATCCAAATACTGTGCAGAATGACTTCCATTCCTAACTTCCATTGCAATATGACTATGCTACACAATGAAATCTTACTATTCATGCATGCATCACAGTTTCCCTTAGTTGTGCGGTTTATGAGCTCTGAGGGGAAAACCTCTTGCAAAGTAGTCCACACATTCACAGCATGTGATTTTTCTACAGGTTCTTTAACTCAGCCCCAATCATGGCAAATCTTCTCTGAAGATTCAAAGCACTTCTGCTGAGTACTAGCTATTTCCATGTCCAATTTCAACTTTAAACTCCCAGGCATTTTAGTGAAGTGATTGGCATTTTCTTGAAAAAGAAAAAGAGTTCAGTTCTAAAATTAGAATACACTTTCCCCCATCACTTGAAATGATTCCTCAAAAATTATCTGAGCTATTTTCTTCAACTATTAAAAAGCAACAGTGCAATGGTTCTTCTTGGAAGAAATCCTGGTTTAATTTTAATTTTAACACAGAGATACCCCCCAAAGTGTTGACTGAGCCTTAAAACCTTAGTAGTTTCACTTGCAATGAAACCCATTAATTTCAGGGAAGCTTATTTCCATATAATGTATTCTCAACAGAACTACTCTCATCAATAGAAACTGCTTCAAAGTCAAAGTGTTTAGGATTGAAGTGCAAATGCTTGAAATCAGAAACTATGGCTGGAAGTAAAGATCACTGAATTCAATGGGGCTTACTTTTGAGTCAACATGTCTAGATGGACATTCAATGTACGTACATACAGATAGTTAAGCAGCACACTCATTCAATAATTCACATGCAATATTCAACCAGTGCACAGTCTATGTACATAATCAGCCAAACTGCAAATGAACAAACATTTGTACATGTGTAGAGACGGTATGTCCCTGTGTTCAGTGAAACATGTGAACAGTCATGTAACCTGTGACCTCAGTGCAATCATAAGCATGTAAGTAACAAGGCTCGCAATCTAAATCGTTTCTGCCCTTGTGATTCGACTATACCATTCTAAAACACATAAACGCTTTATGGAAACACAAAACATCTGATTGAAGGAAAAGCTGGTATTAGAACATATTGTTGTTATTATTATAACAACAACAACAACAACTGTAAATCATATTGTTAAATGCAAATATTTCCCACCATGGTGATTGCAATAAATATTTCCAGTTGCACAGAAAAACAAACAAAAGACGCACAACAAAATGTTTGTGTTGACCATATACTTCTGTCTTAAAATTCAGTACAGTTGCTAAACTACCAAAAGGTCAGCCAGAGAAAACAATGAGAGCTAATAGAAAAGTCCTGGAAAGCCATTAAAAAAAAAAGAAAAGACCTCATTTAAATTCTTGGAAAGCACTGCTTCTCTAAACATATCTATTCAACTCTTTGAACAGCCAAGTCTCACTAAATAAATAAATAAATAAATAACCACACTGCCTACTGTAAGCCGCAGAAGTCTGTCTGGAAAAAAAAAAGAGACTGGGCTCCACTAAACATTAGCAAAAATAAATAAATAAAATAGTTTAGGAACTGGTCTCGACGACAACACACACACACCCTCCTCAAATTGCATTTATACGAGAGGGATTAGGAGTCGAACCAATCTCGGCTCCCTCCGGTTCTCATGTTCAAGATCACTGAAGCTCTGGGAGATTTGCAGGACAACTTAGCCCGTTCCTTGAATGAGGCTTGCGTTTCCCTGCACACAAAAGCGCCGGGTTATTAAAAGAGAGAGAGAGAGAGAGAGAGAGAAAGAAAGAAACGGCCGCACTTCTCTTCGGAGAGCCAGAGGGCAAAATACTTCTGATCTCCCACGCACTTTGCAAGCTGCCACAATCTCGGTGTGAGAGAAAAGTGTGCGTGTGCTCGCTGCGCCGGGGGCCACTTCGCTCGCTCGGGTGCTGCTGTTGCCAAGCCCGGGCGGCGATGTTCCATTTGGGGGGGAAATAAAGGCAGCATCTCCCTCATTAGCGGGGGGGGGGGGGAGAACGCCTTTCCCTTTGGCGAAGAATTCTCGCGTGCACATATAGAGATACACACACACACACACACACACACACACACGGAAGGGGGGGTGTGGAGAAAGAAAACCCAGCAACATACCACATTCTAGGAATTCCTCAAAGACCCAGCAGCAACCGAAGCTTCGCTTTAGACAGCAGATCTCTCCTCCTTCGCTGCTCCTCGAGGGAAACTGGCGGAGGGGGGGGGGAGTCGGGTCCCTTTAATGCACGCGCCAACCAGCTTCTCCCCCCCCCCCCATACACACGCAGGCAGCCCCCTCCCCCAGCTCCTCCTGCTGCCTGCCAGCCGCCCAACTGTCAACTCCTCCTATCTCCCACGCCCTCCCCACTCCAATGGCACTGCATTATTAGTCCGTCCCCCCAAAAAAACAGCTCCCTTGTCTGGGCACCTCCCGCTTCTGACCCCGGCTCCCGCCATCCCCCCCCCCCGCCTTTTGCACATGGCCGTGAAGGTTGCACGCTGTGTGGCTCCACCGCGCGCGCGCGCGCTCCTGCCTGCCTCTCCTTCCCTGGGCAAAGAGCAGCGCCTCTCTCTCCCCCTTTGGAAAATATCGTGTTGGTTGTTGCTGTTTGTTGTGACTGGGTCGACTTCACTTCGCCGCCTCCCGGGACGGCGGGTGTTTGTGTGTGTGTGTATGTGGGCGGCAGGGTGAGAAAAGCGCGCGCTTCCCTCGCCGCTCCTTACCGTGAGTGGGGAGCGCAGAAGAAGGCTGGGTTGTTGGCCGCTGCCGCCGGGTCAGTTCATTACCATTGCCTCCCCTACCTCAGGAGAAGGAGGCGGCGGCGGCGGCAGAGGGTCAAGTTAAAGACCCGGGAAGCTCAGCCGCTGCTGCCGGCTGACGGCTGCAAGCCTCGGTCGCCGCCGGCGCCGAGCGGTGGTGGACATACTGAACCAAACCCGGCGCCGTTGCCGCGTCTTGCTGCTGCTGCTGCTGCTGCCGGTGTCTCTGTGTGGCTGCTGAGGGGTGGGAACTGCCGCAGCTGCTGCTGCTGCTGCTTCCGCCGGCTCCTAGTCCCGGGCTGTGGGCGGGATGGAAGCGGTGAGGGACGGGAGAGGAGGGGAGGGGTGGGTGGTGGCGCGCGCGGCCCCTGCTCATTGTTCGAGGGAAAGGGCGGCCGAGGAGACTTGGACGCACGCGGGCAACCCCTTTGCGCACAGGGGGAGAGAGAGAGAGAGAGAGAGAGAGCGCGCCCGGGTGGGGCTGCACGCTCGAAACTGGGGGATGCTGCCGGTGGTCTCTCGGGGTGTGTGGGGTGTGTGTGTGTGTGTGTGTGCGCGCGCGCACTCGCCGCTACTGCTCGCTCTGTCTCTCCCTCTCCCGCGCCGCACCCATATGGTCTCCCGCGCCCAAGGCTAGCGAGCAGCTTCTCCCTCAAAAGTCTTCTGCAAGTTGGGGCTGAGGGGAACGGACCCCAATATGCCCAAGTGGGACGGGAGAGACCAAACTGACGTGCGCAGCTGCGGCGACGTCGCTTGGGTTCCTTGTGAGATGCACCCTCCCACTCAATATTTTTTGCCGCCTGAGGCACAGCAGCAAATGGTTGCCCACTCTCCGCGAGCCATGGCCGACTAAGTCATTTTGGAGCCAGAGGCAAAGAACCCTTCAAGTGCCTCTCCCTGGAGTTTTTGTTATGTGTGTGTGTGTACACACACACATATATATCCAGTGCTTTTTTTCTGGGGGGACGCAGGAGTATGCATACCCCTAAACATTTTGTGAATCTTTGTACTTTTGTCCATTTACTGTATTTCTTTTCCCCAATTTGAACTATAAAATGGTGATTTTCTTGAGTTGAAATGAAAGTACCCCTAATTTTTTTTTAAGAAAAAAAGCACTGTATATACAGTGGTACCTCAGGTTACATACGCTTCGGGTTACATACGCTTCAGGTTACAGACTCTGCTAACCCCGAAATGGTACCTCGGGTTAAGAACTTTGCTTCAGGATGAGAACAGAAATCGTGCTCTGGCGGCACAGCAGCAGCAGGAGGCCCCATTAGCTAAAGTGGTGCTTCAGGTTAAGAACAGTTTCAGGTTAAGAACGGACCTCTGGAACGAATTAAGTACTTAACCCGGGGTACCACTGTACATACACACACACACACACACACACACACACACACAGAGTTAAACTGAGTAGCTAATGATTTCCTGCATTTCAGGACACCAGAAATTAGACACCTGAGGCAGCCTTATAGTAGGACTGGCTCTGTCCAGACGTTTTGAATGCTAATGGCTAATAAAAGAACACTTCCAGGGGTTTTTTAATGGGGGGAGGCTTAATACAGTGGTGCCTCGGTTTACATACGCTTCAGGTTACAGACTCCGCTAACCCAGAAATAGTGCTTCAGGTTAAGAACTTTGCTTCAGGATAAGAACGGAAATTGTGCTCTGGCTGCGTGGCAGCAGCAGGAGGCCCCATTAGCTAAAGTGGTGCTTCAGGTTAAGAACAGTTTCAGGTTAAGAATGGACCTCCGGAATGAATTAAGTACTTAACCCGAGGTACCACTGTAATAGCAAAAGGGTTGTGAAGATGTTGCAAAGGGGCTGTTGGTTACAGGTTTTGATTTATTTTTTTTAATTACTGGGTTTTCCATGGAAAGAGGGAATCCAGATTAATTGGAAGAGGGAGAATGCAGGCTGGCATGTTGATGGCAATGGCATTGCGTGGGCGCTGTGAAAAACGTGCCCATGTGAGCAGCAGCATTGATCCCACAATAAACACCTACCAGGAAGCACTCATAATCGGCAAGGAAAAGGGGGAGAAGAATGTCATTATTTCTGTGCCTAGTTACAGCCTCTGTCTGTTGATCTGAAAGTCTAAATTTGGACCCTAATAAAGCCTTAAGAATTGCACAGGTGCCTGAAGATTATGCGGGCATTTGGTACACATATCTTTATAGTTATCCACATATTATTATCGTCCCCTACAAATTATGATATTTTTGCAAGCACCTTTAACTAGTATTTTTTCTCTTTTACTTTTTCCAGCCATGACTTAACCTTGCCTGTGTGTTTACAATTAGATGCCAGTGCTCTTTCACTGAACTTCTATTAAAAAGTGTACCATATACAGACTTAGTACTTTAAAAATGTACTAAGTATTCCTTTCATGTCCGTGATTGTATTTTTGTTTTCTTTTGTGTGTACTCTTTTTCTTTTGTCAAAGTTGTATACTTGTTGAACATCATCATCAACAACTGTACTGGCAGCATAGTTTCTCTCTTTGTGTGTAGCTGAGTAGACTCTCTTCAGACTTTCATATCAGTCCACTCTGGATTATTGACAAATTCAGAACACCTGAGCAAGGCTCATGGAAAGTGTAGACATTTGAAAACATTCTAGGGTTGTGGTTTGGGATGTGACTTCATACTGACTGACATGTTTTCACAACTGTTTTTTCTTCCTACTTTACATTGCCACAGTACATGTTGGCAAACACCAGTGTGTTTGCAGCAAAGCACATGCAACTTCAGCGTAGAATGTGCATGGATCTTAAGATATACCTTGGATCTGTGTGCCCGAATAGTGTGTTCTGAGGATGTGGTGATATAAATATGAGTCAAATGTGGATCCCCGCATCATTCAGATTGGAATTAAATGGTAATCTGAAGGTTCAGCATGCACCCATTCTGCAACTTCCAGAGATTGTGTAGCCGTATTAGTTTGTTGTGGAAATAATTGCGAGAGTCCTCTGCACCTTAACGTCTGACAGATGTTGGGCATGTCATGAAAACTGGACTTCTTATTTGGATGCTTCTTAATTCAGGTGCCCAAAGCCCAAACCCTCCTAAAGTCTGAAATTCAGATCAGCAGAAGGAATGATTGTGTGAAGAAGTAAGTAGCAGGCAAATAATTTCCACTCTGCTTTCCTGTTTATCCTCCCAGAAGTGATGTCACAGGGTGTGAGAAATACAGTGGTGCCCCGCAAGACGAATGCCTCGCAAGACGGAAAAACCGCTAGACGAAAGGGTTTTCCGTTTTGAAGTTGCTTCGCAGGACGAATTCCCCTATGGGCTTGCTTCGCAAGACGAAAATACCTTGCGAGTCTAGAGATTTTTTTCGCTTTTCCCCTTTATCTAATCTGCTAAGCCTTTAATAGCCTTTAATAGCCTTTTAGCAGCTAATCCCCTAAGCCTTTAAGCCTTTAATAGCCGCTAAACAGCTGATAGCGCTAATAGCGCTAATCCGTCAATGGGCTTGCTTCGCAAGACGAAAAAACCGCTAGACGAAGACTCTTGCGGAACGGATTAATTTCGTCTTGCGAGGCACCACTGTATACTGTCTGGAGCTAAGAGAATTCTTACCTCTTTTTAAACCAGGATCTTCCCATACACATCAGCCATCTTACTAAATGTTCAGGAGCTGAACCTGGGCACCAGAAAGAAAGAAAGAGCTCTTTCTTACTAAGTCCTTGCTTTGAAATTATCAAAGGTGACAGAGACAGCACTTGCTGTCTGCAGTACTTCACTGTACTGTACGATCAAATCATCAACATACATGCCTAAGATCACTGTTAGACACTTGCATGATCATCACACATAAGCATTTGCTTTTTATTTTGCCTATTGGTCTTCCTTTCTGCATGGCCAGTTGGTTCTTTCCAATGGGTTCTCTGCAATGAATAGGTGATAGGTAAAGGTAAAGGGACCCTTGACCATTAGGTCCAGTTGTGGACGACTCTGGGGTTGCTGCGCTCATCTCGCTTTATTGGTTGAGGAAGCCGGCATGCAGCTTCCGGGTCATGCGGTCAGCATGACTAAGCCGCTTCTGGCGAACCAGAGCAGCGCACGGAAACGCTGTTTAACTTCCTGCTGGAGCGGTACCTATTTATCTACTTGCACTTTGACGTGCTTTCAAACTGCTAGGTTGGCAGGAGCAGGGACTGAGCAACGGGAGCTCACCCTGTCGTGGGGATTCGAACCGCCGACCTTCTGATCAGCAAGCCCTAGGCTCTGTGGTTTAGACCAGAGTGCCACCCACGTCCCAATGAATAGGAGAGGTTGGGTCCAAATGCAGACTGATCTCTGTATTAGAATTTGTGTGTTTGCACTATTGCAAACTTCAGTAGACTTCAGCAGCAACATCTTCAAAATGTGACAAACTGAAGTACTTGTATGGCTACAGGTGTTATGTGTCTATACATTTCTCTCTGCAAGTATTTATATAGACGAATGAGTATGTTGCCAGGTGGATATTGCAGTCACTGCATTCTAGTCCATATCTTTATTTGTGCAATTTATTTTTTCCCTTTCACTCCCGACTTCTCCACTTCCTCTTTTGTGTGTTTGTAACACAGAAAGATCTTTCACCTTCAGGCTCTCGAGAGCGCTGCATCTCAGAAGTACTAAAGAAAGGACTGCACTGCAAGCCAGACTATTAGAAATGAGACCAACTCTAAACAGGTTGCTTTGTTGGTATGATTACTTTTTCTTCTTCTCTTTTCGCTACATCTCTAAACGGGAAAATTATCAGGAAGCAATTGCTGTTAACGTAGAAGATACGTCCTCAGAAAGCCTCTGGTAAGATAATTCTCCGCATTAGCATCCTGTGAATATATGCTAAATCTAACAAGGCATTGACTGGAGGATGGGAAAATAAGCTTTTCTACACATATATTTAACTCCCCATTAAGAATGCAATATTCAGAAAGGCTCTGTTGCCCTTGATCTGGAGAAATCAGCAGTGATTATAAACACCAAAGCAGTTACGTCTGAAAAAAAAAAAGAAAGAAAAAAGGCAGCGAGTTGCTTTTGTGACCTTCACATAATTGCAGCAGGTCAAGAAAACTGCCCTTCGTTTACCCCATTCTCGTTTATCCCAGAGCTCAGTGTGTTTTTAGCAGTGCTTCCTAGACATATAATTGTACTAGTCTATCCAATGTCTATACTAGTCTTGTACGAAATTCATCAAGTGGAGCAGAAATCAAACCACTGGGCCAAA